TGCATCATCACAGAGAGGCCTTTTGCCAAGTTTTGGTGAATATCCTTGGGTGTTTAGCAGGTGAGTGAACCGCTTTATTAAGGATGATTCAGACTGCTTGTGATATATTAGACTGCCACGAGCACCGAATTCTTATCATTTTCATAATATTTCATACGACCGAAATTGTTTTTTGTTTTTTTGTTTCTAAAACTGTTTCAAGACAATTTAACACTCTGTAACCTGGTGTGACGCGAAACCTTGGCCTCAGACGAAGATCAAGTTCACTTCCGGTTTGGTTAAATTTTGTTCAAAGCTTTCAAATTGTGATAAACTGGCGATGAAAATGACACACAGCCTATAGAAAAATGTGTTTAAATGGGTTTTGATACTTGTGTTGTTCATATTTAAAAGTAACATCAAGAACAATTTTAAACTAAAATAAAAGTGAGTAAAACGTGATGCAACCTAAGGATGATCCAGATATCAACATTCCAACGGCTCTCCCTTCTTTCTCAATGGTCATTTTGCCAATGTTTTGTGTTTTTTTGTGAAACCAGTTTTTAAAAAAATTGACAATGATCACAAAAAGATGCTAATTACACAAAGCACGTGCCAAAAAGTACAGATTTATTGTTTTTAAGCTTCGTCACGGAACATTGTTTTTTTTATCGGTGATATTTGATTTTCTTTCAAAGAAAAGACTATTACAGTAAAGAGAAGACTCATTTACTGTAATAATTTGAAAATACCGGGTATCATACCATTCTATAAAATAGTTTTTAAATAAATATATTTATTAGAGTGAACACTTAGAAGTTTTGTTAAGTGTATATATTATTTTTTGACCAAGTTGATAATTTTATAAATATCACTTATAGATTTTAGAAAGTGAAATGTAACAAGTATTAATGTGCAATATGCAGACTGAAAAGACATGTATACAGATATACATGTAGTTCTGAGCCCTTTCCTTCTTCCCCTTTCATTTCCCCATTTTATTGTTCTTCAATTTTGTACTCGATCTGTAGTCTCTTTTAGATATAGCCCGCCTGAAAAGTGGGAGGGTATATAGTGATCGGATATCCGTCTAGCTGTGCGTCCATCCTTCTGTAACGCTTTGGGGTATCCATTTGGGGTATCCATATCCACAACTCCTCTTCTTATAACACTGATTCTTTACCACTGTAATACCATTGTGCACCTTCTATTTTAGGTTTTGATCTGACACTTATTTCAGGTCCCCGAGAGCAAAACGAGGACTCTGTCATTATCATCATATGGGGGGCGGGGGTATCATTTAGTGTGCACAGTACCTTAAGGTTAAAATACATGTCTTTGTAAAACTACAAATATATACCATATTGTTTTTGATCTCTAAGAACTAAGACCATTTTTACCTGCTGTTCAATCAATACTCATTTATATATCCTCCCGCACTTTAAGCAGGGATATTATAATTCTTTAACTAAACTAAAATACATGTACCCTGATCATCTGCACATGATGTTTACGTCTCACAGTTGATTCTCTCATGAGCAAGAGCATATAATCTTCATATGCGCATTTTTAAAACGGGGCATGGTATTAACAAACAAGTTGATGATACAAAAATATCAACATACTCGTTTAAAGTCATTTTTTCGTACGTTCTACGGTCGACACAATGACCAACACACAATCTATTATTTCATACTAGTGTTTAGGTTATTATTCGCACACTGAATTTCATATGGATTTTCCTGTTTTCCCGATCACGACAAGGAGCACAAGGCGAGTGTGACCGTTCGGCAGTCATCTTTTTGTGAGTTCTATGGTGGATACAATGACCCGTCAGCAAATAAAACTTATAAATTATGAAATGCTGACTGACGTTTTTCATACTTATTGTAAGGCCATTATACACCAGACAAAATTGCTAACGCACCACCAAATTAAAGTAATATTTGGTTAGAGCGTTGTGGCAACGCACTTTGAAAAAGATTTTCAAAGTGCGTTAAAATTGGGACAAAATCAACGCACTTTGAAAAAAATTTTCAAAGTGCGTTAAATTTGGAACACACTCAACGCACTTTGAAAAAAATATTTCAAAATGCGTTAAGAGTGTACATAAACATTTTTTACCTTGGGACATATAACGCACTTTGAAAAAAATGTGTATAAAACAAAAAACTCTATACTTAGATTTTAGTAATTGAGAGAATAAACTTTTATCAATTATACATGTATAGATTAAGTTTAAGTTTAAGAAGTATTTTATCCATAACATACAAAAAAGTATACTATGAACATGGATATAACAGCATGTATCTTTCGAAAAACATTTTAATTTACATGTATTCATTAACCTCATTGGGAACTAGGAGAAGCGAGTAGAAGGTCTCTCAGCCCAACTCTTTTTTTTCTATATACATTGTACATAGTCATCGGTAACAAATTGAAAGTGGACACCCCCCTCAAAGGCAAGCCCCGATTTTCAATGCCTATATATCTTTGCAAAACATTTGAGTTAGAACCACCCTCCCGGTACCAAATAATGCTACACCCAAATATATGTATTTGCATAACTGGTATGGCGTTGAAAACTTTCAATAAATTTTAGTTTACATATAAAATGCATGCAAACTGCAAAACTTAAGTAAACATTTAAGAAAGATAGAATTTTCAAAGTATGGAAAAATCAAAATCGCTCACTTTCACATCCTGAATTTAAGTGACCTCATCACCAAAGAGTTATCAAACAGGTTCAGTTATTTATCATACCCAAGATTTGTAAGAATATTGACCAAGCCATGCATATTTTTTCAAAGTGCGTTAATATGGTCGATATTAACGCACTTTGAAAAGAAATTTTATTTTTTTAAGGTGCGTTGATTTGGTCCCAAATTTAACGCACTTTGAATTTTTTTTTCAAAGTGCGTAATTTTTCAAAGTGCATTGTAACAGAGCGTCTGCTCTAGAGTCGCAAAGTAAGGAGTTTTTAAAATAGTCCCATGGGACGCGGAGACAGACCTGTCCTTCGGATGAGACCGTATAAACCGAGGTCCCGTGTCGCAGTAGGTGCTGGCGCGAAAAAGATCCCTCCCTGCTCAATGGCCCTCAGTGCCGAGTATAGGACAAAATTTGCAGCTCTCCACCGGCAAGTGGGGGCGTTAACATAAAAGGATGTATTCGCTTTAACAAAAGAATTGACCTATAGGAGAGAACAATTTCCCGGAAAAAGTGACATTTAAGGACAGACGAGACGTTCCTTAATAATAATAGATAAATTTTTCTTAGAGTTTGTCATTGAAGTGTTGCTACTTAAACATGTTTACTCACAAAAAATTGAGGTACCTTACCAGGCATTTCTGCAAGATACCAGGGGTAGTTTTTCTTATATAATCCATTGGGGAAGAAAAATAATTTTCCAATTTCAAATTTTTAAGAGTTTGTACTTTTTAAAAACGTTTAGAAACTGGTTTAGACATCAGAATGTTATTAAAATTTTCAATACTTTTCATATATTACGAAGATATACAAAACCGATTTTGAGGAACGTCTCGTCTGACCTTAAAAATAAATCTTTATTTCTTGTTTTCTACCGTATATATGTCTAAATTTTTGAAATTTGTACTTTATACCTAAAATTTATTATTTACAACTTTACAATAAACCTCCAAAGTTGCAAACACCATTTTGTCCTTTAAAGCGTTGATTTTTGCATGAATTTTCTTGAAGTCCATCAGGGCAAAAATCAGAATTGTGATATTTTGATAGGTTAGGATGTAAGGAATAATTTAAGATAAGTAGGGGCACCTCATCGAAATTCACAAAAAACCTACAAAAAATAAGGAAACCAGATTTTCTTAATCTGCTTTAGATTTATGCCATTTATTCTTATTGCCAGACTATCTCAGTTGATATGTGTGCTGAATTTTTATACCTTGGATACTCTCTTTTTTAAGTCGGGGGTTCGAATCCACCTGGTACAACACTTATAAAGTTTTAAATTTCGCCTTTTCAAAGACAATTTTAATTTTTTTATAGACTTGTGTATTTTTCCTTCAATTTTCTATCCCTTATGCATGCCCATTTTTTTAAAGAGATATCAAAGTGCGTAAAAATCCAATGTACAGTTGTCAGTTGTAACAGAGCGTATAAGCATACTTTCTCCGAGGACAAGAATAACTCACTGTGTGTTACTCAATACGGGTATTCTTGGGATTATTGAGCTGCGATGAATTTCAATTGTATATATTCCTTAGAATTTAATCACATTGATTTGGGCTACATATTTCAGTAAATGCACTCCCTTGGATTTCATTTTGCACACATTAATGACAAGTTTTTATTATATCCACGGATAAATAGCCTAGACATAAAGAATAGAATTTCAGAGACAGTAGACATTACCTTTATGCACAATGAGAAGTAAATATCAATTATTACATTTGGAGATAACAAACTCAGAAAATCAATAAAAAGGGTTCCTCCTATCTCTTCTCACTGAAATAAAGATTTAGGAAAAACAAATTGTTATATGTATTCAGCCTAATGTCATTAATCAGAACGGAAATCGACAAGCTTTTTGTAGAGAATAAAACCAAGCCCGGTCCTATAGGTCAGGTCCCTATTTATAATGAAGTGATCCTTACCAAGTAATATCTACCACTAATGTGTTGATGCATACATTTTACATAAAAATGTATAACAACTTTTTTTCTGACTCCAATACATTATACATCGTATAATGAATTTTATTAAATTATGTTTTTTTAATAAACTGATCATAAAACAAATAAAATATAACTAGCATCAATATACAAAAAAAGAAAAAAATAATAATAGTCTTTAAATACTATGCAAATCGGGGGGATTCCAGAACACATAAATATACCATACTCGTTTAAACATATGTGATTCTGAGAACAAATAATAAAACAATTTTTTTAAAATATACGTAATATAAAATTTCAGAGTAAAAAGAAAATGTGTATAATATTTCCAGATAAATTAACAACAAAATCATTGTACATTCATATTTCTGTGGCACAGGACTGGTGGATCGGTGGAGAGAAGCATCTGATGTTCTCCAGAACTGCCTCTGGATTTTCGTTTGTTTTCAGGTATTTGTTGAAAATTGCAAAGATCTGGTTGTTTAATATCTCAAATCTTCTTATGCGACTTGTCACTTTTGAAAGTTGCTAAAAATAAAACAAGACATTTAACGTTGTAGATCTTAAATTTATTTGGTGGAAGAACGCACATTTACATTATAATATTGATGAATAGATATTTTTTTTTGAGAAAATGAATCATATGGAGATAACGAACAGTATTCAAGATCAGAAGTCTATAAGACTATAACAAACAGGAGCAGACAAAACACTTACCTCCAAAACATCAGAGGTGGGATCAGGTGCCATGGAGGAGTGAGCTTCCCCTGCCAACCGGTCAGAGCCGCCGTGTGCTCCTTGTCATGATTAGGAAATAACAGCTTTATCCGTCGTCAATTCAGTATAAATAATAGGCTAACAATTAGTATGAAAAACGTCAGTCAGCATTTGACTCAATGATAAATTGTATTTGCTGACAAGGTCATTGTGTCGACCGCAGAACTTGCAAAATGATGACTTTTAACGAGACTGCTAAATCTCTTGTTTCATAAACTTGATTGTCAGTAATTTACGTCGTTTTAGAAATTGTACATACGTAGAGCATGCTCTTGCGAATCGAATCAACTGACTCAACTCCGTTTGCAGGTGTTGAAGGTATATTGCTGCATAAGTAAGGGAAGTTGACGATAGAGAAGTTAAAGTAATCACATTTATCATAGAGCTTGGTTGTTTGATTATTATTAATGTCTTTTTCAAGAAAAATATCCAAATATGAAACAGACGTGTCATACTCCGTGGTATCTTTTATCTCAAGCTCACCAGGATATATCGTATCGACATAAGAATGGTAATTACCATTGTTAATTGACAATACGTCGTCAATATTATCCAAATGTCGAGTTGATGCCACAGCAAGTGCTTTCTTCTTTTCACCAGAGGTAACTATGGCAAAGTGCTCATCTTTTTTGTTTGATTTTCATAGATATTTATATTAATAAACATAGGTAATCAGAGATTACAGAGCTCACCTCAACGAATGTTGTCTTTAAGTAAGTCAAAGTCACACAATTAACCAACAAAAAGTGTACATTCCAAAAATGAAAATATTTAAGCAATTTTGATCTGATACTTTGAAATAGACCTACATAAACAATTTAAACTAGTTCTTCTTCATGAAAATGTAATCAAAATCCAGCATCTGAAGCAAATTTGAGAATTTTCATCTCTTGATGAAAACTTTAACCTGTTCACTCAACCGCAAAATGTAGGTCAGATTCAGCATCCGAAGCAAGCCTGGTAGTGTGCATCCTTAGATGTATCATCCATGCAAGTTTGGTCAACATAGGGCTTATAGTTACTTGGAAATGAAACCTGCACCAAAAACTTTAGCCTGTTCACTCAACCGCAAAATGTAGGTCAGATTCAGCATCCGAAGCAAGCCCGGTAGTATGCATCCTTAGATGTATCATCCATGCAAGTTTGGTCAACATAGGGCTTATAGTTACTTGGAAATGAGACCTGCACCAAAAACTTAAACCTGTTCACTCAACCGGAAAATGTAGGTCAGATTCAGCATCCGAAGCAAGCCCGGTAGTATCCATCCTTAGATGTATCATCCATGCAAGTTTGGTCAACGTAGGGCTTATAGTTACTTGGAAATGAAACCTGCACCAAAAACTTTAACCTGTTCACTCAACCGGAAAATGTAGGTCAGATTCAGCATCCGAAGCAAGCCCGGTAGTATCCATCCTTAGATGTATCATCCATGCAAGTTTGGTCAACATAGGGATTATAGTTACTTGGAAATGAAACCTACACCAAAAACTGCACCAAAAATGTTAACCTGCTCCAAAAACATTAACCTGGTCATTTCTTTGCTGAAATTGCAGCATCTGAAACTTTGACTGGTACAATGAAACACACTAGAACCATCTTCGATGCATGTCTAATCAATACAGGACATAGAAGTACTTAAAAAGAAAACTGCTCCAAAAAACTTAACCTTAACCTGGGACGCCGACGCCGACGTGGACGCCGACGCCGACGCCGACACCGACGCCGACGCCGAGGGTATTACATAAGCTCCCCCAACTTCGTTGAGGTGAGCTAAAAATCTTCACAAAAGCCATTAAAATCAAACTAATATTTGCAACCTATTGGAAGTTAAATGTCAGGTGTACTTTCTTAAAAAGAAATTTAACCTTTGTGATTTATTAGTAAACTTGATTTGTATCCTTGGACCGATAGTTGAACTCATATTTTAATCTACATTATACCACAGAGTCTGACACATCTGTTCCTTATTTCGATATTTTACTTGAAAAAAGACATTAATGGTAACCTAACTACCAAGCTTTATGATAAACTTGATAACTTTAACTTTAACATCACCAACTTCTCTTACTTGCAGCAATATACTTTCATTACCTTCATACGGGGTTTATATCTCTCAGTTGATATGATACATAAGAGCATGCGTATGTATGAACAATTTCTAAAACGAGGTAGGCAAAATTGCTGAAACAGAATATCAGCAGTCTCGTTAATAATCATCATTTTGTAAGTTCTATGTTAAGCAAATGCAATTTATTTTTTAGTCAAATGCCGACTGACATTTTTCATTCCAATTGTTATGTCATTATATTCACACTGAATTGTCGACAGATCTTTTCGCTATTTTCCGATCATGACAAGGAGCACACGGCGGGTGTGACCGGTCGGCAGGGTATGTTCACTCCACCATGGTACCTGATCCAACCTAACTCTGATTTTTTGAAGGTCCTTGTTTGCTCTGCTCCAATTTTGTATTGTTTAATTGACTTTTAAGCCTGAATGCTGTTGGTTATCTCAAATATTTCATTATACATGTATAGGTTGCATAGCAATATACGTATAAACATTTTATTTTGCATTTTGTTTGGTAGTTGACGTCGATAATGAACTTCAATGAGAAAAGCAAATGCTATAGTAACATATAGTTTTTTCGGTACAACAAACGTTCTTTTCCCCATTTTTGTATATAAAATGAATACTCATGTAGATTTAAATCGGTCTCTTTTATTTGCTTAGGATAGTAATTTATAATTTTAAATGTGTAACTGACGACTTACATGGCCTTTCACGTTGCCGTCTTTCTTATCCACACGGTTTACTTTGAGGAGATGGTAACAAAAATCTAAAGCCTCGAATCTACGTTGCTGTGACAACAGGACAATAAGAGCGCACCCGGCCCAGTTCAGACCCTCTCCAAATAATTCTCTATGTAAATAAGTATGCCATATTTTATAACTCAATGATAGCAATTTATGTCATTCCGGGAACTCTTTTCCAGCAGAAAAGTTATTTAAATATAATATTTATCAAGAAAATTGGTGTTGGGGACCAAATAAGAGGTAATCGTGATATCTATTTGAGATGTGTTACATATATTTTCCTCTTACTCGACCGAGTACTCGTTTTCCCTGACTGGCATACAGTACACGAACTGTATGGCGCTCCAGAGTCGGTGGAACTCTGTACACTCATCTATATTTATCACTCCATTTTTTGGATGTTGCCCATGCCATATATCACTGTCTAAGAATCCCTTTATCTTGTTGAGGACAACTTCAAACATGGACAGACCGCAACACAGCCGTTCCTTGGTCAATAAATCACTTGAAGCAACCAGCAGTTTTTGCTGCATAAAAAAATCAAAAAATTAAAATTGAATGCAAATTAGTCGAAGAAGTAAAGATCTGAACATCAGATATAATAACCTAATTAAATGGTCACCTGAGAACTCCCGAGCCTGTTGATGACCGGGACAATCTGTTGGGAGGAGTACTTGTTCTCTAACTCCTTTAACTTTTCTCTTAGTTCCTGCTCCTTTTGTTTCCGATCATCTCCCTCTGTAAAACAATGAAGTTGTTTACATGTAACGTGTCGTCGGTGAGATAGAGATACCCAAAATTGGATTATTTTTAACTAATTTGCTGCATTTTCAAAACCATGAGTATCATGAAATAGCGATGGAAAATTGTTTTTTCGGCCAAGCTGAGAATTTTAACTTTTTAATCTTACCTAATTTTCATTAAGGTATATGAAAGTACTTGTACTACTGCTCTTTAAACAAATTAAACGTAAGTACCTTGTATTTAATTGCAAATTTTATTAAATTAATTAGCTGCCTCATATTATACTACATTATATGCGTCCTTAATTCTATAAAGAATTATTTTACCTTTAATTGGAACAAACGGTTTGGGAATAATATTCTGGAAAGGAGCAGCTTGTTTCAAGTCTAATATCTCTTCCTGAACCTTGAGTAATCAATATAAAACGGTAAATCTTTGACATAGAAGTTAACTATGTTTGAATTTGAAACATATGGATATAACGAACTGTATTCCAGACCAAAAGTCCATAAAACAATACAAAATAGGAGCAGAGCAAACACGGACCTCCAAAACATCAGAGGTGGGATCAGGTACCATGGAGGAGTGAGCATCCCCTGCCGACCGGTCACATCCGCCGTGTGCTCCTTGTCACGATCGGGAAATGACGGAAAAATCCGTTGTCAATACAGTGTGTATAAATAATAGACTAACAATTAGTATGAAACACGTCAGTCAGTATTTGACTCAATGATAAATTGTATTTGCTGACAAGGTCATTGTATCGACTGTAGAACGTAATATATGGCTTTTTCATATTCTTGTTTCATCAACTTGTTTGTCAATAATTTTTTGTAAATTATATACATACAGCATGCTCTTGCGTATCTAATCAATAGAGATATGTACACACCGTATGCAGGTGATGAAAGTATATTGCTGCATAAGTAAGGGAATTTGACCATAGAAAAGTTAATGTCATCACGTTCATCATAGAGCTTGGTTGTTAGATTACTATTATTGTCAAGTAAAATATCCAAATATGAAACAGATGTGTCATACTCTGTGGTATCTTTTCTTTTTGAGAAATACTTGCTGATAATAGATTCAAATATCCAAGAAATCAATCAAATGAAAGTGATCTGGTGATTTGAAATCATAGTCAAGGTCATTAAGAAAAATCAGTCAAGCCATTGACTAAGTTTACATGTATCGGTAATATATTTCAATTTCAAAAGTTTCAGTTTTTTAAAAATATACCAATGATTGTTCCATCAGCAAAGTTAAAAGTATGGCATTGCCGATTTCACGGAAACTTTGAAAAACATCTGTGCGCAAATCTGGGTACTGAATAACACCAGACAGCATTTCATGATAATATTCCATGATAGCTACAAAAAGAAAATTATAGAGGAACATTAGATGTGTAAAGAAATTTTAACTGTGCAAATTCTAAGAACTCTTCTATCTTCGTCATTAAAGCACTGATATATAAATTTTGGATGTAGTCGATCGTATAACAAAACCTGACGCTGTCAAAATTTCAGAATTTCATGAAAAAATCAAGGAAGGAAAAACACTGACTAATTTTAACTATTTATGATATAATGTATTACCTGGGGATCCGTACGCGTACAACTGTAGTTTACAGACTGGAGGCATCCCAGAGAGCAATGTCTGAACGTAATCCATCAATGTACCCTTCAACTACAGCAAGCAGAGAAAGCACCTGTTAGTTTATTACTCGACTTTTGGTGAGCTTGAGATAATTTTGATTCAAGTACCGTAATTAGTACTTACATTAGTTTCAACAACCTTGACTATTTCCTCTATCACAAGGGATATTCCTTGGTAACCAAGGAGACGACAGATAGACTGGAAGTGAGGTAAACCTATAAAACCTTGATATGGTTTGAAAATGCTTCCAAATGCCACAGATAATTCCTACAAAAAATAAAAAAGACTTGGCTGAACTTGGTAAAAGCAGCAAATTATGAGGATGAATAATCAGTGTGTATCATGGTTATACCTTCGATCCCCAGGTTAAAGTGTGAGAGGAACTAGGTGCTTTCTCACGTTCACACTGATCAGCAATCAAAAGGGTGGCCTTTATAAATCTTCAAGCACATAAAAAGATAACAAACAAAAAAAATAATAAGAAAAAGGAAGGAAAACAAAAGATTGTGTTGCGAATTGTAATTTTTAAACAGGTCGAACTGTTGCTTTACAATACTTACCTATTCGTTGCGGCGTTATAACAATAATGCGTTAAGAAATCATAACTTATTTCCCAGAACACATGGAGAGTGATGCGTCCAAACGGACTAGTGACCCTGTTATCGGCTTCATGCAGCATGTTATCAAAACTATCCAATGGAATAAAGTCTCTCATCATTTTATGAGCCAATCTATTACACTCGATCAGCTTCTCAAGTTCCTAGAGCAATTAACATACACATAATTTAAGGATTTTGCAACAACTTTTTTTTCGATACATAGTCGCTGAAGAAGTTTTTCTTAAAATTCATGTTAAATTTGTACAGTATTAGCATTTACCAAGATTCCTGTTAAATCGCTAGCCTCGAACCTGGATATAGCAATGTCCAGGGCTCTCTGAAGGGAAGTGTTGATTCGTTGGCCAATTAAGTGTTTGAGATCAATGGACCGACCCAGGATCTTAACGAAAGGACGTCCAAGTTATCATTACATTGTACACTAAATTCAAAGAGACGTTCTTGATATTTTCATATGATAGAATTACCTGTACTTTCCGTTGTTTTAACAGGGTATGGTACCTGTTGGCTGTGGGGTACGGGATTTTGTGTCCTTTTTTGGCACACTCTGCACGGAAAGTCTTGTCCAACATTATGCTTTAATTCAAGGAAATAATTTTTTAAGAATACCTGGTTAATTTTTTTCTAAGATTTTTTGTTTGCAAATCTTAATTATTTCAGTACAGCTTTAAAGATAAAACTTACCTGCCAGCTAGATGTTTGTAGTAAGCAAAAATCTGTTCGCTCAGTTTATAGACAAACTGATCAAAGCACAAATTTACCTGGGAAAAAAATGAATTACATGAGTATTTTAAAGCATTCTTGAAATAGTGAAAGACTAACATTCAATCTGTTCGGCAATTACTTTTGTATTCAGTGAGTAACAAACCTCTGCTTCGACTTCGTCATACAGAAATTGTCTGTGAAATTTCATGATGGCGTATTGACCACTGTCGTTGTATAAATCAAGTGGATACAAAATATACCTACAAAACAGATCCTTTAGTAGGGTTTAAAAAAGACATATTACGTTCACCGTCAGCCTGAATTGAAATTTCACTTGTTCTATATTTAAAATGTTCTACATCTTACTCCATCATTGAAGGATCTTTGGTTTCCAGGATATGGTCTGTAAGAATCCAAGGCATTGACATATCAATGGGAAACTGAAAAAAGTAAGTTCCTCGTTTTATATTTCACGTCTTCTAAATAAAATATATCGGTTTCTAATAGCAGTATTTTTTGTTACAGAAATGGCTACTACATTTATTGTAATGACTGATCATTGGGATAACCTGTATTCTTTGACCCATGGTCATCTCCAGGAAGTATTCTCTGAACCACAACTGAGAAAGATCACCACAGGCATGTAGGGATTCTGAAGTCCAAAAAGTATCACTTAGGTACGTTGTGTCTCGTCTTTCAAAAACAACCAATTTTTTAGACAAATGTTGGATTAGGCAGATTTTATATTTGTTGTAAAAAGAATTAAGAAAGTGAATCTACATCTATTCTATGTATCAACTTGAAATCATAAATGAGCCGTGGCATGCATTGTCTTAGAATTTCTCTTCAGGCAAAATTAGTTGCTGTGTGCCAAGTTTAAGACTTTCAGGCAGAGTTTTGACTTTTTTACAGAGATAAAAGAAACAGAAGCCAAACATGCCACATATGGTTGTGTAGATAAACTAGAGGTACTTTGGGCACTGGGCTCACTAAATAATATCTCCGCCTTCCATATGATTATAATGGCAAAGTACATGTTTTGCTCTGGGAGACCCGAATTAAATAAGTGTCAGATCAAAAAGTAAATTAGGAGGTGCTAAATGGTATTAAAAAAGAAACTGTAAAGAAACCTAAAATATGTGTCCGATTAAAAAACAGGAGATGCGCAAAGGCAATATGTAACAAAGATACTGTGAAAGTCTCTTTAAACTTTATTCAGTAGTATAAGAGAAATTGCGGATAAGAGATGGGTACTCCAAACCATTGTACGCATTGTGTAGCAATTATTCAATACACACTTTGTGTACATCATTGCATTGATACCTTGTGTACATCATTGTATTGATGATTCATTTTGACTATTAATCAATAAAGCCATGACAAAAACTGCCAATCAGTGTTAATCTGTTTTGTCGACATGTAATAAATGGACGGATGTAAGTCAGGCGGATGGACGTACATCCCGATCACTATATACCCTCCCACTTTTCAAGCTGGGGTATATTCAAAAGACAATGATGATTAAAAGTTTTCCATTGCTTCTCTGTAAAATGTGTAAATGTTTACGATTCTATGGAAGGGAACACCATGAAATTTGGAGTTGTATGCCTTGTGGTATTATTGGTAAAACAATGAAATTAATGAAACAGGTACCTGTGTTTTGGTTCACATTTTTAACCTTTCTCTTCATTAACAATTAGCTCACTAAATGATACCCCCCCGCTATGAATACTATGGTAATGTCCATGTTTTGCTATGGGAAACCCCCAAAATGTGTCGGATCATAAGTAAAATAGGAGGTGCACAATGGAAATATGTAATATTCTTTGAAAGTCTCATCAAATTTCATTCAGTGGTATGAGATTTCTATTAAACCACTCTATTTTACTTTTTGATCTGACACTTATTTCGGGCCTCCTAGAGCAAAACATTGACTTTGCCATTATAATAATATTTAAGGGGTATCATTTAGTGAGCTCAGTGCTTATATCACCTCTAGTTTAGGCTTGATAAAGATTTGAAGTAGTTTTAAATCTTATTATGCATCCGCTTGAAAAGTGGGAGGGCACATATATATAGTGATCGGGATGTCCGTCCTTCCGCTCGTCCGTCTGTTACACTTTTGGGTACCCATCTCTTATCCATAACTCCTCTTGTACCACTGATTGAAATTTAATAAAGCTTTCACAGAATCTTTGTTACATATTTCTATTGTGAAACTCCTATTTAACTTTTGGATCGGACAGATATGTCTGGTTTCCCCTAGAAAAACATTGACACTGCCATTCTTTTTATAATATTGAAGGGTACCAATATCTTATCCACAACTTCTCCTACACCAATGAATAGAATTTGATGATACTTTCACAAATTCTTTATAACATAATACCATTGTGCACCTCCTATTTTACTTTTTGATGACAGATATTCAGGGTTTCCCCTAGCATAACATTGACGCTGCCATTCTTTCTACGTGTATAATATTGAAGGGTATCCAACTCTTATCCTCAACTCCTGTTACACCACTGTATAAAATTTAATGAAACTTTCATAGATTCTTTATTACATAATGCAATTGTGCACCTCCTACGTTACTTTTGGATCTGACACTTATTTCGGGTCTTCCAGAAAAAAAACCTTGGATTTGAATCATATGGGAGGTGCTCTTAACATGGCAAACAACATTCATTATACTAGTAATCAGATTTTGATAATTGGCAAAGTTTCCTTAATCCAAATCGTTTAACATAGTTAAAAATGTCAGCGTTTACAGAAAATAAGTCTTCCATTATAAAAGAATGGAAAGAAAAGGATCTCTTTCTCAATTTGTGCGTGAATTAATCGTCTTAGCACCAAAAGCCTTCTTCTGGCCATCTAATATTGTTCTATCATATAAATATTTGATTGCAGAATCAATTCTCATGTAATGTTTTTTTTTTTATTTTGGGGGTGGGGGCGCCTAAAAAATACATGTAAATGTAATATATAATTAATACAAATATAAATATATACATTTCCATATTTAATAGTTCATAGTGCTCACTATTGAAATTCAGTAGGTAATTCCAGTGGAAGGACTGCTTTAGGAACTGGTTGATGGCAGTCACGTGATTGGCGTCCAATTCCTTCTTCAGTGATCTCTTCACTCCTACAGCACTCCGGTCCGTGATTGACTCCAACATTGTCCTCACCATGTACAACTGTGAAAGTTGTAAATATATTTTATTAGGCCCGCATTAAGTTATGAAAATGCGAGATTTTGCTTTATATAATCAAATATAATAGGGCTCGTTATTATGTTTATGCGCGATAAGTTGCTGTCACAGAAAAATAATGGGCTGGTCACATGAGCACCGACTTAGGGTTCCTTTTCATCAAAAGGTCTTTGAAGCAAAAGGTTAATACTATTGAAACATTACTTTTCAATCAGATGTTCATGCACATAGCCAGAGTCGCTCTAGATAACATGCACATTACTCTTTTTATGTTTCCTAACTTTTCATCTAGATATTGTGTATTGGATTTTTTTCCCAAATTGTATTCAGTTAACCATTTTCAAGTTTAATGCATATATTGAGTCAGTTGGTTTTTAAATAACTTTTTTTTTTAAGTTTAAGATTTAATCTTTAAAGAACTGGGGGCATCTGAAGAGACAATCTGTACCTGGGTGGCTGACGGTGCCACATTTTTACGGGGAACGTTTATGCCGAACCCTGTATCCGTGTCTTTTTTACCCTTGGCTGCGGGGTCACCTTCTGGTTCTTTGCCATCCTTCCAATCCACGCACGAATCCCTGACCGAAATAATCACCCTGCAAAACAAACAATATTACTCACTCATAAAATAATACTCATACATAATGATAATGCTATTATACAAATGGTATAGAGCTGTTTATGTGAGTTTAGCCGGGTAATTACATTTTAATAAGATCAGTTTTCTTCTTAACTGCCCGTCTTAGTGGCTCTCGCAGAAAAATCTGCGCAAAATCTTGCAAAACAGCATAGATATGTCTTCTAATGGCATCCAGAAACACAGACTCCATCCTAGCCATCAGGAGTTGTAGTCCCTTAATCATTGCAATCACTTCCACAATGGCAACCTTTTCATCACTACTGTAGTTATATCGGGTGGACTAAAAGAATTCAATAGTTTTAAAAGTTTTTGGTTAAGAAAGATGAAACATATGAAGATAATGAGCAGTATTCAAGATCAAAAGTTCATAAAACAATCAAAAATAGGGGCGGAGCAAACACGGCCCTTCAAAACATCAGAGGCAGGATCAGGTGTCATGGAGGAGTGAGCATCCCCTGCCGACCGGTCACACCTGCCGTGTGCTCCTTGTCATGATCGGAAAATAACGAGGAAAACCGTCGTCAATTCAGTGTATAAATTGTGGACTAACAATTAGTCAGCCTTTGACTCAATGATAAATTGTATTTGCTGACAAGGTTATTGTATCGACCACAGAACTTACGAAATGATGACTTTAAACGAGACTGCTGAAATTCTTGTTTCATCAACTTGTTTGTCAATAATTTACCTCGTTTTAGAAATTGTTCAAACGCAGAGCATATTCTTGCGTATCTTATCAACTTGGATATGTAAGCTCTGTATGCAGGTGATGAAGGTATATTGCTTCAAAAGTAAGGGAAGTTGACGATAGGAAAGTTAAAGTCATCACGTTTATCATAGAGCTTGGTTGTTAGATTACCATTAACGTCTTTTTCAAGTAAAATATCTACATATGAAGCAGATTTGTCAGACTCTGTGGTGTCTTTTATCTCAAGCTCAACAGGATATACTAGTATCGTATCGACATAAGGATGGAAATCATCATTGTTAATTGACAATATGTCATCGATGGTGTCTTTCATTTGATACCCATGGGAATTCAAATAGATTGTTGGAAGACCTGGTCTCCAAAAACAACATAGATATTGTCAATCAGACACACAAAAATCTTTTTGATGTTGACTTCAGAGTACTTGTGTGTACAATCAAAATGGTTTCAAACAAAATAATTTTGCAAATGACCAATGACAAGGTAAGTAAATTTTCCAGTTCCACTTTTATTAAAAAAGCAGTTGTCAATGATATCGAAAAGCCTGGACTTTAATTTATCGTGGGAAATGGTTGTGTTAAAAGTTGAAAAGTCGTAAGTATTTAAGCTGTTTGTTTTGGTAAAATCTTGTGATTTTAATTGTTCAAAAGTTCCTTGGAATTTTTAGGTATCCACATCTCATTTACACCACTTCTTGAATATATTGTTGCAGAGTACTCTTGAAGTTTCTCCTTCACTACTGTTAATATCTTAGCGAGGAGTAAAGAAAGAGGCTTGGTTGACCATTTACTGGAACTCGCTATGTATCTTTGTTTGTAAGGATTTTTATGAAGTTTCGGAATCCAATATATATATATATATATATATATATATATATATATATATATATATATATATATATATATATATATATATATATATATATATATATATATATGAGAAAGAGGAAGACACGACTCTGAGGAATGCTTTATAACTTACTCGTTCATATTCTTCTGAGTCTTGGGGACATTCCGGGTTCATGTGATGATCAGTAGGATTCAGTAACTTCCAGCAGTACTAAATAAAGAAAAGCACATGACTGTATAGGTTAATCTGAGAAAACTTAGTACATACATACTGTGTCAATGTGTTAACTTTTCAAAAAAAGTTTCATTTCAAACATTTTTCCTTCATCATTCCTTAATAAATCGAACATCCTTTGAAGGACCGTGTTTTACTATAGACTGTACAGCTGACCTAGCTGCATTGTCACGTTCAAGCTTTAAATAATCATATTTTGCAATAACCTGGCTGTGAAAATTTTATGCATATCCAATTTATAACACATTTAAGTGCCTAAAATGATCAATCAATAATTTAGTTTAAGTTTTAGACATCATATTAAACTGGATTGAATAGTTCTGTGGGAATGAAATTAAAAGTTAAAATTTCGGCCAATTTGGATATCTTTGGAATTGTCCCTTGAACAAGCGCGAGAACCTAAAAGTTATACCAAAATGGCCGAAATTTTCAATGATTTATGAATTATTGTAGGTAAATATAAATAATGTTTTTTGCATACTTACCAGCTCCATGACCCTCTGTGTCCATGACGACAAGTTGGTCAGACCACGCAGTGCCAGGTCATACAGCTCCTTGTTTTCTTCGTCAGATCGCGCGGATTTCGCAGATGTAGTCATTCTCTGATCAACAAAAAACGTACATAATTTTTTTTTTCATTTTATTTGCATCCTTGCGCGTGGATTGATTCTACTTTATTTTTCGACATTAAGTTAATGATAAGTTCTTCATGTCTTGAATTGCTTTCTTGCATGATTACTAGAATGCCCTTTAGTTATTTAGACCTATTATTTGATTTTCGAGCAAATTTTGTTATTAAGTCAGTTCTTATTTGATTACTTCATTGCTCCTCCGCGCTAACTCTGACACGTATTCGGTATGACTCTCCCTCAGCGCCTCCAGACTGGGCAGTATCTGAGACTGCTGGCTCGGCTGGTTCGATTCACAATGGCTCCACTTGGAGGAGTCAAAGTTAACGCTCTTCATGATGTACGAGTAAGGTTTCATTTGCATATCACCATACAGAGGGACAACCTCCATTTGCTGCGAAAAAGAAACATATATTTTTTTTTTTAAAAGAGCTTAAAAAAAGAAATGCCCACAATATAGCAGGTATGTAACGTTGGTACGTGCCACCATTTTTTTCCAAAGCGTAGTAGGACGTACCTTTAAAATTTTGTCTATTTTGGACAGATTGATTCTCTTCTTACTGTCCATTTTATAAATACTGTTGTCTTTACTGTCCATAAGAAACAGTCCAAATGCAATCACCTGAAAAGGTAAATAACCATACTAACAAAAAGCCATTAATTTGAAAGAAAAAACGCAACGACTTCATTATTATCCGTCTGGTCATTGAAGTGTAAAGCGGCTTGGTTTTTTCTTTATATTGTATTATTATTATATTATATGTGATGCTTATATTTCATTGTGAATTATATACCAGTATTTCAAATCTGAAAACTTTAGCAAGAGAGGATCAAGCCAATTTTGCACCTGATGCAACGATTACCTGTTAATGTTGTTATAATCATGATTATATTGTTTTTTAAATTGTATATGCCCCCCTGAGGGCCCTTGATTGGCGAATAAATAAATAAATCTTACACTGTTTTGCGTGTACATTTACAAATGTGACTAAATTTTTGTGAAACAGAACGGTCGTTCCAAGGTGTAAAACTGACGGTTTTTTTTTAAAAATAATATTTTCAAATGGTTAACCAACTATAGCATTTCTATTTAACTACCTATTATTAACCACATTGATTGCTTCCATACATGTACCTTGACTAACATGCTTTTCTCTCCCGGTTCCAGAAAGAGTTTGTTATCGTACATGTGTACGGAGATATTAACGACGTCAGCCAGCAGCTCCTCGTATCCAGGGGTCGTTTCTAGGGCTTCCTTCAGCAGGTCCCGGATTTTGTTCTGAGTCGCCAAAAACATCGACAGATTCTGGGACTCAGTCATTTTCTGTGGATCCATCATCATTCTTAAGCTTTGTACGGCTCTTTGAAACAAGAAAAGGGTAAGATGAGAACACTCTTATCTACAACTTGACTTTAAGTAATCTTGGAGTCTAAAGAAGTCCTGTACCTTCTATAGGCCGTATAGTCATTCTTAACACTGGCTTTCATGTTGGTGAGGTCGTTGAGCTCGGCGAAGGTGTTGATGAACTTTCCTATAGTCAGAAGGTAAGCCTCAGAAATGAAATCGTTCTTCCGTCCAGGGTGACATAGTCGCTTTATCTCCTCTCCAAATCTTTTAATGCTTTCTGTCTGTATGATTTCAGAAAAGTTTCATTGGACTGAAGATGTAACTCTACTGGTTTGTACATATTTCAAGGAAAAGAAAAGTAGAACCTAGTCATGAAATTCTTTTTTTATAACGTTTTTTCATTTCGTAGTATTACTTTACATGACGATGTATCCTGATGTTTTTGTTTTCTATACTTGTGCCAAGTTAGATCAAAACTGTAGGAGAAGCAACATTTTGAAAGAATTTCTCGTTTTTTTTCTTTTTTATCTTTTCATGGTAGTTAGGGTAATACTGATAACTTTTATGTCATAGTTTTGTTTTAGAAGTGGAAGCCTTATAGGAAATTTCTCACAGACCATACAGACGGATAAGCTCTCCGGGTAATTGACAAGGACAGCAAACATTTGAGGTGCTGGTTTATATTTTTTGCTTGCTTTTTCTTCCCATCATCAAAATAAACGTCTTTTTACATGTTTGAACAAGGGACAAAAAGCATTATCACATATATCTTTTTACAGTTCACATAAAGAACATAGGTAATAATGCCTGGTCCCCGAGCACGTATTTTCTTTTTGATTTCTCTTGGTAAGAAAATTGAGGAAGTAAATGAACGTACCTAAACAGTACAGAGACTGTACATGCATTTTTAATCTACATTTTATCAGATGTGATATATGTAATTACTGTAAACTTCATAAAGGCTAGCAGCTTAGAGACGAGCGGCTCCAGAACCTCCATGATCGTCGTGTTGATCTGTTCTCGGTTGTGCTGGTCGTTGCTCGCAATCTAAAGACAAATTTTAGAGGGGTGAAAAAAAAGTCCCGTGAAAACATTGTTTCTATATTCCTTTCATATAAGTTGTATGCTAAATTTTCATTTGAATCACTGGTTGAAAACTTTTTTATAATACATGACACAAAATAGGTCTCACCTGTGGTAATGCACGGGAACAGCATCTCCATGTGTAAAGCATGGCGGCATAATCTTGTGCCTCTTCTATCAGCTTGTTCTGTGTAGAAAAAAAAAGAATATTAAAAACTGTGACAGCATATTCTTAAAATCAGTTGTCCGCGAGACACTGTGGTTAAATCGATCCTTCGGATTCGACCGTATAAAACAAGGTCCGGTGTCGCAGTAGGTGCTGGCACAAAAAAGACCCGTCTCTGCTGAGTTTAGGTCTCAGTATGCAGCCTTCCGCCAGAAAATGGTACCGTCTCGATATACATGTATAATTGGGAAAATCTCGAAAAGGGACTTAAACAAAACAGATATATGAAATATATGGAGATAGCGAACAAGATGTTAATGGTAATCTGACAAAAAAGTTTTATGATAAACGTGAGTCTTTACATTCGTCAACTTCCCTTATGCAGCAATACACTCTTTTTACCTGCATTCGGGATTATATCTCTAAGGTCATACGATACGCAAGAGTCTGTTATAGATACGAATGAATAATTTATAAATCGAGGTAAGTTATTTGACAAACAAGTTGATGAAACAAGAATATCATCAGTCTTGTTTAAAACCGTCAGTTCTAAAGTTCAATTAAGAAATGAATTTTATTTTTGAAGATTCATGAGGTTATGAACTACGACGCTTTACGCCGTCATATTTCATGAAGCACTTTAGCGCTTCATGATAAATATGCCTGCGTGAAGCGTTGTAGTTCATATACCTCATGAATCTTCAAAAATTAAATTCATTTCTTATATTTACATTATTTTCCTGATGACCTGCCATAAATGTACGCCATTCAACTGTCATTTTTAAAGCAAAACAGTGTGCACTATATTTTTTGACGTCAAGTGCGGTATTATGACGTAACAATGGAGATATTCATGCTTATTCGTAGTATATTTGTAATGTAGTTCATGAGAAAATGAACTGCATTTTATTTTCTTGAAGAATCATAGGGGAAATTTATTGTAAATGTAAATATTGGTTGATACAATGACCTTGTCAGCAAATACAATCTACCATTAAATCAAATGCTGACTGATTTTTTCCTAATAGTTAAGCCATTATTTCACACACAAAATTCTCGACGTCGACGGAATTTTCCATAAGTTCCCGATCATGACAAGGAGCACACGGTGGGTGTGACCGGTCGGCAAGGAATGCTCACTCCTCCATGGCTACATGTACTGATCCCATCTCTTATGTTTTAAGGGCCCGTGTTTGCTCTGCTCCAATTTTCTATTGTTAAATGGACTTTTGAACTAAAAAACTGTTATTTCCATTTATATTTCATTCAAGCTCAAATGTCCATTCAAATTAGAGAAAATTGGAGGAGTGAGCATCCCCTGCTGATCGGTCACACCCGCCGAGTGCTTCTTGTCATGATCGGGAAAAATCTGCCGTCATTCAGTGTACAAAAAATGTACTTACAATTAGTATGAAAAACGTCAGTCAGCATTTGACTCAATGATAAACTGTATTTGATGACAAGGTCACTGTATCAACCATAGAACTTACGAAATTATGACTTAAATTGAGAATGCTGAAACTCTTGTTTGTCAATAATTTACCTCATTTTAGGAATTGTTCGTACGTAGAACATGCTCTTGCGTATCGAATCAACTAAGAAATATAAACTCCGTATGCAGGTGATGAAGGTATATTGCTGCATAAGTAAGAGAAGTTGACGATAGAAAAGTTAAAGTCATCACGTTTATCATAGAGTTTGGTTGTTAGATTGTCATTAATGTATCTTTCAATTTAAATATCCAAATACGAAACAGATGTGTCAGACTCTGTGGTATCTTTTATCTCAAGCTCACCAGGATATATCGTATCAATATAAGGAAGAAAATCATCATTGTTAATTGACAATACGTCGTCGATATATCTAAAAGTCGAGTTGAGAGCCACAGCAAGTGTTTCCTTCTTTTCACACATAAGATTTTGCACAAATTCTGCTTCATATGAGTACAAAAATTGGTCTGCTAATAACGGGGCGCAATTGGTACCCATGGGAATTCTAATAGATTGTTGGAAGACCTGGTCTCCAAAAAAGACAGAGATACTGTCAATCAGAAACTCAAGTATCTTTTTGATGTCAACTTCAGAGTAATTGTGTGTATAATCTGAATGTTTTTTTTAACAATATAATTTTGCAAATGACCAATGACAAGGTAAGTAAATTTACGAGTTCCATTTTTATTGAAAAAGCAGCTGTCAATAATATCAAAAAGCCTGGGGAATGGTTGTGTATAAAGTTGAAAAGTCGTATGCTTTTAAGCTGTTGATTTTGGTGAGGAAGATAAATAAAACAGATGACAGATTAATCAAAGTATACAAGAAGAAACTCAATGTCCCTATAAAACTTAATTCTTCAGACAGGAGTTGAAATATATATATTCGAATTTAATGAACTAGAATGCAGTACTAAAACATTTCATGCCGCATTTGTTAAAGCAGGAAAAAAGACATTAGGATTGAAAAGGATAAAGAAGGAATATAGAATACCATCAAAGACCTCTGTGTTTGTATAAGGAATCAGACACAACAAAACAGACGGTACATGCACTGACTTACCGCGAAGTGGGATAGATTGAAAGACCAGCTAAAATTCACATTTTTAAACGAGATAAAAAGTAAAGAAGCAGAGAAGACTACATGGTACGCTTTTGTCTCATCTTAAAATTTTTGAGTGGAGAAATTGTGGTACACCGGTGTGTATATTAAATAAGAGCTTACCGCCAGTATTTATCAAGCATATATCTATGAACAGAAGCTAAAATAAATGATTTTTAAGCATAGCATACGGATATCAACATTGACAGACAGGGATAATTAAAACAAGCCACCAAAAAATAAGAAAGACGAGTTGACTGACAAATAACCGAAAAAGGATTTTGTCGTTGTCAGCTACCAGCGATATCCTCAGCAAAGTAGACTTAAACTGAATGTCTCCGAATTCAGTGGTACACCCATACATAAGCTAGATTCAGAAAAGATATTTCATGGAAGCTTTTTTCTTAGAATAATGTAATGAATGTTACATTACACTGTAAAAAAATAACTAGTTAAAGTCACGAAGAAAACTAGTAAATTTACTGTCCATACAATCACTACCTTAATAGTAGATTTACCAGATATTGGTATATTTATACTAGATAAGATTTGTAAATTTAGAATTGATGAGTAACTTTCACTAGGTTTCTAAGTATCTATACGACCCCCGCTCCACAACTCACTAACTTAACCAGTAAAATGAAAGTTTACTAATCACGACCAACGCTTTACGAGGCACACTAGTTAAATTCACTAGGTTTTTCTTTCAGTGTATGCCTTGTATGTCACCTTCATCGAATTTTCAGTAAGGTACCTGACAATGACCTACTGTAGATCACTAAATTTTCGCGACACCTTATTTTCGCGAGATAGGCATTGATTCTTGATTAAGCGAAACAAAATTTTCACGAATTGTGGTTATTGCTCTATATGATACTAAGAAATACTATTATACGCGAGAATTGAATTTTTGCGAGTATACTGTCTCGCGTAATTACGCGAAAATAAAGTTCTCGTGAATAAAAAGTGATTTACAGTAACTTATTTTAATTTTAGTAAAAAAATTGCACACTGTGGTACACTGAACAAGCTCACTTCCTTTAGACAAATGTCTTGCAAGCAAAGACTTCTAAACAAGGATGAATTGTCAACTGTGATCTTTCCTTTCTGCATACACTGGCTTTTGAAAATCAGAAGTCAGATCAGTAATAGAATATATCATAGATAATGCAATGACATCGTATAACTAGCACAGCAACCAAATGATATTCAAACAAAACCAGTGATCTATACCAGTATGACAAATACATTAAATATCAAGGAAACAGAGAGATCAGCAACAACAGAATAGGAGGATACAACATCATTCATCCGGGAGGCAATATTATAGACTAAGAAGATTCCACCATGGATGTTAAAAATAGGATTACAGAGTAGTGCTACATTTGCAAAACTTGCAGAATATTTGAATAGTACAAAGAATCAGATTCAAAATCCAAAAAGAGAAGATTTTTCAAGAAAATCAAAGTTAAATTCTATTCCGTCCTGTTAAGTTCCTGCGTCTTGGGTTTTAAAAAGGGATCTGTCTCACAAAAGTATTTAAAGTATATACCTTCCAGACAAGATGCCTCTACAGAATCAAGATATTGTAACCAAAATTTAATAGTATAAAAGAAAATCTGCAGTAGCCCTAAAATGAACTCCGCCAAGACAGAAGGAGGAACCTGAATTGACATAACAAAGATAAGTAGAAAAGGAGATAAAAGACAAGAGATGGACTTGGAGACATGGTTTAGCAAGATTACTGACAGACTGAAATGTCGGTACGAAGTGGACCTCGTGAGTAGAAAATATTTCCTTTTATTCATATATTATGACATTTACTTTCCTTGAATAAAAATAAAATTTGCTTCTTTAAAAGAGTTTATATAAGGAAATACAAAAATGTCAACAATTGACAGAAGCTTATCTATTTCTTAAAGAACTTCCTGTATAAACAACAACTTGTGTACTGAATACCAATAATAATGCTCATATATGCTGTCATTTTTATATTTTTATGTTTGTTTTGTGAAGGTAAACTAAAACTTTATTTAGAGCTTCTCTCTCTCCTTGTTGAAAATTGATATAAAAAATCGAAACAGGTATCGTTATTGCTTTTTCTAGAAGGGAGAAAAACTTTTCCATTTGTTGCATGTCGATCTTGTGCCCTGGATATATTTAATTGTATTACCTTAGATTGAGCACATCCTAGCAAAGGTTTAGAGTCAAGTCCCAATGATCTGGAACATACGAGGATACAAAAAAAGCCAAGAAGTAATAATAATTAAATACTGAGACGCTATCAATACCAATTAAACATTGTTTCAAACATTTCCATAGAAGTATACCACGTCCTTATATTTTGTAACATAATCTTCGACTCTAATTCTTCCTTGATACAAAACTTATATTGTACTCATCCCGTTAAAATGTCCATTTTAAACCGTGTCCAAGCTGCAAATCTCAGTATGATGTAGCTCTCTTATGGACGTTATTAAAACAATTTTAAAACAAGATGTGCTTGTGATACACAGATGATTCGTATGGAAGCACATGGTGAAGGTTATAAGGTAATTCTTGAATTCAAATCAAACTGCCAGATCAAGAGATCAAAAAAAGGAAGGACTGTCTCAGTAAGTACTAAGTATACCTATGCCAAACATTAAACATTCAAATGTTATGGCCAAGATTAAAGTTTTTATGACCCCATAATCGGAAATTCGGGGGTACACGTGTATAGTTTTTGCTCTGTTCATTTGTCTGTCCGTTTGTTTGTACGCAAAAAAATTATCTTTGTCCATAACTTTTGATTCCTTAGAGTTGTGGTTTTCATATTTCACATGTGTATTCCTTGTGACAAGACCATCTCTTGGGTACAATCATATTTGACTTCTTGGCCTTGGAGTTTGACCCACTTTCGCAAAAATTTACAGAACTTAAACCTTGCCCATAACTGTTGAACAGTTGGTTCTTTGGCTTTCATATTTCACATGCGTAATCATCGTGACAGGACCTTTCCATGGTTGTAAATATTTTTTTACCTTTTGGCCTTGACCTTAGAGTTTGTCCCATTTTAAAAAAAAACTTTAACCTCTTGGCCATAATTTTTTGAAAACTAGTATTAGGTCTTTCAATTTTTACAGGAGTATACCTTGTGACAAGACCTTCCTCTGGATGCTAAAAGTTTGACCTTTTTGCCTTGGAGTTTGATCCACTTTCACGAAACTTTAACTTTCGCCATACGATGCCATACAAGGGGTATTAGTGTTTTCAAAACACACACACACATCTTGTTAAGAAATTCCAAGATCAATATTAATGGTACCCACAGGAAGGCCTTATCATAGGAAATATATGTTTGAAATAAAAAAGCCCATAGCACTTATGGTCAAGGTTAAAAGTTTTAAAAGTAAGTCAAATTCCAAGGTCAAAATATTTGGTACAGTATCCAGAGTATAAAGGCCTACAAGGAATACACCTATGAAAATGGAAAGTCCTAGCTTTAACTGTTCAAAAAAGATGAGACCCGAGTTAAAGTTTTTCAAAGTGGGTCAAGGTCTAAAATACTAGTATTTAAACCCAAGGAAACGTCTTGTCTTGATGAATATACATGTGAAGAATAAAAACAAAAGCACCAACTATTCAAAAGTTAAGACCAGGGTTAAAAAAAATTTTGCACCAGTGGGTCGAACTCAAGATCAAGAGGTCAGTATGTTGGTACTCAAACAAAGGTCTTGTCACGGGGAATAGACATGTGAAATATGAAAATCATAGTTTCACCAAAATTTATCGGCTACGTTCAAGTTTTGCAGGCAGATAGACGGACAGACAAGGCAAAAACTGTGATTACCCCTATTCTATGATTAGCGGGGCACAATATAATATTGCATTGAAAAATTCTATGTATAGTATTGGAGAAGGAGAAATTTTAGATTGGTATTTCTTGTGACCAACAATAAGTCATGACCATACTGGACTTTGGGTAAAATCTCTTGTAGCACTACGTACCATGTCAGCATGGACCGTTGCTTCTTCAATGTACCTCGCTACCCCCGTGACGTAAGCATTCCTGTCCTCAAAGTTGGTGTCAAAGTTCACCTGGTACTGAATGGAGAGCGACATACCCTCAATGCTGGGAGGGTCCCCATGATGGAGAAGACCATGAAGAGCACCAACCTTCCCGAGGGCCTCCGAAAGCTCCACCCTCTCCACGGCTGGCACCGACTCAGTCTAAAGCATAAGAATCAGGAAGTCACTTGTAGCTTTACTTGATCTTCTCAGATTTCCTCTTGCTTTAGATAATGAGTTCTCATTATGTTTACTTGCTATAAGTAGTTTATTTTGATTGTTTTGTCAAGGGCCCAGTACTTTGTACTGAAAAATTTTATATCTACTTAGCAGCTACATGTGCAACTTTCGAAAAATGGCTTAATACTCAATGCAATTCCAAAGACCATTCTTAAAATAATATATCATTGATACCTGCCTACATCTGTTATCAAAAAAGAGGAAATTTGTCTTTGTACACATTCTAAATTTAAATCTTAGGTCTTATTTCTCTATTTTATTCAATGTAATGTTCAATGTACACCAAAAAAACTATACTAAAAAGTTTCCCACAGGTTCATGAATAATCTGTCATTTTCGCTCAGGTAGATTAAAAAATAAACAATCGTGTTAAAAGACCATAGAGGAAGAAGTTTGACAAGTATAACAAATACAAGGCGGAGCTCTCCTGTGTTTGGTCTTGATTTAATTTTTAACAGTTTATCTTTCAATACTAATTAGTAATTACGCAACTTAAAAATAAATGGAATGAGAAACAAGTGTCAACTTACCATAGTCGGTGCTGTATCTGCTACAAATACGTATCGTCCGTCCTATAACTTTGAGGAAGTCGCTATAAGCCTATTACTTATATCGCAGCTTCAGTCGAGCGAGACGGGAACTCGATCCGATAGATCACCCCGCCCTCCCCGGGAAAATATTCACCTGATCCAGTAAATCTGACCAACCGTGTCTTGTTCCGGGTAGTATTAAATGTTCTCCTATTTATTCTGTTATTAACATTGTGTAGATAAGTTTTCTACTTGAATGCTGTTGACCTTGACGAAACCCCGATGATAAACTGTGTATTACCTGCTTTACCTTATCAAGGTTTATTTTTTAACTTAAAAAAAAACATGCCTTTCATGTTCACGTGAAAGATCTATTTCTCCATAATTGAATTCGATCTTTGACAATTACAGGGCAGTTGCTAAATTAATTTCACGTATGTATGAAAAACCTATTATTTTAAAATAAAATAAATGGAAAACGAATTTGCTTACTTACAACAGTTTTGTCATTCATAGGTGATACATTGACACTTCTAATCCAGTCAGTGCTACAATAACTACCCAGCTATTCTGGGAACAAAAACCTTCACCACATCATACCAGTATATACTTGATATTTACCACTACTTAAATCTTTATAAATCATTAAGTGGTTCCTTGGATAACTTGATATTAGTTTCCTTCACTTTATAAATTGTTTTTTTTTCTCTGTAATGTTATGTGATGGGAAACACTAGAATTTTGGGAGATAATATTTACAAGGAAGTAGGTTCCTGCGACAAAGTTTGAGGGGAAAATTAGACATAGACATACTAGACTCTCCTTCGTTTGAATAATAACACGGACAACTTTAAATCGTGTGACAAATTGGTAAGATTAGCTGTTGTGTGAACCCGTTCTTATTCAGAATATGTAGCCAGGTAAGATGCATGGTATAAATTTTAAACGAATTTTCCCAATCCGAATTGGGTTTTTCCCTGTAGTGCCTCTAAAACATGATTCTAAAATGTTCAATACATTGTATCTCGAACCCATTTACACAGAAGAGTACACTATTGAAATATTAAACTCACACAAAAGTGGAAAATTATGATTTTATTATGATTAATAATTACAAATGGTATGAATATACCGGTATGCTAGTTTGTATAAAATTTATACAAGTTTACACGGCATGCAATACACAGAGCGTATATCACTGTAAAATTTACTAAGTCAAAAAATTGAATAATTCAATTTATCACTCTTATACTGTCTGAAGACAAACGCGATAAAATGTTTCACTTCTGTAGAAGAGGAAGACAACATGTTGATTTTTCTCTCAGCTGCTTTCTTCCTGATTCCTTTAATTTTCTGAGATTCCAAAAACGACAAATAAAAGAGCCGTATAATTTTATTGCTGCAACAAACGCAGCAATCACACTTGCGTCAGTATTATATGGTTGTTGCTAATGATTGGTGTATCGGTGGCTGGAAACAGCGCACGTGTTCGACAGGAATACTTTCAGAGTCACTGGTCTTCAAGTATTTGTTCAATACGGCAAAAATTTGATTGTTTAAAATCTGGAACTTTCTTATGCGATCCACCATCTTTTTCAATTGCTGAAAAAACAGAGATACATGTAACTGTAGTACTTAACACACAGAGATATCCCGTATTCTAAAGATTGTCATTGTTTACCAACAAGTCAGCAATATTTCAGCCATATTTCGGGGGAAACAATAGGTTAAGATACTTACAATGCCTTTGACGTTTTCATCCTTCATATCTACACGGTTGACCTTAAGAACGTGGTAGCAGAAATCTAGTGCCTCAAACCTCCGTTGCTGTGACAACAGGACAATGAGGGCACATCCGGCCCAGTTCAGTCCCTCCCCATAAAGCTCTCTGTAATGAATCTTCAGCATTCAAATTCTGTATAACAAATGATTTCAGAACATGATACTGACATTTGATAAACATAATAGCCAACTTACTCCACCGAGTACTCGTTTTCTCTGACTGGCATACAGTACACGAATTGTATGGCGCTCCAGAGTCGGTGGAACTCTGTACACTCGTCAATGTTCATGACTCCATTAGCTGGCTGCTGGCCGTGCCAAATCTGATCCTCCACAAACGTCTTGATTCTGGTCAATACGATCTCAAACATGGATAAACCGCAGCACAGCCTCTCTCTGGTAAGTAGATCACCTTCGGCTGCTATGTCTGCTTGCTGTTCAAAGCCAAAATGAAAATTACATGTACCAGTATATGACGAAAAGATAACCAGAAGTCTCTGCCGAGACTGTAGCTCTACTGGTTTGTACTTAGCATTTTAAAGGAATTTCACAGAAAATTCTATTTTTAGTAACCATGGCAACACCGTTCATTGAAATCAAAAACCAATGCACTATTCCATGTATCTTAGTGTTGTCTACTTGTGTGCCAAGTTATACTAAAATCAGACAAAAACTGTAGAAGGAGTAGCGTTTCAAAGGAATTTCACAGAAAATTCTATTTTTAGTAACCATGGCAACACTGTTCATTGAAATCAAAAACCGATGCACTATTCTATGTATCTTAGTGTAGTCTACTTGTGTGCCAAGTTATATTGAAATCAGACCAAAACTGTAGAAGGAGTAGCGTTTCAAAGGAATTTCACAGAAAATTCTATTTTTAGTAACAATGGCAACACCGTTCATCAAAATTAAAAACCGATGCACTATTCTATGTATCTTAGTGTAGTCTACTTGTGTGCAAAGTTATATTGAAATCAGACCAAATCTTTAGAAGGAGTAGCATTTTAAAGGAATTTCATAGAAAATTCTATTTTTAGTAACAATGTCAACACCGTTCATCGAAATTAAAAACCGATGCACTATTCTATGTATCTTAGTGTAGTCTACTTGTGTGCCAAGTTATATTAAAATCAGACCAAAACTGTAGAAGGAGTAGCATTTTGAAGGAATTTCAAAGAAAATTCTATTTTTAGTAACAGTGGCAACAGCGTTCATCAAAATTAAAAACCGATGCACTATTCTATGTATCTTAGTGTAGTCTACTTGTGTGCCAAGTTATATTGAAATCAGACCAAATCTGTAGAAGGAGTAGCATTTCAAAGGAATTTCATAGAAAATTCTATTTTTAGTAACAATGTCAACACCGTTCATCGAAATTAAAAACCAATGCACTATTCTATGTATCTTAGTGTAGTCTACTTGTGTGCCAAGTTATATTAAAATCAGACCAAAACTGTAGAAGGAGTAGCGTTTTGAAGGAATTTCACAAAAAATTCTATTTTTAGTAACCATGGCAACACCGTTCATTGAAATTAAAAACCGATGCACTATTCTACGTATCTTAGTGTAGTCTACTTGTGTGCCAAGTTATATTGAAATCAGACCAAAACTGTAGGAGGAGTAGCGTTTTGAAAAATACAGACAGACGGACAGACAGACGGACAGACAGACAGACAGAAAGCACGGCCATCCAACAAATATCGCATAAGCTCTTCTGGTCTCTGACCAGTAGAGCTAAAAATGAGAGCAAAGAAAACTAAACACCTGGTCTCTGCTTACCTGCGGTGTCCCCAGTTTGCTGATGACCGGGACCACCTGTAAGGCGGCGTATTTAGCCTCCAGCCTCTTCATCATGTTCTTCAGTTCCTGTTCTTTCTCCTTCCGGTTATCACCCTCTATTGGATATAATTTACATATTCCAGTTGAAAAATGGTTTTTGTCATTTTTTGGCATCGAAACCTCCGAATTCAAATGCATTCACATAACTGAATAATTATCCATATTAGATTGTACTGACAAATTCAGATAAAAATTCATTCAGTCTTACCTTTGATTGGTATGAAGGGCTTCGGAATGATGTTCTGAAATGGAGCCGCATGTTTCAAATCACAAACTTCTTCCTGGGTCTGTAAAAAGAAAATAAACATGATCTGAGTCTCTAAAGCACTCCAAACATTTTTTTTTATTTACAGGTGATTATCTTTCTGTAGAACTCCTTTTCCTTCCATTTGATTATGTTTTCATGGAAACAAAATACTCTTGTGACTAAAGTTAACATATGGGTCATGAATTTTGGTGTTGAAAAATCCTTGGCACAGAAATGCATGTACTCTGAAAAATGCACGTGCAATTTATTTAAAATCTAAAATGGCATAAAAAATGGGACTTGTTACTTTAAGAGCAGTTTGGTGAAAAACTATCTCTAACTCTATATAGGACCAAAAAAAATGTTTGAGTAAGAACAGAACTTAATTATAATCGGTAATGAATTACAATAGAGACGGATTTAGTACCACAAAAAGCACGGCCATCCAACAAATTCGCATATTTGTCGGCGCATGATGAAGATTATCAAAATGCCCGCATTAAAATACAAGTATGGACCTCTCGAAAGCAAATTTTAACACATATGGGCCATATTTTTATCAAAAATCACAGTTAAATTACATGTACATAGGCCATATAATTTTAAAACACCATCAACATGATCAAGCATTTGCTATTCGTTGAATGTTTTAATCAGGTATTCTTTTCGAAGGTTAAAACTGATTGAGAAAAAACATTAAAAAAAACTTGTACAGATAAGGGGGGATAAGGGCTCTTGATGTGAGAGGACAGGTTGTCAGTGGGTTGTCTACAAGACACATTGGATGTTTAAACATCGTGCACTCCTATTACAATCTGCTGTTTATTTAGCTGGATAACTATCCATCTCCTATCACAAAGCTTTAAGGACTAATTCCATTTGCTATACAAATGTCGTTTCTACCAGATTATTAAGTAAATATGCTATTTTCCGTCTTCTCTGCATTTAAAATAGCTCGATTTTGTATGTACCTTGCAATAATCACACGTCAAGTGCAGAATGAAAAAAATAATTACAAAAGTTAACAATTTAAAAGATTATTTAAAAAAGAAATTATTGCTTAAAACTTTATTTTGAAATAAAATAGGTAAGTTTTTTGAAATCTTAATAACGAGAGAGGACTTCGTCCTAAATTCCGGTACCATCACAAACGTATTCGAACAGCTGGAAGCAGGAAGGTAGTGACGCAACATAAAGATGACAAGTTCGTTATCACTTCTTATCAATTTAAAATTATAATAAATCCCTAGACCCACATTTCATCTCAACAGGTGTTTATAGTACAAAATCTCGGTTTATCTACACAAACTTTTCATCAAAGTATCACGACCTGCCAAGTTCTTTGATGAATTTTGGAATCTGAGAAAGTGAGAAGAAAAGATACCACACGGTGTATCTTTGTATAAGCTTATTCTAACATATACAAAACTCTCAGATATATACAAAACGGTAAAAACAAAGTCTTACGACGAACCCGTGCTGAAACGGTCAAAGACTCGAACGCATGCATTTCCGGGACGACTAACAGGTGGTAAGGAATATACAAGATAAGGAATCGTCCCCCTTGTCTGTGACCCTTGTCGCGCGTGTTCCCGGCTAATTAGCCCGTAATTACCGCCATTTTTGGAGACAGAACGTGGAGGGACCCGGCACCCCCTGGTGGAATTTTCGCCTAATCATATCTGGAATAAACAAACATTCGTGCGCAGCGATGACAGGAGTAATCTGTTACAAGAATTGGTGAGGAGTCTCGGCATGATAAGATCTGGTACTCATGAGGGATACAGGAAAACCGTGAAGGTGGAGAGCGGACTCAGTCTATATGTAACCTTATAGTGTGTGTCAGAGGATCTTGTACCTAAAACTGTGGACTAATATACTACAGGTAATTCTTTGGTACTATGTAAAGTACATTTACCGCTAAGTATGTCAAATGATAACAGTCTTCAATTCACACGGAAATTTGTACTATTAACGGAACTGTCATATCATGTTAAGGATATTTTATGTGCTTTAGGATTAATTAATTAAAGGAAGTTATACCCAAAAAAGAAACAAAATTACATCTGAAAAAATTCCTCCAAAAAACAATTCCTTATAATTACCGCGTTAAAATGGAAATATTGGTTAAATATTTCCCTAGAATTAGTGATCATACTTAAAAATGAAATTCGTGGATTTAATCAAGAAATGAGACGATTAATTTTTCCTCATATAAAATTTCAATCTGATAAAAGCATACCTTTGCTATGCTCCGGAATTCTCATGGTCGCTGTTTTGTACAGAGACCATCAGAAATTTCACAGCGTAACAAAGATCCGATTTTAATTCAAAAATGAAAATTCTTACAAAATACTCATAATGAGATATACTGCCAACAATAGGGAAAAAAAACAAAATTCTTATGAATTCTCAGAATTATCAATTCTTAGAATTGTAAAAATTAAATACATATTTAACTTACCGGTAAAACCCTAGACGTCATATTCATATAGAATAGATAATTAAACACACATAAACAATTATTTTAACTGAATAAAAATCAACTGCTGATATTCCCATTCGACGTCCAGTAACTTCCAAAATAGTAAAGAAAATTATGTAATTAAAACATAAAATTAATATAATTTTTTTAAATTTTGCCGAAGTTTGACACTGTCTTTAGTAAATGTAATGTCTTTTGTATCGTAGGGAACAATTTCAAAAGAAAACTTAAACATCCTAATGTCGATTTCTTTCGATAAGGTCTCAAATGTACCAATGGAAATGTCTCAGTAAAACATATTCCTAATAAAGATCGGATAAAAGTGGCCTATTACAGAACTGGAGTTATTTACATGTATTTTATCTTTTGAAAATATTCCATTGAAATGTTTTCTTTTATTTTCGTGATATCATTTTAGGCATATGATAAAATAGTTATATATTAATTTTCTGTTTTGGCGAACGTCTTACATTGAAAGATTTGGACAGAAAAAAACTTATGTGAGCAAGAATACTTCATATAAGTTTTATTGAAGATGATGATGATTTGTGTCCATATATTTCTTGATTATTCTGGTTAAATAGACTTGTGGAAACTGTTTAACAGTTTAATACTTGAATATGTTTCTCTTCCTTTTTCTTTATTCAAATGAAAATTAGTACTAAGATTCTGTATTTTCTATAGGTAATTAAAATGGGTGACTGCAGCTTTAACTCCACGGAAGTGAATTTCCCAGAAGCCACGTCTGATCTGGAAAGCGTCACAAAATGGCTACGATTCTGTAAGGCCGCTTACGTCGACAAATGTGACATGTACCACCTCCATCCGCGTCTCTCTAACCTCTCCTTCTTCTTCAGCGAGGCGACGGAGGAGGACTGCTTGAACACCAAACAGCTAACGGCCTACTGCATCTCCATGATCCTAAGTGTTCTGATCATCCTCGCAAATAGTGTCATCCTCGCTGCGTTTGTGTACGGCCGAAATCGTCTGCTGAAGAGCTCCAATATCCCCATCATCAGTCTAGCACTCTCAGATCTCCTGACAGGGATTACCTTTCTTTATACGTCTACATGGAATCTCATCATTTTGGATGCTGGCTATGACTTTGATTTGATGAAGATTCAATACTATGCAAGCATGCGTGCCAACTACTACCTGTGCTTAACTCTAGATGGACCTGGTTTTGTTTTCGCTTGCATGATGTCCTCTGTTTTAAGTCTGGCCGTCATTGCATCAGATCGCTACCTGGCGATTTTCCATTCTTATCGCTATCACTTCTGGATCACTACCCCAAGAATGGTGGTAGCAGTTATAATTATCTGGTTAATTTCTTTAATAGTCAGTGTTCTTCCTTTGATGGGTTGGAACAATTGGAGTGGAACATGCCAGTTGACTGACGTTATGGATTATGACTATCTCGTGCTGTGGAGCTCTATTTGCTTTATTTGTGGATTTCTCATTCTTTTCATATATCTGAGGATATTTATAGTGGCTAGGAAGCACAGTCGTCAGATTCAGGCACAGGTGTCTTCTACAACTAACACCAGTGAAACCGTTCCACCAGAACCAAGGGTCAGCAAAGATTTCACAACTGTGAAGCCTAGAAACAATACCTCTAGTTCTCTTACAAGTTCAAAATCCACTGTGGACTATCTGGAAGATAGTGGTTGCCATGATGTCACAGAGATGCATAATATGTCCACACAAGAATCAAACACAAGTGAGCTACAGAACAAAAAGGAATCCTTGGAGGAGAATATTGATGAGAAAGAAGATGCAGACAAAAAAGAAGCCGCAGCAAGGGCAGAAAATGTAGATCCAGGCACAAGCCAGGAAGACAGTAAAAATAAAGACAAAGATGTCAATCAGACTGGTGAATCAGACAGCAAGACAAAAGGGACAAAACAAGAGAAGAAGAGATCAAGTGGTGCAACAGTGGTCTTCATGGCTGAGACCAAAAACTCATCAAAATCGTCCAAGAAGCAAACCGACAAAAAAGGATTTCAAAAACCGACCATGAAGGCTGTACGGACCACAGCCATGATCCTGGGGGCTTTCTACCTATGCTGGACCCCTTTGTTGGTGTACCTACTACTGAAAGTTCAGGATCAGTTCCACAACCTCACACTGTATTATCTGTTTGTTGTGACACAGCTTAACTCTCTGTTTAACCCCCTCGTGTATGGATTCAGACAGATGGATATAAAGAATACACTCCACAGGATGAGAACATGTCAAAAGGCATACTAACTCTGAGAACTTTAATGATCAGAACATGTTTATCTAAAAAGGAACAATCTTTACTGAAAAACACAAATGTGCTAGAACTTGGGCATTGCATGGTGCATTTTATCTTGGGCATTTCATGGTGCATTTTAAAGTTCTCGTTGTTCCCTTTCAAAATCGTGACATAAAATGAAGCAAAAGTAGGAAAAATGGTGATTGATTTCTAACACAACTCCTACTCATACTTCGTATAAAATGGGAACTGTTTTTACACCATTTGTTGTGGTCCTAACGAGCCTGCTGAGCTGAATCTCAAATACAAAGATCTGAATTTTGTATAACATTACATACTAGCCACACACAACTTTAAGTCAGCCATGTGGAAACTTACTTTTTCTATGAAATGATATATTAACACAAAAGGGAACTCAAAAACTTCCAGTTTGAATTTTTTGTTTAAATAACAAATATCAATCTAACTGTATTATACCCAGCACACATTAGTATAGATTTGAAATATATTTAGATTTGTAAATATTAAATACGCATGTATTTGATGTATCCCATAATAAAATGAATAAAATGATTTTTCTATTGTTTTCTCAAAGCAACTTGACATCTTTATTAATGTTTAATCTGAAATTGCTTAAAGGCAAAGACTTTTACAATATCCATGATGTATAATTTAAAATTATATACACTCTGATATTCCCTTAGCTTTGTAATTACGAAGGGGTACATATATTTTGGCAAAATTCTATAAATGTAATGGAGTTATTTTAGTATCATCAGCCTCTACTGATCATGGTTAGTGTTTGGTCAATGATGAATGAACAAATAATTGAAAGAAACTCTAATTGTCTCTGATATGTTATTGTAAAATTCTTTTAAATATTGGTTTAGCAATAACTATCTAAAATGAAAGCAGGATTTGGTTACATTTTGAATACAGAGACGTTCAGAATGTGTAAAACTAACCAGAGCCTGTTCTACCAGCATACAGAACAGAATGGCATTTCCTACTTCTCTGAAACTCTGGAAGACTTCGGTTCTAAGATCGGGATATTGGATTAACTCTGCCAGCTGAGCTTGATAGTAACCCATTACACCTAGTATCAAAACAATGCAACAAAGGTTTTCATGAAATATAAGTGTACATACACATAGACATATAAATTATTCAGTTCTTAAAAATACAAGAACAGGGATTCAAAGAACAAAGTACAGTATTGGCCAAAAAATGCCGGATGTCAGACCTGCTCCGTTCAAAACATTTTAAAGAGCTTAGAACTTTTAGAATGAAATGATATATAATTTACATTTGTATATACCTGACTCAAAAGTATGCATTGGAAAAATAATATACTGTACCTTTGGTAGCAGAACGTCGAGATTTTACGAAGAATTTTGACGAGACGTCATACGTTTAACGTGTAGTAAGCGTTATCCGAAAACCCTAACTAACTCGCCAGGTCAAGTAGGAACAACTTAATTTCTTTAATTTTTATTTAAAATAAACTGTGTTGATTTATTAATACTCATTGTTGTTTTGTTTTTCTTTTTTTTTTTAATTTATTTTTTAGCATTATTATATACTTACAATGTAATCATCCACGAAGGTATCTCCGCTTTAGTTGATGAGAATTGTTAAAAGTCTAACAGAGGAACGTGGAGAAAAAGGAATAAACTGTATTTTCTTTTTGATATTTGCTTTCATTTTATTGCAGTGATTATACGCTCTAAATAATTTTTTGGCTATTTCTCTAAAATAAATTGAGAAAAATTTCTATATCAGATCTAGTGAAAACCAGAAGTCTCTGTCGAGACTGTAGCTCTACTGGTTTGTACTTATCAAAAACCATTGCACTATTTTATGTATCTTTGTGTAGTCTACTTATGTGCCAACTTATTTTGAAATCAGACAAAAACTGTAGAAGGAGTAGCGTTTTTAAGGAATTCCACAGAAAATTCTATTTTGAGTAACCATAGCAATACCGTTCATCGAAATCAAAAACCGATGCACTATTCTATGTATCTTAGTGTAGTCTACTTGTGTGCCAAGTTATATTGAAATCAGACCAAAACTGTAGAAGGAGTAGCGTTTTAAAGGAATTTCACAGAAAATTCTATTTTTAGTAACCATGGCAACACCGTTCATCGAAATCAAAAACCGATGCACTATTCTATGTATCTTAGTGTAGTCTACTTGTGTGCCAAGTTATATTGAAATCAGACCAAAACTGTAGAAGGAGTAGCGTTTTAAAGGAATTTCACAGAAAATTCTATTTTTAGTAACCATGGCAACACCGTTCATCGAAATAAAAAACCGATGCACTATTCTATGTATCTAAGTGTAGTCTACTTGTGTGCCAAGTTATACTGAAATCAGACCAAAACTGTAGAAGGAGTAGCTTTTTAAAAGGAATTTCAAAGAAAATTCTATTTTTAGTAACCATGGCAACACCGTTCATCGAAATCAAAAACCGATGCACTATTCTATGTATCTTAGTGTAGTCTACTTGTGTGCCAAGTTATATTGAAATCAGAAAAAAACTGTAGAAAGAGTAGCGTTTTAAAGGAATTTCACAGAAAATTCTATTTTTAGTAACCATGGCAACACCGTTTATCGAAATCAAAAACCGATGCACTATTCTATGTATTTAAGTGTAGTCTACTTGTGTACCAAGTTATACTGAAATCAGACCAAAACTGTAGAAGGAGTAGCGTTTTAAAGGAATTTTACAGAAAATTCTATTTTTAGTAACCATGGCAACACCGTTCATCGAAATCAAAAACCGATGCACTATTCTATGTATCTTAGTGTAGTCTACTTGTGTGCCAAGTTATATTGAAATCAGACCAAAACTGTAGAAGGAGTAGCGTTTTAAAGGAATTTCACAGAAAATTCTATTTTTAGTAACCATGGCAACATCGTTCATCGAAATCAAAAATCGATGCACTATTCTATGTATCTTAGTGTAGTCCACTTGTGTGCCAAGTTATATTGAAATCAGACCAAAACTGTAGAAGGAGTAGCGTTTTTAAGGAATTTCACAGAAAATTCTATTTTTAGTAACCATGGCAACACCGTTCATCGAAATCAAAAACCGATGCACTATTCTATGTATCTTAGTGTAGTCTACTTGTGTGCCAAGTTATACTGAAATCAAACTAAAATTGTAGGAGGAGTAGCGTTTTGAAAAATTGTTTACAGAATCAGAGAGACGGACGGACGCCGGACGCATTACTATCGCATAAGCTCTTCTGGTCTCTGACCAGTAGAGCTAAAAAATGTACTGATGAAAAAAAAATCGAAAATCTATATATTCTATTAAGAGCGACACTGAGCACTAGCGACAGTTTTCACGGTTACACCGGCACCAAATAAGTTCAATTCTCAAGAGTATGGAATATGTAAGGTGCAAGAACAGAAAACTCAGATGTCAAGATAAATATTATTTATATTACATATAATTACTGGAACAGTACTAGTAGTATAGAAGACTATGGTTTTAATTAATGTACAGTAGAAATCCCCCCTCTAATGGTCAATTTTGCTAATAAACTTATAAAGACATTAAATTATATAAATAGGAATGCGAGGGATTTCGATCCCGATTAAAAAAAAATATCTTTTTAAAATCGAATGATGGGTACATGAAAACCGATTGTTTTCTGTGATATACAATGTATTCATTTATATCCTGCTTGGTGACAGAGGAATACTTAAAATTTAAATATAACACCACCACCCACCCCACCCCCAATCGAGTTTAATGAGTTCTTATCATTTATATATGCCTTTCACAAATATCTTTTTTAATAACACATGTAAAATAATATTTGATAAGACTGAAAATGAATTATCAGTAAATGTTTTGATTCAAAAGTTTTTTTTTTTTGGGGGGGGGGGCAGTTATAAATCGGACTTTCAGTTCAGACTGAATAACATAACAGACATTCTTTCAATTCGCTTAAAAAGTTTTAAAAACCTGTTCGGAAATTATTATTGGTTAGTATTCAGCTGATTACTCTTCTCGTTTCACACTTGAAAGGCTTTCTACATTTTTATTTAAGTCCGTGTAAATACTCAAAGTCATTTGTTTATATGTTTACATATTCAATACATGTTGACAAGTATAATCGCTCATGGATTATTTCGCAGAATCCTCACCTTCTAGCAGCCAATGACAAATATTCATTCCAAATTCCAAATGTTTTTATTTCAAGTTTTTGCCTATTAATATTATGATCAAAATACGTTTGAGTTGCTAGTATCACTTTCCGTTTTTTTTTTTCATTTCTCGCAAAATGTCTTTGCTTAGTAGAGAATGTAGCTATTTAAAAATAAAAAAAATAAAATAAAAACTTCCTTATGTCTTTACTTTTCTGACAATTGAACGTGATATACGAGGTACGTATGATTCTTGCAATAAACAAAAAGAATCGAATGGGCTTATTTACAATACAATACACACAGGTATTTCCTACATGTATATATATGTAAAGGATATACTAAACATGTCAAATGTATTGGTCCATAAAAAGTAATTTTAGTCATTTTCCACAGGAATTAATGTTAATAAAGTAAGCAAAAACAAAAAAAACACAAAAAAAAACCCACTAACAACCTGCAATCCCTATTCCTGGGAAACACGGGTCTTTCATTAGTTGGCCCATAACAACCCCTCCCCCACAAATAGATATTACCATTTCTTAGAGCGTTGCAGTGACGTAACATCATTTTGTGAGCGTGAGGGGGGGGGGGGGGGCTGCCAAAGAGAAAAAATAACTTACCGGAAAAGCGTTGACAAGCAAATAAATGATAAAAATAATAATAACTAAAAATAAAAAAAACAAAAAGGGGGGAAATTGCCCAAACTCGAAAGTCATATTTCGGGAGGGGGGTGTCGAGGCCAACTTCTTTCAGTACCATTTTTTTCATACATTAAATACTACATATACTTTACCCTTATTTCTCTGTACTGTAACAAAAAGTTGTGGGGGGGGGGGGGCAACCGGCCTTTCAATGAACATTTCTAATGGTAAAATGTTTGGGAAAAAAGTACCCCCCTCCCCCTGTTGCTGCGTGTTCATGTTGAATTTTTTTGAAAGAGTCGCTAGCGTTTTCTTTTATTGCATATGTAATTTCTTGTATTTCCCAATATACGTCATACTGTTTCTGTTTTCTATAGTACATGTAAAAAATGCGTAATGTTACTAGTATGAAGTGGTGGGATTTTATCTACATAAACATGTATTAATATCGTCGCAATATAAAGATAGTGCAAAATAAAAAAAAAATTCATACATGTATATGTAGATGCTAGTTTTTCTACATGAACTCCATGATCACAAATTAAAAATTGTATTGTCTATGCACTGCACTCGGATTTACGTGTGAAATACATTTACATGTATCTGTGTATATAAAAGACGTACTGTTTACAGCTCACTCAGATTTTTTTTCACGGGAAAGAACTAAACAGCAAAGGTGTCCAAACACTCATTTCATTGCTGACAACTTTCAAAGACGATCTACTTTCCTTTGTGTAACAAAGAATCACGTGGATTCTGTCTAATCTGTTTGACTCTTTACTGTTAATCTTTTTAAAAATAAATCTGAAAATCCAAGGATGAAAGGGGTAACCCTTAATTGATCACAAGTCAAAAGCTGCTGAATATATTTCAGAATTCTACGAACATGCACATGTATACATGTACATTGTAAGTGTTTCTTTTTTTTTTTAATTAAATAAGCACCACCCTTTTCCTATATACCACTAGCATCTAAATACCCGTATATATTTGTGTTACAAACATATATTCTGCACGAAATATTTGCACAAAAGAAAAACAATACAATAAATAAACATCTGAGTTTGTATGCGCTATTTCGGACAATTAATGTACATATGTACTATCTGGTATTCGGGAACTTTTTTACTTGGATTGTTTTTTTTTTTAACTGATATTAACTACACAAGATTTACATCATGTATGTATTATTTATTTTTCACAATTAAAGGGTAAAAATAATGATTGATCTCGCAAAAGAAAAGGTAATCGTAAAGTTTATTCAATGTACTTACATTTTATTGTATTTTTTATGGTTGCAATTTGATTGTTCGGAGGTCACACTGTGACTAAAGTTAGACTATATACATTGAGAAGACTCGTAAAAGAAAATATAATTAAACTGAGGTACATGTATTACCGATTTTTTAATTACTCTTGTAATAATTAAATTTAAAAAATATTATTGTGCTTTTTTGTGGCTTGAATTGAGGCCTATAGGATATTTTAGTACTGTTGCTCAATAATACATGTACAGCCGAAGGACACTAGTATACGAACTTAAAAGTGCATACGATGTACAAACAGCATAAGCACAAGCGGCATCTTTAATTACAATTTATTTTTTGTTTTCAAAATATTTTATTTATATTTATAGCTATTTATATAGTTTCTAAGTCCAGTGATGGGACTTGAAATAAAAAATCTCATTCTATGTAAATTAAGCGTCATTAGCATCGAATCAGGAACATTGCGTTGGTAGAATATCTTTATCCGTATGCTAACTTTTGTAAAATTCATATTGATCACAGGTGACAACCAACACTATTTTAATAGTGTGACTAAGATATGTAATGATGAACTTATATGCAGAGTATAAAAGTGGTTGTTGCGTGTGAAAGGGTCTAATTTCAGCAAAGATCATTCATTTTTCAGCATAATTTAACGATTTTGTACGACCATTCGATGTTTAGCGCGTATCAGTGACGTCATAGTTAAAAATTACGTCATTTTTGTACCTGTAGAATTTACTTCGCATCTTCCTTACTTCAATGCATAACATCAAACAATGATATAAAGATGATTAAAATATTGTACTATTTGCGGCGAATTATTGCTAATACCGTATTTTGTTCTTTCTTCCTAAAAAATCTCTAACACATAAAGAATGAGCTTGTCTTTAATCTTACCAGGAGAGCCGTAATCATATCTCAGAAGGCGGCAGACCGGGGGCATCACCGTCATCAAGGTTTTAACATAGTCCATCAGAGTTCCCTTCAACTGTAGGTCATAAAAATCACAAATAATTATTAGCAGTGGATATAAAGTCTGCCCTTAAAAGTAGTATTATGTTGTGATCCATATATATACACTGTATATATAAATATATGTCTATGTTTTCCTCAACCCATACACCATTTACATTTATTTGTTAACATAAGACTGTAGGTTAAAAAAATATCTGTATTATTAAATTAATAAAAAATCTTAACCTTTGTCCAAGTTATTTTAAAATCAGATGTCTTTAACCATGTTTTACTTAAGTTGTTCGTAAAAAAATCCGTTGGTTGACAAGTACTCAAGTCACATTGTAACAAAAATGAGATATTCTTAGAATTACCAGAGCCTGGACAATTTTCAGCAGCTCCTCTATAACGACTGCTATTCCCTGATATCCAATCAGTCGACACATAGACCTGAAGTGTGGGACTCCCACAAATCCGTGGTAGAGTCCATATATTGCACTAAAAGATGTGGTGAGGGCCTAAAAAGTGGACAAGTATTAATGTAATGGCCATGACATTAACAAAATAATTTGAAATCAGAGATGCATTACTATTCATCAACTGATAAAACAATAAGTCAAAAAATGTTTCCAACACATATTATGAAAGCATTAAAGGTAACTTTTAAACACCTGGTAATATTAGAACAAGATAACTAGATTCCTTTTTTAAGACCTGTGTCAAAATCTACAATTGTGCATGCAAAAATGTCCAAGTAGAATCCAAAAATTATTAGATAATCAAAATCCAGCATTTATCGGACTGAGATAGAAAAATTGTCAAAAAAGGAATCTGTTTTAGATGTGAGATTCTCAGTTCTTACCTTTGTACCCCAAATGTAAGAGTAAGATGGATTAGGCTGCTTTTCTCTTTGACTAGCTGGAGCAAATGGCAAAACTGTCTTAACAAATCTACAATAACAAAAATTGAGTTACATGTAAATATTACATCTAAATCCAAGCTAAATGAGAAAGCAAATGCATGTTTTTAACTGAATGGAGATATTTGAGGTCAAATCATTCTTTCTATTTTCCGACTGACAGATTTCTTTGGTCTATATTTGAATAAAAATTTATGAACACATATGCAGATATTTATCTACGGAATGAAATATATTTAGGAAAGATTTATCATTACATGAGTAGAAGTTTTATGTGTAGACTGACCTGTTTGTGGCAGCATTGTAGCAGTAGTTTGGTAGGAAATCATAATTGACCTCCCAGAACACATGAAGAGTGATTCTGCCGTAGGGGGCAGACACATTGTGGTTAGCCTCTCTCAGCATGGCATCAAAGTCATTCAAGGTGATGTACTTGTTCATCAGTTTATGGGCCAAACGGTTACACTCTACCAGGCCCTCTAGCTCCTATACACAGGAGATACAATTTATAATGCTGTTAATGCTTTTTACATAATACAATGCACATAAAATTACAGCTGATTCAAGGAAAAGTCAGACAGACAGGAATACTTACCACAATGCCTGTCAATTCTCCCCCCTCAAATCTAGAAATGGCTACATCCAGGGCCTTTTGTAACGAGGCATTTACTCTCTGGCCAAGCAGCCGATTTAAATCAATTGAACGACCAAGAATCTGTAAAAAAAAAAAAAAAAAATAAATAAATAGATATTAACAAGAGACAATTCATTCACAAAATAATTATAAACCTAATGCAGCAATAAATGCAAATAACTTAAAAACTTACACACCTGAACATGTCTCTGTTTAAGAAGAGTCTTGTATCTATTGGCAACAGGATAAACAATCTTTGTTCCAAAGCTAGCACACTCTGCTCGAAATCTCTTGTCAAGCATAATACTGTAAAATATTTTATATTTGAATGCATTTTACTGAATTATACACATGTACTTGCAAAGTTACATTTTTTCTTGGGTTCATAATCCCCAGAACTTCTGGAAGCACAATGTCTATTTAATTAGCCCATAAAAAAATGCAGATTTCTTGATCACCACTGTGTCTTAATTGCACTTTATGTAACCTGTCACATATCTGTGAACATGTAGTAAATGAATCCCACACAGAAAAATATACACCTACCATGTTTCAAGTGCTAAAACCATACTAACCTGCCAGCTAAATGTTTGTAGTAGGCAAAGATTTGATCACTGAGTTTGTACACAAACTGATCAAAACAAAGGTTGACCTGTCAGGAAAAAAATAATAAATGAATGATAAACAATCTCTTTGAAAAGAATTAAGAAAATGTATGTGCACATTTCAATTTCAAAAGGACACGATGTGTAAAATTAATATTTTGACCAAAAAAATATACTTGAAGAAAAGGAGAAACGCTTTTGAATAAAAACCACACAAACCTCTGCTTCCACCTCATCATAGAGGAATTGTTTGTGGAATTTGGTCAGGGCATAGTGACCACTGTCATTGTACAGGTCCAAAGGATACAGGATATATCTAAAAACCAAAGATATTCCCGTCATAAAACAGAGAAAACAAAGAACAATTTATGTAAAAGCATTTTTCATGTACCTTTTAGATCAATAAGTACTTGTTTATGAATTGTATCCCTTGCAACAAAACATCAATACTTTAATTTTGAGCATGGAATGACTTACTCCATCATGGAGGCATCCTTGGTTTCCAGAACATGGTCTGTAAGAATCCAAGGCATGGACATTTCAATTGGAAACTAAAATTAAAAGGATACACACTACTACAATTTCAAATACTAAATATATTTTTCAATCAGTACAAAAAATTATAAGAGATTCTGGTAGATTCAATTAATTTTACAGCCTAACACTAAAACCCTAGTTAGTTATCTATTTATCAAGTAAAGAATGTATGTTTAACAAGTTTGTATATCTATCCTATGTTGTTGTTTTTTCTTTCTATGTACACATATTGACAGTTGTAGCCATTTATGGTGAGAACCTCCTAAGTTTTTAGAACTTGTGTTCCATCCATCTGTATATTATTTATACAATAGAATATGTTGAAATCAAATACTAAATCTGTAAATGTTTCACAAATCAAAACGACTGTTCACATAGGCCTAAAAAAACTTTTATATGCTTTGAGAGTTCCCTGACAGTCAATAAACACTCTTTTATAAGCATATACAGTTAACATTGATAAGTCAAAATCTATAGGAATTGAAAAAAAAAGATATCTGACATTTGAGATCATGATGTGGAAACTTAGACTCAAACAGTAGTCAAAAAAGTAGAAGCTATTCTTTATGTCCCTGGTGTTAGATACATGTATATACAGCAGCTCAAATGTATACTCTAGTACATTTTTTAAAAGTCTGTCTTACTTGAATTCTTTTTCCCATTGTCATCTCCAGGAAAAATTCTCTGTACCAAAGCTGAGACAAATCACAACATCTATGTAGAGAGTCTGAAAAATAAAACAAAACATAGCATTGTCAATCAATTTACTTTTATTAACTTTATTCTGAAATAGTTTTTCTAAGTGATGAAAAGAACTCTGATCTTATTGGTAGGGAACAGACCATTGAAGTTTAGGAGGTAATTCCAGTAGAAGGACTCCTTGTGGAACTGATCAATAGCCATCAGATGTTGTCCGTCAATATCCTTCCTCAAGGTTTTCTTCCCACTGCCCCCACTCTTGTCTGCGATCAGGGACTCCAGCATTGTCCGTACCATGTACAGCTGAACAGGAAATTATAAAGAAATAGGTCAAACATTCAATAAGTAGCACACTAATCAATTCTAAATTGCTGTAATTACAGCATTACTGTCTGTGTTTCAAGATTTTTTGTAAACATTTCTGAATTTACTTGACTTCTGAATTACACCAAAGGTTTTATACAATTATTTGGTTAGTGTTATACCATAATGGTGTCTTATATATACTGAACAATTCTTTTCCATACAGACAGAGTTATGACATCTTAATGACTATTTTTGATTGTATGTAAACACCTGTGTGGTTGAAGGACCAACATTCCTACGTGGTACTTTGATTGTGAATCCTTCATCGGGATCTTTTTTACCCTTCATTGCCGGGTCATCGTGAGGTTCTACCCCTCTCATCCAATCAACACAGGTGTCTCGCACAGACAATATCAAGCTGTATGACAAATGATTTCAATTTATATACTAAATCCAACAAACTCAGCCAGCTACAAATTCAATTAGTTCTAATTACAGTTTTTGCACATCAGTCTTTTAACAAATGACTCAGGCTTTAAAAAATTTTCATCTCAAAAAATTAACAATTTTTTTTAAAGGCTGCTTATACAAAATAATGCCAAAGCACTCTATTTGAACCTAGCTTTATGTTTTGCAGTTCAATTACATGTATACAATAAATTCTTACACTTTGATGACATCATTTTTCTTCCTGATTGCCTTTCTCAGTGGATCCCTTAGTCCTAGTTGTACAAAATCCTGTAGAGCAGCGTAAATGTGTCTTCTAATTGCATCCAGAAACACTGACTCCATCCGCGCCATCAGAAGTTGTAGCCCCTTAATCATGGCAATCACTTCCACAATGGCAAACTTTTCATCACTGCTATAGTTATATCGAGTGGACTACAATCATGAGAGTAGCATCATAATTATATTATCCCTTAAAAACACTCTACATCAGATGATGTCTCTAAAGCTATAACAAAGCAATGAGAACTTTCAGTTCATAATGACCTATCTCTTATAGTAAATTCTGAATTCTGGTGTGTGTAATCGGGTGCAACATTAGATTATACACACAAACAGTAGAATCAGTGACATATGATATCACATGCACATAAAACAAATAATTTTTTTTATACATTTATGTATTAAATCACCTGAGTATTATCAAAATCAGTGATTGAATTTGAATGGGATGCTATGGCATTCACAATTTTGAAAAGCAATGAAATTAAATGTCATTCAATGCTTAGCAATTTTAATAATTATTAAAGCTTCAACGAAATCAAGAGAACATGTTTGTTATGTATTGATTAATACCCTCTCATTATTTTCTCCTCTGGTACCCTGAGGAAATTCACAATTCTGGATTATGGTGTGTATCACTATATGGGGTGCAGTCTGCTTAATACCCTGATTTAATGTATTTTCAGTATATACAAACAGTAGAATCAGTGATAAATGATATCACATCATTCATAAAATGTTTAGTTTATTTTACATGAAGAGAAGAAGATTTTCAAAGAAAAAGCATTTTACTTCCAGTCCTAGACTTTTATGAACAAAATAACTACATACAGGTTTCCAAATGCAAACAGTTTAATTCAGAACAAAAGATTTTAAAGATTCAGTTGGTGATGAAATCAAAATTTTACCTCAGCCATAACTCAAATTTTTAATATGGGTATAAATAAATTATAAATTATTAATAGATTTTAAAAAATCTAGAGAACTGACCAGTTCCATGACCTGTTGTGTCCAGGCTGACATTAGATGTAGCCCCCTGAGGGCCAGGTCATTCAGTTCCTTGTTCTCATAGTCTGACCTGGGACTCTCTCTAGTAGTGGTGATTGCCTGTAATACACAAATTGTCTGTCAGCACAGTGTAATATTAAAACCATCAAATATACATGATGTACAACTAATCAGTGAAAATTCTATTATTTAAATTTAATGTAAAATTTAATTTAACAAAATAAAAGTTTTGTTCAACAAAGAAAACCTAAATTTAACCTCAGAATTTCTTTTTATCACAAATCATTACTACACTGTAGTATAGACGTGTTGCTTGATACTTTGTGCAGTTGTCATTTCAAAAATGCAATATTTTGTAGTTTGACTGAATCCCACCTCATTGCTGTGCCTGGCAAGCTGACTGATGTATGCCATGTGATCTTCTCTAATGGCCTCCAGGTTAGCTAACAGGCTAGACTGAGGACTCAGCTGACTAGACTCACAAAATGTCCACCGTGAGGGGTCAAAGTTCAAGCTCTTTTGGATGTAATGGTAAGGTTTGATCTGCATGTCTCCATAAAGGGGAACAACTTCCAATTGCTAATGAAATACACACATTTAAAGAAAAAAATAAGATTTTATTTTAAAAGATGAGAATTACAAAATATTCAATAAGATGTATGTATTTATATGATAAATACCTACCTTTAAAATCCTATCTATTTTTGTTAAATTGACTCTTTTTTTGCCATCCATTTTGTAAATACTGTTTTCCTTGTTGTCCATCAAGAACAAACCAAATGCCATGACCTGGAATAAAATAAACATAATTGAAATGATAATAAAAGGATCAAATAAATTCAACTAACAAGCCTTAGCATACAACTTAAAAAAATCATTTGATGAAATGAAGAAATATGTCATTCATTTAGAAAATTTGGAAGTCAAGGCTAGGAACATTTTGAGTAAGTCTTATATACTGGTAATGAATTACTTTACCTTCACAAGCATGTGTTTTTCTGAAGGTTCCAGAAAGAGTCTGTTTTCGTACATGTGTACAGAGATGTTGACGACGTCAGCCAGCAGCTCCTCGTACCCTGGGGTGACTTCCAGGGCCTCCTTCAACATGTCCCGGATCTTATTCTGTGTCGCCAGAAACATGGACAGATTCTGAGACTCCTGAAGAGACTGGGGATCGGCCATTACCTTTAAAAACTGGGCAGCTCTACAAGCAAACATTCAAATCAAACGTTAGTTAGGAGGAATTTGAAGATTTGAATTTCTTTCTCTTTGAAAATAAGAAATAAAATTTCTTTACCTCATTCATCAAACCATAGAATAAAACAAACTCATTACTGTATTCAAAACTTACACACTGACTGTATTATATAAAAGTAAGCAATATACAAAATTTAAATATCATCTTTCTGTGCCTCTTTCAGAGTTTTAAGTTAAATGAATTTTTTTTCATAAAGAAATACCTTCTGTATGCAGAATAGTCATTCTTGACACTAGCTTTCATATTTTTCAGTTCATCCAACTCTGCAAATGTGTTAATAAATTTTCCCAGAGTTAAAAGGTAAGCTTCTGACACAAAATCATTCCTCTTCTCTTTGTGACAAAGTCTTTTGACTTCATTTCCAAACCGCTCTATTGCTCTTTTCTGCAAAGCATAAACAATATGAGTCTGAAACTTATGTATTCATCTTTTGGCATTAAATTTTCTAAAAAAATACATTTTAAGAATATGTAAAAAATTTTCAAAAGTTTGGAAAAATATCTTTGATTCTTTCAGTAGGTAATTATCATTCAAATATCATTAATTTTTCATCAATTAGAGAATCCCTCAAAATGTGCTTTAAAAGAGTTAGTATTGGAATGCCTACATTATACATGTACAGGTGTGGACTATACGACATAGATAATACTGGTTTGGAGGATTTCTAAACTGAAATACACACCGTGAAATACATGAGGTCCATCAGCTTGGAGACCTGGGGGTCAAGTACCTCCACGATCTTGTTGTAAATTTCTACTCTGTTAGGTTGTTCATTACTTTTAACCTAGCAGGAAAAATTGGAAAAATATCATATATCTCATAACATTTCTATGTAAGATCTGTATAAATTAATAAACTAAAAGAAAAAATACTTTTATCTTCTATGAATTAAAAAGTAGAAGTTCTTTTTTTCCTAGTGTAAGAGAAGTCATATTTGTTCTTGTACAATTATAAATTCATGTCAAAAGAGATTAAGGAATATGATTACAAATATAATGCTTTTATTCTGAATTAAGAAACTGAGGCATTAATATCTGTTCATGATGCACTTGCCTGTGGTAAAGCCCTAGAACAACATCTCCAGGTATACAACATGGCAGCATACTCCTGGCCTTCCTCTAACAACTTGTTCTATACAAGATATAATTGAAGACACGTTAAATTTCTCTAATCAAATTACATGTATGTATATGCTGATTTTTTGTCAAAGAACATCTGATGGCCCATAATTTTACATTAAAAGTATCATTAAAAATTATCAATGGTTAGAATGGGGTTAACAAGTCGCTGTAAAATACAGGTGACTCTCGATGGCTCGAACTCCGATCTCTCGAAGTGAACCTCCGGTCCCGTTTTTTTTCTCTATATAACTAAGCAAATTTACTCCTGATTTCTCGAACTTCTATCTCTCGAAGTTCTCTATCTCTCGAACCAAAACCTGGGTCCCGTTACACATATTTCATTGAATTTTACTCTCTATCTCTCGAAGTTTTGATTGCGCGTGTATACACGCCGATCAAGCGTAAAATTGAGTCTGGACTTACATGGAAAAACAGTGAATGCCAGGGGCTGGCATGGAGGTGTTAATTTGGGTGTTTACATAGATGACACTACACCTGTTGGTCGTCCGTGTGTTGATATAATTAATTGGTTATTATTGGTAAATTATAAACGAATTCACAACTTATTTTGACTTGAAATCGAGACGATAATTTTTAGAAAATAAATTTATAGAGGTTTGTTTCAATAAGTTCCCATAGACTATGAACTTTAATTTAATTAGAGTCTACATAGTCCCAGCATGGCAAATATTGCACAAGAAATTACTTTCTCAAGGACTTAATACCGATTAAGAAAAATCTGGTGAACACTGGTGAAGGACCCGATCAAGCCGCGGAATAGCCAAACCGACAATTGCTATCCGGGTTTCATGTTATCGTGAAATAAGAACAAATAAAATATTGAAACTCCAGGAATTCGTTGTATTTATTCGAAATACGATCATTGTTGTTGATATCAAGTATATTACCTGTAAAATACGATTGAAAATGTGCAATAACTTTATTTACATATACTTCCGGTATCTATAATAGTAGAACATCAATGATCGGAACTGAAAATTTCGGATTTTATTTACTTTCTATCTCTTGAACCCCTCAATCTCTCGAACTTTTCTTGCGGTCCCTTGAACTTCGAGAGATAGAGAGTCACCTGTATATGAACACCTACATACATATGACCATAGATCATTTATACCGTATATGCATTTAAAGTTTTAACGTACAAGGTCAGCATGGACGGTAGCTTCTTCTATGTACTTTGCAACTCCTGTTACATATGCACTTCTGTCTTCGAAATTGGTATCAAAATTCGCCTGGTACTGAATGGAGAGGGACATTCCCTCGATGCATGGCTGCTGGTCAGGGAGTGGTAATTCATCCAGAACATCAACATTCTGAAGAGCGTCTGTCAGAGTGATTTTCTCACCCACCATATGATCACCCTACAAAAGATATTTTCAGATTTCTTCAATATCTTCAGAGATATAAACATTGCCACAAGCATGGACTTCTGGTAAATATATCATTTATTTATGAGCTGTCAAAATATTTGATTTTCATCAACATTTTTTAAAACAAGAGAAAGAATACAGAATGAATACTTAGCACAGGCTGAATACGATGAGGATATCCAATGATATAAAATGAAAAGGTAACCTAAATCTTTCTCTTAGAGCATCACTAAATATATTTTTGTTTGCAGTCTATACCTATATATATTACTTCTTATTAAATAAAGGCATTCTTTTTAATGTTAAGGTCAAGATCTAGTAAATGAAAGGTGCCTACAGATTTATCAAATTTGAGAAATAAATTCCTCTATTGATGCTTTACAACTTTAGCTTGGTCAAATAAGGTGTTTTTGGGGAATAATTTGTAGGTAAACAAGATGAAAAGCTGTATTTTAAACAGTCATTTTCAATGAAAAATTAAGAAAACCAGTCAGGAATATGGGAGTTTTTTTCATAATCAACAAAGGAAATATATCCAGATTGTCTACAGTCTCTCAGAAAACGGTAATTAGTATGTTCATGGCCTCTTCTTTAAATCAATATCAAATTTAATATAGGTATCCGGTTTACTTTTCATAAAAAATGTTGATGAAAAATTGAATGTCATGAAAATACCCTATTTTCTACATAATTCTGCTAAAGCCGCAAAGTACAGGAAAAAGAAAGTTGAAATGAGATTGATTATGATGTCATAATGGATCTAGCATAAAAAAATTAGTCTAAAGTTATTTAGTAGATCTTGACCTTAATTGTAATGAAACTGTTCTACAAGACTAGAGGATGAAAATATAAGCTATAGTCTACTTATATTTTTTATCAGCATCCATTTTTGATGATGAACACAATTATAACTAAGAAAGAAAGAAGTGTTGAGCATATCTTTTACTGTCTTTGTCATTCACTTAAAATGTTTAAATTTAATCTGACAAATCCGCCTCTGTTCTCCCTTTTATATTGAGATATCAAATAGGATCTGATAGACAAGACAGCAATAATCAACAAACTTGTATGCCAAAAGAATTAAGAAAACAAGATGATAAATAAGGACAATTTGTAATACAAAGTTTTCTTACCATTTTGAAAATTATTAAAATATTTTCTTGCTTAATTAATCATTGAAAGTTGGTCTACATTTCCTATGTACCCTGCCCATCATTGTTTGCGGAAGTAGCAATTGCCCGATAGATGGCGCTTAGGGTGTGGTATTTTAAAATCTGAACACGGTACCATAATATCCGGAAATTAAAAGCAAAAGACTGCACAAATAGTAAAATCGGTGAAAGCTTTCAATGCTGGTAAATTTTACAGATATATGTATATCCTGGTATAAGTAAAATGGTGTAATTGTTTTATAAAAAGGTGACAATATATTTTCTTGGTTAATCATAATGACACTTTTTTGTAGGTCAATAAGGCCATAAAAATTAATTTCTTGCTGGGTTCTCAAGCCCTCCCTCATCTCTTCCAAGGGTGTCTCATTGACCCTTTTTATTGCTAAATCAATAAAATAAAAACAACTAATCACCTCCCTCAGCATTTTTTGTATAAAAAAATGTATAAAGCTTCCTCATCATGTTTTGGGGGCAATAAAAATAGTATTTAAAAAATGCCTCCCTCCCTCATCATATTTGTTGAAAAAAAAGTCCTGAGAACCAATGAATTAACTTTGCATGGCCTAAATAGTATCATAATAAATTTATCTATTTTATCCTATGGACAGTTCATGATTGTGTATTCACGGGTGTTATCAGATCCAGGTACAGGTTACAACACTGCCTTAATTAATATGCAAACAAATAATGGAGACTTTTTGATTCCCACAGCAAGGTACGTATAGAAAGTAATTTTCACATTTGAGTGTTTTCAAAATATTTTGGTAATACTAGTCCCCGAGTAAGGGATCAAATCCCCTTTACCCTTTAAATTTAGATCAACCATCATTTACAGACGCCCACCTCCCTAACACCAGGTGATTGTTATGTAATCATAGTTGAAAGTTCTCCCCATTGTATCGTGTATGCACCCCAAGCGAAACTGTTGATATTTATGGCACGCTAAATTCACAAAATGAGCTAAACATAGTTTCACAGTCGATAAACTAGGTTTATCGTTTGTAAACTATAGTCTACGGACTGTAAACAATAGTTAACAACGTTAATCTATTTTTTACATCTGTAAACCATAGTTAACGCGATAATCCTTGTTTCAGAACCGTAAACTATACTTAACTAATGGCACGCCTAATTTACAAAAATGAGCTAAACATAGTTTCACAGTCGATAAACTAGGTTTATCGGACTGTAAACTATAGTTAACAACGTTATTCTATATTTTACATCTGTAAACCATAGTTAACGCGATAATCTATGTTTCACAACCGTAAACTATACTTAACACCGAAAACAATCATTTGCGATTGCAAAACATAGATTATCTGATAAATACGGTTTCACGATTTGTAAACTATGGTTTACAACTCTTAACTATAGTTAACGATCTGATAAATATAGTTTCACGATTTGTGAAACTATGATTAACAACTCTTAACTATAGTTTACGATTGTAAATTATAGTTTACAAACGTGAATCTATGTTTATCAACAAAATCTATTGTTATCGTTTTATTACAGACAGATAAACTTAGATTAGCATTCGCAAACTATAGTTAACAACCGTTAAATATAGTTTTACAAGTGAAAACGTTCACGGTTTGTAAACTATAGTTTACAGTTGATAAACTAGGTTTATCGACTGTGAAACTATGTTTAGCTCATTTTTGTGAATTTGGCGTGCCATAGTTTAACACTGAAAACAATCATTTGCGATTCCAAAACATAGATTATCTGATAAATACAGTTTCACGATTTATAAACTATGGTTTACAACTCTTAACTATAGTTAACGATCTGATAAATATAGTTTCACGATTTGTGAAACTATGATTAACAACTCATTACTATAGTTTACGATTATAAATTATAGTTTACAGACGTGAATCTATGTTTATCAACTAAATCTATTGTTAACGTTTTATTTCAGACAGATAAACTTAGATTAGCATTCGTAAACTATAGAAAATACCGTTAAATTGTTAACTATAGTTCACGGTTTGTAAACTATAGTTTACAGTCGATAAACCTAGTTTATCAACTGTGAAACTATGTTTAGCTCATTTTTGTGAATTTGGCGTGCCATAGATATTAATTCTTGTTTCATCAATTTGTTTGTCAATTGCTTGCCTTGTTTCAAAAATTGTTCTTACGTAGACGATCGAACCAACCCCCTATATGTGCAGGTGATAAGGGTATATTACAACATAAGTATTGAAAGTTGTCGGACGTCTTTTCTAGTAAAATATCCAAATATAAAACATATCTGTCAGACTCTATGATAATTTTTACTGACAGTATTTCCATTTCACTGAGATAATTCGATTCGACATATGAATGGAAGTCTGTTATTAATTGAAAATACGTCGTAAATATAGCTGAACTTGGAGTTGAAGATCTATTCATATCATTTTAAAGATTATGAATGAATTTTGCTTCATATTGATACAAAAATAGGTCTGCTGATAATGGAGCGCAATTGGTACCCATTGCAATTCAAACAGATTTTTTATAGACTTCGTCATTATATAAAATTACATAAAAGACGAAGAACTTCGTGTTAATTTCTATATAATTCTTTTCCACAGAGAAACGAACAAAGTTGCCACGTAACAAACAAAAATGTCTACGAAAAATCTGCTCTTGAATGAGGAGTCTCCACCGTCCTATCAGTCCATATACCCAGCGGAAGTAACCGTAACGACAGGAGAGAATGAGATTCGAACCACAGTGACCCACCAGTCTGTTATAGACCCGGACACAGAAACACACGTTTATAAGCGGCGCTGGTACGTGTTGATAGTGTATTCTCTCCTAGCCTTTACACAGGGGGGTTACTGGAACACATGGGGACCAATCGCAGCGACATCTGAGGACGCATTCGGTTGGTCTGACGCGGACATCGCACTCTTGTCAAACTGGGGACCCATATCATATGTTTTGGCTGCCTTCGTCATGTCATGGGTTGTTGATGTTAAAGGTTTGTTATTTCTTTAAAAATTAACGTATCCATGAAGTTTTAGTCATGTGCTATACCCAATGGACACATCTTGAAATAAATTTGTATTACAGCATTGCTTCTTGAACTGAAGTGACTTATTTATTTTGTAGGACTTAGATGGTCGTGCTTAAGCACGGCGGTTATGGTGGCTCTTGGTGCCGGTGTGAGATGTATAACGGACCGGCCTCCTTATGTTACTTGGTAAACGATTCTTCTGTCAACCCACTCTTTTCAAATGGCATGCGGCAGTAGTTTATATATCTGCATGTCTATCAGTTTAGCGTTTAAGAGAAGAATCATCAATATAGACCATGATAATGGCCGTGATTTTGAAAATAAAAATCCTTTGATCTTTGTAATAAGAACTTTCAAAAGTTTTGCAGTATTGCATCCCTTCTCAAAGAAACTATGAAGATATCTGTTGAGTATGTACAACGATTATTTCTTGTTGTATTTTATTTCTCCTTAAACTATTATGTATAATCAATAACGATGAAAAAAAATTAAACTTTAAAAAAGTCATTCTGTGAATTCAGTACGGAAAAGTTTAAAAGTTTTCATATATACTGGGTATGGTGAAAACAAACAAGCCACCTTAAAAATCATCAACATTTTTATAGGATAGTGAATTTTGCTCAGTTTCTGAATGGTTTAGCTGGTCCTGTTGCAATGGCAGTACCTCCTGTGTTATCTGTTGTCTGGTTCCCTGTTCAGCAGCGCACGCTCGCCACCGCTGCAGCAGCCTTTCCTAATGGCATTGGCATTGCACTGTCCTTTCTAATAGGTAGGACCAATTCTCTTCCAGGACGGTTAACATTGGTCAGTTTCTGAACGGTTTGGCGGGCCCGGTTGCCATGGGTGTTCCGCCAGCTTTGTCAGCGTTGTGGTTCCCTGTAAAAGAGCGCACCACAGCCACAGCACTTGCCACTATACTTAATGGCCTAGGTGTTGGCGTCGCCTTCTCGCTTGGTATGTCGTCTTTCCAAAACTAAACATTTATTAAAGATGTTTTGCCTTTGAACACCACTGCCCAGCAATGCAAGCAAACACTTTAACCCAAATGTACAAAACTTATCCTGTTAAAAAATGACCGAAAAAGTCCAACACTGACATAAAAGTAAAGGTAAAAACCCTATTCCTCTGCAGGACCATGGACGTAGGACAAATGTTGAACGGTTTTGCTGGACCTGTAAACACGTATCCTCCTGTATTTTCGGCTGCTTGGTTCCCAACCAATCAGAGACTGACTGCTACAGGCGTCATAACTGCGTCATCATTTATTGCCAAAGCTATCCCTATGGTGATAGGTATATGCAACTTCTTAACTTTCCCTTCTTATACTTTTCACCAGATTCCTTGTTTTTGATCACATATACATATGCATTTAAAAAACAACAATAATACTTTTTAAATGATTAATTCTTGAAATGTTTGTAAACAGAGTTTGAAGTAAAAGATATCACGCAGTCAGATTCATCTGTTTCATTGTTGGATATTTTACCAGAAAAAGACGTTTACAGTAGTCTAACAACAAAGCTTTATGACAAAGATTTCTTTTCAATCGTCAACTTCCCTTATATTATACCCTTATCATCTCTCGATGATTCGATACGCAAGAGCACGTTCTACTTATGAACAATTTCTAAAGTGAAATAAATTGATGACAAGCAAGTGATGAAACAAGAATATAAACTGTCCCGTTTAAAGTAACCATTTATTAAGTTCTATGGTTGACACAATGACCTGGTCAGCAAATACAATATATCATGAAGTCAAATGCTGACTGACGTTTTCAATACTAATGTGAAAACCATAATTTACACACTAAATTGTCGACGATTAATTTTCTTGTTATTTCCCGATCATGGCAAGGAGCACACGACGGGTGTGATCGATCGGCAGGGATGCTCACTCCTTCATGGCACCTGGTCCCACCACAAATTTTAGAAGTCGGAGAAGTTAGCTTACCGAGAAGTGTTATCGAATACGTTGTTGTCTTGGACCAATTGCTGATACTAACAACTGTGTGACAAAAACGTCTCATTAAAATTTATGTAAATACATTGTTTGGACACAGCAGTGATTTTTACTGAAGCATAATTGGATTAAATTGAATTAACTTTCGCCCTTTTAGGTCCATATATGGTAAAAGACAGAACATCAAATACTAACTCTACAATGCGGTATGTAATGTAGGTTCTGATATTATTATGTGTGTATTTATGGTTTTTTAAAAATATAATTTTATGTCTAGTTATTTTCATCTGTTTCAGTAATACATCATGGATTAACATGACAGGTATGCAAGATTATACTATACTCTGTTATTCAACATTCTAACAAAATCTAACATTAACAGGATTTAAAATAGAATGTTACATTATCTAGATTTCAATATAAAACTTATTACGTCTTTCTCAAAACTGATTACTAGTATTACCAAAACTTTTTTTTTAGATGATGAAAGAATTTCTCAAGAAAGACACGATATTATGATGTATATGTATGTAGGTAAGGAAGAACTTATATGACATAGACAATCTCCCCTTAGAAGAATACTCAAAACAAAAATGTTTTAAAAATTATAATCTAGTTTGTGCAAGACTAATAATTATTGTTAAAACACATACTAGTATTTATCACAAAGATTCCTAAAATGAATTTTTAAAAAGATACTTTTTTCTAAGTAACAAATTTAGTTGAACCAATTAGGGGGAATATTAAAAGAAATTATCAAATCTCTACGTTCAGATTTTGGACATCTTTGAGATGATTTTATTTTTTTACAGAAGCTGCCTGGGCCGTCTTTATCCTCCTCCTGATACTTATTTACTTCCCAGCTAAGCCCCCCAAACCCCCGACACTGTCAGCCTCTGTGGAGAGGATGGACTTCAAGACGGGCGCCAAATGTCTCGTCAGGTCTCTGGATTGGGTTGTTTAAATATTTTTCTTTTCTTTTTTATGAAAATAACATATAATTCATATCATAAATGTGTGTTTGTTGTACAGAAATGTTCGGTTCTGGATTATATGTGCTACATACGGTATATCTCTGGGAGTCTTCAACTGCTGGCAGAGTGTTCTGGATGTCATCCTTAAACCTCACAACATTGACGAGGTAGACATTAAATAAGTCTCAGAAGTAGAGTCTAACTTATATTGAAAATAAATTGATAACATGTAATATGAGATTTATTTATTTTTTTTCACAGAACGAGGCCGGATGGTTGGGTTTTTACTCCATTCTTGCAGGTTGTGTTGGATCTGTAATATTAGCAAAGTAAGGAAGATTTACCATAAGTGTATAAATTCTACCTGTATTAAGAGATATCCTTTTTTTCTTATGGTAGATGATATTTTTTTATTATTACAGATTCGCAGACGTGTTTTCGCGCCACATGAAGATGTTTCTGTTACTTCTGTACATAAGCGGAAGTGCGTGTTTCGTCTGGTTCACTCTTCTCATCAATGGAACCATTCCCGACTCCACATGTAATAATTATAAGGAAATAAACGCCAATTACGAAAAGTTTCTGTTTAAAGAATTGTCTTTTGTTGATGTATATATGTTATTTTAATTGAGAAGAATGTATATAAAATGTCTATAAAAAAAATTGCCAATGTAGATAATTATATTTAAAAGAAGGAAATACATTAGAGTGATTACATATGTATCTCCGTCAAATTTTCTCGCCATTGACCATGGGTTGGCTCGTAAATATTTCTTGTTGAATATTACCTGAAAGTCTTTTAATTTAAGCATTTCTGTGCCTATATGGATGTCTTGATGAAGAAGACCTTCTAATTAAGAGTGAGTACATTTTCAGATTCTTTGTATGTCGCCATTATCCTTGCTACACTCCTCCTTAATGCCAGCGTGCCCCTGTATTACGAGATGGCCTGTGAGGTGACCTATCCCGTGGCGGAGGGGATCACCAACTTCGTACTGACACTCGTCAATAACATAGGGGGACTGGTATTCCTTCTCGTCGGCATGATACCACACATAGGTAAATAATCTAAATATAAAAAAGACGAAGAGACACTTTTATGTGTAATTTTTTAATGAATCTCGTATAATTATTCTCGTCTGAAATATGCTTTGTTATAGTTGTACCAGCTATGATTTTCTCTAAGTTAATACAATGCAAAATTGGCAATCTAATGATAAACATGTTGACTTTTTAACAGGAACAGCTTGGGCGAACTGGGCGTGTTTGGGTGCCATTGTGTCCTGTATCCCTGTCTTATTACTCATCAAAGAGAACTACAACCGTCTAGAAGTAGACGAAATCAAAGGAGAAGAAACGTGACAGAAGATTCCTTAGGGAGAGAAGATTTCAATGAGATAATTTTCTGTGTATATATGGACTGAGTAGACGTGTTATACATCAGTGTTTATTTCTGACACTGGAGTCGCTCCTAAAATTCTGGAGGAGACAATTACAGGATCAGTTTTTCGAATTTCCAAATACTCACTTTATACCATAAATATTACTTTGTCAAAAATACATAGGATTGTTCATCAAAGATGTATGGGACTATATTTTTATATCATGCTTTTGCAGAGACTTGCTAGATGTCGTTTGAGATGAATATAGAATACATGTAGTTAGTAACCTACATGTATATTATACAGTGTACAACCAAATAACTTTTTTTTTAAAAAAAAAGAAGAGATTATGAAACCTGCCCATTGTACAGTTTTCTTCCAGATGTAATAAAATTAAAAACCCAAATCCCCCTCTCCCCTAAAAGGAAAAAAAAAAACAACAAAAGAAATTCAAAAATCACATAATCTATCAAACAAAATAGTCATTTTTAGTTCCTACACATCTCGCTGAGATTATATGTGCCTCGGACTGCCTCTTCATCTCGATCAATGCAACAAGATGCACTTATTTTAAAGATTAGATATCAAAAGGAAATTCGGGGTAATTTGTTGTTAATTGTTACAATGATCATTCTGTCCGTCGCATTATATATTCTTAAACAAACTGCGCCTACTTTTCATTTTCAAAAGAAGTCAGTTAATGTTATATGAAGCCTGGTATCCGTTAGAAGGCCATGGGTAATAAAAGTGCGGATATTGAAATTTTATTGCCAATTAAATCAATAGGGGATCCAGAGATATGATTTGGGGGAAACTTAAGAACTCTTATATTTTAAATATACAGTATAGTACCCAAATATTCTTATGAAATATGATTTTACAATGTCCTGTAGATGTGAAATCAGGTTGGAGATTTTTATTTTCACTCTTTCGGCCAAGAAGGGACGGAAAAAAGTCTTTCGTTTTTTCTCAGAACTCTTCTCACCATTTCTTGGCACCTGAAACCGCCTCTGACGTTTTGAGGTCCGTGTTTGCCCTGCTCCAAATTTGTATTATTTGATGGACTTTTGAGCTTGAATACTGCACGTTCGTTATCTCCATATACTATTTCATTTTACAGAGTAGACCATTTGAAATATGATTGACGTATTGGTGGTATTTATGCAATTAACGTTTTTTATTCTTTTCGTGCTTGGTTTTTTTTTTTCTGTTCTCCGGAATTTCTGATGTTTTATTTAATAACAGTTGTCAAATACTAGTATTCGGTATTGATTGAGTGAAATAGACTTTTATTACATGATTGTTGATGTCCTATTGAGATTTAACAAGGTTTTAGAATTTTCTTTTCCATCTGAAAAGTCTAATAGAGGCTGATTTTTAAATCGATTATTCAACGACTTAATAAATATCAACATACAAATATGCTGGTAATACATGCAGATTTTATACTGTATTAGACTTGGACTTTAAAACAGTTTTAAGACTCGTAAAAGATTGCTTTCGTGATTGTAATAATATAAGTAAACACATGATATATAAATATCTCATCTCGATCCATTCATCAAGATATACTTATTTTAAAGATTAAATATCAAAAGGAAATTCGGGATAATTTGTCGTTATACTGATCACTCTAGATCTGTCCATCGCATTAAATTCTTCAATAAACTGTTCTTTTCTGATATCCTTTAGAAGGCCATGGGCAATATACACATGTAGGTATGGAAACTAAAATTTTATTGAAAATTAAACCAAAAGGGATTCAGAGATATGAATTGGGGGAAATTTTAGAACTTTCACATTTTAAACAGTAACCAAATATTGCTATAGAATATGATTTAATAATGTTCTGTAGATTTGAAATCAGGTTTGGAAATTTTTATTTTCACTCTTTCGGCCAACGAGGGATGGGTAAATGTCATTTTTCTACAATAAGCTCCCAAAACTGTTCTAACATCTTCTTGGCATCTGATCCAACCTGATAATTTGGAGGTCCGTGTTTGCTCTGCTCCGATTTTGTATTATTTGATGGACTTTTGAGCTTGAATACTCTTCGTTATCTCCATATATTTCATTTTGCAGAGTAGACCATTTGAAATATAATTGACGTCTTGTTGGTATGCAATAAAGTATATTTCTTTTCATTCTTAGGACCAATTTTGTAATTTTTCTGGTTTCTGGAATTTCTCTTATATTTTATTTAATAACGGTAGTCAAATATTTGGTATTGATTTATGATGTCCTGTAGATGTGCAATGAAGATGTAGTACATTCTTTTATCTAAAAACGTTTGTCTATAAAATCATATAAACTTGGCAGAATTCCTTTATACTAGTAATTTATCATAGTATAGTAAAATGTAAATAAACTTTTAGTACATGATTGGTTATGTTCTAGCTAGATTAAATAAGGTTTCAGAATTCTCTTTTCCCTCTTAGAAGCCTAATAGGAGCTGCTTTTTCTCTCTAAAACATTAGTAATTTTCTAAATAAAAATATATCTATTTGCTGAAAAGGAAATATTGTTAATAAATATGAATGAAAAAATGAAAAAGTCATTACATAAAAGATAAAATCTAGCTCTTTAAATCGATTTTTCAACGACTTTATAAATCTCAACACTTATACTTGTATGGCAATACATGCAGATACTATACTTTTTTAGATTTGGAGTTTAAAACAGCTTTAAGACTCGTAAAAGATTGGTTTCATGACTGCTGTCAGTAGATTGTAGATTTTTAATATACAGACCTTGAAAACAAAAGATAAACCAAGATATCATATTTAATAAATAAATAAAATAATGTTAAACAGCTAAAGATCTACATTGGCATCAGTCTGTCAAACTCAATGTCAAACATAATGTAAAACATTTCAGAATTTGAGATGATTTAGTAAGTTACACACGGTACACTCTACATCATTGTAAAATGTTTTTGGGACATTGAGGAAATCATATTGAATAAAGGTGCTTATATCGAGTTAATCTATTTAATTTCCAATTATTTTTCTAAAATATACCAAAATATTTATCTTGGCCTTTTAAAAGAATGCTCGAACTGATTAAAAATTTAGTTATATACTGTAAACTTCTATTATTGAAATTAAGATCTAAGGGCAGATCACTCTAACTGCAGAAAAATACACATACCTTAGAATTAGAACTCTTTAGTGTGCAGTTTAGAGAGGGTTCTTAATATGTAGGTCAGTGGAATGTTTATCTTTCTGATAAGTATATATACTGTATATATGACATAGATTAACAATGAATTGTGCACTGTGGACATTATCGGTCACAGGTAAAGCGGAAATCTTTAAGTAAGGTGTGTAAGCAGAATATTCAGAGGGAATTTGGTATTAAAATTTAATAATAATCTTTTTTTTTTATTTTAACAGAATATAGAGTCTCTTTTTAATTAAATTTTAGGTTGTGACTGATATGGTGTCATCTAGAAAAATCGTTTGCTGCAACGAGTTAGTCTAAATTAAGGTCCTAAGTTGTCTAAGAGTAAAATGCAGTTAATTATGAATCAAATTTCTTTATAATTTTGTTTAAAGACGCAAATGATTCGACGTGGAATTAAAACGAAAATATGTCTACCCAAAACCTCCTCGTAAATGAGGAGTTGCCACCTTCCTATCAATCCATATACCCAGCGGAAGTAACTGTAACAACTGGACAGAATGAGATTCGAACCACAGTGACCCAACAGTCTGTTATAGACCCGGACACAGAAACACACGTTTATAAGCGACGCTGGTACGTGTTAATAGTGTATTCTCTCCTGGCCTTTACTCAGAATGGTGTATGGAACACGTGGGGACCTATTGCTGCATCAACCGAGGATGCGTTCGGTTGGTCTGACGCGGACATCGCTCTATTGTCAAACTGGGGACCTATATCTTACGTCCTGGCTGCCTTCATCATGTCGTGGGTTGTGGATGTTAAAGGTACATTCATTTCTTATTTAAGCATATAAAGGAGAGTGAACAGAAGAATTAAACATTTAAGGAGGCTAGGTGGTCAACAAATTATTTTTTAGTAACCACCAGATATAACTTAAATTTTGGAATATGATATTTTAAGCTGTCAACTATCATTTGGCAAAGAAAAATTTCATAAATTTTAATTTTGAAATTTGATCATTTTATTATATCTTTATATGGAGCTCTTCTTATAAAGGAGATCAAAATTGTCTAAAAATGGCCACGACCACCCAGCCTCTTTAAATCTTGTAATAATGTTGTTCTAAAACTCTTTAATATCAAAGTATTTTGCACATTGCAGGACTTAGATGGTCATGTTTAAGCACGGGGGTTATGATAGCTCTCGGTGCTGGTGTAAGATGTATAACAGACCAGCCTCCATATGTTAAATGGTAAGTGGTTACTGGTACATTCCAATCCCTTATAAGCATGTACATTATAAGGTTAGCATAATGTGAATAATAATTAATTGATTTAGTATTTGAAACACAATAACATGGTAACGAATGCTCTATTATAATTTATTTAAAACGATATCATAGTCTATGATGGCAGTGTCAACAAAATTACACAGTAGAAAAATCCTACCTTTAAAATGTAATGATATATTTTTGCTGACTTACTTTCTCACACTTGCAAAGTTTTTTTTTTCTTTTTCCCTTGATTTCCCACGTCAAAGCACTCAATTCAGCGCCAAAAGTAAACATCCTTACAGTTACTAGTAGATAAATTGAGAATATACAAGATGTGTTTTATGAAGGGAACCTTCTTCGAGTTAATAAATTTGCTGTTGTTGTCTGATTCCCGGTCTAGCAGTGCACGCTCGCCACCGCTGTAGCAGTCTTTCCTAATGGCATGGGCATTGCACTATCCTTTCTAATAGGTAGGACCACTTTTCTTCCAGGACGGTTAACATTGGTCAGTTTCTGAACGGTTTGGCGGGCCCGGTTGCCATGGGTGTTCCGCCAGTTTTGTCTGCGTTGTGGTTCCCTGTCAAAGAACGCACAACAGCTACAGCAATTTCCTTCGTTATTTCAAGCATTGGCATCGCTGTCTCCTTTGCTCTTGGTACGTCTTCTTAAATAAAGAACTACAATTTTGTCTTTTCCAAGCACTGCAAATCCCTACACAAAGCTTATCAACACTCATGTATCCAATGACATACAAAAAGACTTAGACCACAGGTTCACTCCAAAACATACACTATCTCCTCTAGGTCCGTGAACGTAGGTCAAATGTTGAATGGGTTGGCGGGACCTATTAGCGCTATTCCACCCGTGCTATCGTCTGCTTGGTTTCCAACAAACCAGCGATTGACAGCTACTGGTGTCACAACTGCGTCATCATTTTTTGGCATCGCAACTTCCATGGTTATAGGTATATGCACTGTTACAATAATTAATTACCTTTAAAATGTGTCACATTTCTCGAAATTTTGTGATCTAAAAGCATAAATAGTACGATATTCCACGAAATATGAATATAGAAAAAGTAAGCAGAGTTAAAATGAAGTGTAGGATCGAAAGATATATATTGCACTGTAAATAGGTGACAGAATGGGGTCAGTTACATAGGAAAGTTAAATAGTTTGCTAGTGCGCATGCGATTCACTGTATGGTTGGATATTTTGAAGTTAACATTTAGGAAAATGTTGAAAAAATAGTATGTTTCGGTTTGAGGTGGAAAATGAAAAGCTCAAATTCTATTAAAATCAAGAAATAAACCACTATTTTATGAACTATTTTATAAACCACTATTTTTCACTCTATTGTTTATAATGCATGTGCCTGTTTCACATATTTCTATACTTACAAGTATTAGATTTTACCCATGTTTACCGTGAACTAGTATCTCTGTTTAAATCCACTGCATTAGCCATATTAAAATCAGTACTTTCATATTTTGAGGGAAAAAAAAGCAACCACATGACTCTGTATTTCCCATATCTATATTACTTTCATACATCATTTATGTAGACATGCTGGCGTCATCTATCCCCTATTAAGTCTTACATGTATTCTGTTTCTGAGTAGAAAAAAATTAATACAAGTTTCTGTTAAATGGTAGATCTCTTGCTGGACTTTTTTAAATAAATAAATAAACTCAAACCTTCTATTCCAATGATTTTGAACAGTGCCGGATGATAATGGTTTGGATTATATATATTTTTTGCCTTTATAGGTCCATATATGGTTCCCGACAGAACCTCCAATTCTACCTCTACATTAAGGTATACAACAGTGTTTATATGGAGTTTATATTGAACAGTTGTACTTTATGATTTTATGTTTTGTTCTTATGCGTGTTTTTTTTTTAAATGTATTTCAGCAATATCTCATTGGTCAACACTACAGGTAAGTGATACAGGTATCCATCCATATACATGTTATGATGTATATGGATTTAGTAAATGATACTCCATTTTAATTATACTGTACATGGTATAATTAAAATGGAGTTTCATTTACTAAATTCACTAAATAAAACACGTACATCAAATCTAAAGAGTGAAAAATTATACAAAGGACATTTAATACTACAAAGCAAACAAAGGAGAATGCTGTCTTTTCATAAATATTGTTGAAGCCCTGTTAAACATCATAAATACAGGTATCTAATTTGGTATATTTATATACTTCTTTCAGATGATGAAAGAATTTCTCAAGAAAGACATGATATTATGATTTATATGTATGTTGGTAAGTATTCATATTTTAATATCTATAGTAATCATACTTATTTTCAGTCGGTCCACATTATCTATGCATTCGTTCTTGAATTTGTTTTTACAGAAGCTGCCTGGGCCGCCTTTATCCTCCTCCTGATACTGATTTACTTCCCAGCTAAGCCCCCCAAACCCCCAACATTGTCAGCTTGTTTGGAGAGGATGGACTTCAAGACGGGCGCCAAATGTCTTGTCAGGTCTCTGGATTGCGTTGTTTAAATCTTTTTCTTTTCTTTCTTTTTTTTTTTATGAAAATAACATATAATTCATATTATAAAAGAGTGTTTGTTGTTGTACAGAAATGTTCGGTTCTGGATTATATGTGCTACATACGGTATATCTCTGGGAGTCTTCAACTGCTGGCAGAGTGTTCTGGATGTCATCCTTAAACCTCACAACATTGACGAGGTGCACAATTCAATACAGCTTAACAAAATTTCAAATAATATAACTATTAATAAAGTTGAATGAATTTTTTTTCAATCACCAAATCGAACATTACAATAAGTTGGCCGTCGGAAAGTTTCCATTATACTAGTATATAATTCATAAATTCCATCTCCAAAGGAAAATATATCTGTCGTGGTTTGCGATGAGGTTTCATTTTTATCACTAATGACTTTTTGTCACAACAAATTTAAATGAATGTTAACTCAAAGTCGCTACTCGTTACAGTGCTTCTCCGTGTGAAACATTTCCAAAAAGAGTGGCAACATTTTTAATTTAGTCTCTCAGAATAAATGAATAATACTTCATGTTTATTTTAGAACGAGGCCGGATGGCTGGGCTTCTACTCCATTCTCGCGGGTTGTGCGGGGTCAATCATTTTAGCAAAGTAAGCAAACTAATTTTTACAAAGATCAACCTTTCTCAGTTTTATAGGGAAAATGTATATGGAAAAAATAATCCCCAAACCTTTTCTTTCCATGTTTGTAATTTCAGATTTGCTGACATCTTTTCGCGCCACATGAAGATGTTCCTCTTGATGTTATATATTTTCGGGAGTGCTTGTTTTGTCTGGTTCACTCTCCTGATTAATGGCACTATTCCAGAGTCTATATGTAAATTTTATTTCATTCTTATATAACATGATAGAAGACCTCTTACTGTTAATTCTACAATTTTGTTCTATATCCTTGATGTATGCTACTCATTGACTGGAGTCTTTCAATGTAAAGTCTTACCTCAATTGTACAAACTCTATACAGTACAATTGTAATGCAATGCACCATGGACGTTTATTTAATGAATTCTATGACCTAGTGTAGCTACTATCTTTAAAAAAAGAAAAATGCACTCTAATTGCAAACTGAGACTATAATTACTTTTGGACTACTCTTTGCATTGTTCCGTCCTTTCCTGGTTTAGAAGTTACGGTTCGGTTATGTTTTTTAGATTCTTTATATGCGGCCATTATCCTTGCCACGCTCCTTCTTACTGCCAGCGTGCCCCTGTATTACGAGATGGCATGTGAGGTGACTTACCCCGTGGCGGAGGGAATCACTAACTTCGTCCTGACCCTTGTCAATAACATAGGAGGACTGGTATTTCTTCTCGTCGGCATGATACCACACATTGGTAAATCATCTATTTTAAAATATAAAAAAGACGAAGAGACACTTTTATGCGTAATTTTTTAATGAACCTCATATAATTATTCTCTTCTGAAATATGCTTTGTTATAGTCGTACCAGCTATGATTTTCTCAATGCCAATAGAATGCAAAATGGCAATATAATGATAAACGTGTTGACTTTTTAACAGGTACGGCTTGGGAGAACTGGGCGTGTCTTGGTGCAATCGGATCCTGTATCCCTGTTTTATTACTTATCAAAGAAAACTATAACCGTCTAGAAGTAGACGAGATCAAACGTCAGTGAAGAATGCGTGTGACTACTCATAAATTTTATCTCTTTAATGCTGAAAAACATGTAAAAATTTTACTTCAATATTTTGTCCACTTGCAAGTCTATGTTCTTGTGATTTATATTTACCACTAGATAACGTTGGGACATTGAGATTACTTATTGTGTTGTATTTTATTATGTTATGTTAGTTTTCAAATAAAAAAATCAGTTTTGCAGACCCATTTGGATCCCGATAGGAGAATTGACCGCATCGTTCTAAAACCAGAGTAAGTTTATTTCGAGAGCATTTCACTTATACTGATATACCACCACGTGCTAAGAGAGGTGCGAATTTTCATCCTATAATCGAGATTGAGAAATCTTTTTCGTACCAGCACCTTCTGCGCACATGATCTTGCTTTAAACGATCTCATCTGAAGGACTGGTCTCCATTTCCCGCAGTGGGATTTGAACCTGCGACGAAAGGATCAACTCCTTACTCTGCGACTCTAGAGCAGACACTCTGAACATCTGAAGTACCTCAGATCAAATATCATAGCGGGACGTGGATATATTGGTCCTTTGGATAACCAGTGGATGCTGACACAAAAAGATGCCTTATTGATCAATAGTCATGTGCCATGAACCGAAGGTACATCGTTGACGTGGGGACAGACCCCCTCTTTTTCCCCCATTTTCTCCTTTTTATATCAAACCACCTTTCTTCGAGATAACTAGAGGTTTGTGTGAGGCTAACAACCCTACCTATATATAAAAACAGCTAGTTATAGAAGCATCAAAGACAAGTCAAAACCAACATAACCTGGGCCAGATTGGGCCTACTTCAAGGGGAACAATGATGCTGTGCTATGAAAGCCGAAAGGAAACTGCAGAGCTGACACTCAGGAAAACCATAAGATTTTATTTTTTGAACATCAGAATAATATATGAAACAGGAAGTACAGCACAAGTAGCAAAGTACACGAAGCTCTACAACATTTGTCTACCAGGACTGAGTGAGTCAAGATGACTACAGACAGGACGACTGAGGCCTACCACCTGGCAAACACTGTTATATTCAGAACACACCAATGAGGAGCCCATCACATCGAAAGTGTAATCCTGACGCTATCCCTGGACGCACAACGTGCTCATCGAATGGGAACCTGTCCACTCTCGAACGATATTAACCGCCAAGTTCAACACAAGGAAAAGCAAGATCATTGAACATCATTCAATATTATACCTCACCAATGACCCTAATGATGAGAAGACAAGACGCAATTTACCAGCAACTACAGGCACTTTTGGATAAAACAGGGAAGAAATACATAACAGTACTCATAGGCGACTCCAATGCCAAGACTGGTGCTGACAACACTGGATACAATGAAGTCTTGAGCACAAAAGGACATTGCTACATGAATGAGATCGGTGCGGGAAATTTGCAGACCTATGCTCCCTTAACCAGCTTGTAATAGAACTTACTTACTTTCTTAGGCCTGTCGTTAGACCATCGACGACATTCCTCCAACAAACTCGATTTTGAGCTGCTTTAGCTGCGTCCTGCCAGGTCATATCCTGTGTTTTAAACTATGACTCAGAGTCACACCTCCAGGTGTTTCTATGACGTCCTCTCTTTCTTATGCCCTGTGGGTTTCAAGTCAGGGCCTGGCGTGTGATGTTATATGGTGACTTCCTTAACGTGTGTCTGATCCAGCCCCACTTCCTCTGACTTATTCGTAAGTCCATTGGTTCCTTCCTGCTCTCTTCCATAGTTCTTCGTAGGAGATCCTTTCAGGCCATCGGATGTTGAAGATTCGCCTGAGACAGGTGTTGTAAAATGTCTGGATCTTCTACCTGGTTGCTTTGGTCTACCTCCACGTCTCTGCACCATACAATAAAGACGGACTTTACATTTGAGTTGAGGATTTGAAGTGTAGTGAGAGTACGGATATTGTTTGAGGCCCAGATGTCCTTTAACATGGTAAATTGTGTTCCTATCTTTCCAATTCTTGACTTGATCTCACGGTTTGTGCCACCCTGTCTGTCCACCACACTTCCCAGGCAGATGAAGGACTCAACTTCTTTGATGATTCACCACCAACTGTGACTGGTGTTTGGACAATGGTGTTTATTTTCATCAATTCTGTTTTCTTCAAGTTGATTTTGAGGCCCGTTCCTGTCGATTTTGTTGTGACTTGTTTTAACCTGCATCTGACTTTGGTTGTGTGAAAGGAGAGCCAGGTCATCAGCAAAATCAAGATCATCGGGTAGCGTCAGGAGTGTCCACTGTACACCATTGTTCCCGCCTGATGTGGTAGTCCTCAAGATCCAATCAATGACCAAGAGAAAAAGAAATGGTGATAGCAAGCATCCTTGTCGAACTCCTGTCTTGACCTCGAAACTCTCAGACATCTGGCAAGTATAGGCGCCCCTGCATATCATGCCTTGATAGGTGTTTCGAATCAGGGAAACTAACTTCTCTGATAATCCATAGTGTATCATTATCTTCCACAATGACTTTCGGTCCGCGCTGTCAAATGTTTTCCCATAGTCGATGAAATTGACATAGAGGGGGCACTTCCTCTCCAGTGATTGTTCTGTAATGATGCATAGACTGGCTATCTGGTCAGCACATGATCTGTTGGCTCTAAAACCAGCCTGATGGTCACGGAGGCTTTGGTCGACTGCTTCTTTCATTCTCTCGATAAGTATTCTGTTGAGGATCTTGTCAGGCACTGAGATGAGCATAATTTCCCTGCAGTCTCTCAGATCTTTCTTCTTTGGTAGCTTAATAAGGATTCCTTATTTCCATTCCTCCGGAATGTTCTCTCCTTCTCAGATGTTATTGAAGAGGTTGTATAGGATGTTAATGGCTTTCCCTGTATCAACTTTGATGGCTTCTGCTGGTATCTCACCAGCCCTTGCCGCTTTTCCTTTTTAAAGTTTATTGATTGCTCTCCTGCTCTCTATCTTTGTTGGTTTGTCGCAGTTGATCCGGAGGTCTGTATTGACTGGTTGTATGTCGGGAGGTGTTTCTGGTGTTGGTCTATTTAATAGCTCTCCAAAATGTTTTACCCACCTCTTCAATTATTCTTCTGTTGTTGTGAGAGGTTCACAGTTCTTGTCCTTCACTGGCTTGTCTGTTTGCTGGATCTTGTTGGGGATCTTCTTTATGATCAGATACAGTTCTTTCAAGTTTCCTTGTCCCGCTGCTTCTTCAGCTTGTTTGGGCAGGTTGTCGATGTAATAAAGTTTATCTTTCCTGATTATTTTCCCATCATCTGCTGATAACTGCATTAAGACTACGCCGTAAGAAGTTTAACAACATGACAAAGAGGAGGACAATGTACAACGTGAGTGTCCTCAAAACAAAGGAAGTGAAGACAGCATCTCCGCCTGTCAACTAGATTTCAGATACAACAAGACCAGCAAAAAACCAATGATAAAAACATAGAGACCCAATGGCTGCACATCAAGGAGGTGTGGCAAGGCACATGCCAGGAAGTCCTAGGCACAAGGAGTGGATCTCTGGTGATATCACGAGAAAACTGGATGAGAGGAAGGAAAACAAAGCAGTGCTGAATACAAGCAGGACATGAACAGCAAAGGCAAAAGCTCAACAAGACTACACAGCCATAGAGAAAAAGATATAAGAAAAGCATCAGGAAAGATATAGGGGATCACAATGACAAACTGTCCAAACGAGCGAAACAAGGAAACTTGAGAGAACTGTATATAGTCACAGAGATCCTCCCAAATAAGTTCTAACAGACAGACAAGCCAGTGAAAGGCAAGAACGGAAAGCTCTCACAACAATAAAAGAACAATTGAAGAGGTGGGTAGAACACTTCGGAAGCTATTAGATATATCAACACCAGACACATCTTCGGACATATAATCAGCCGATGCAGACCTCCTTAACCACGACAAGCTAACAAAGACAGAAATCAGGAGAGCCATTAACAAACTTTAGAATGGAAAAGAGGCAGGGCCTGATGAGATACAACCAGAAGCCATCAAAACTGATACAGAGCAAGCCGTTAACATCCTATACAATCTCTTCAAGAAGATCTGAGAAGAAGAGAACATTCCGGAGGAATGGGAAAAAGGCATCCTAATTAAGCTGCCAAATATGAGAGATCTGAGAGACTGCAGGGGAATTACGCTCATCTCAGTGCATGGTAAGGTCCTCAACAGGATACTTCTCTAAAGGATGAGAGAGGCAGTCGACCCAAGGCTCCTTGACCAGCAGGCTGGATTTAGAGCCAAAAGAGCATGTGCTGACCAGAAAGCCAGTCTGTGCACCATCATTAAACAATCACTTGCTGTCACAATTTTTTCTCTTGCTTATTGACTAGATCATGAGGACTAACACATCAGACAGGAACAAAAGGTATACAGTGGACACTCCTGACGCAACTTGGCAATCTAAATTTTGCCAATGACCTGGCTCTTCTTTCACATAACCACAGTCAGATGTAGATTAAACAACTCGCCTTGCAACAACATCGAAAGGAACGGGAATCAAAATCAACTTAAAAAACAGCATTGATGAAGATAACCACCACTGCCCAAACACCTGTCACAGTTGGTGGTAAGCCCATCAAAGAAGTAGAGTCCTTCATCTACCTTGGGAGTGTGGTGGACCGACAGGGTGGCACAGACGGGGACATCAATTTAAAAAAATGGCACGGTAAGAACTGCATTTACCATGCTAAGGAACATCTAAATCTCAAAGAACATCCGCATTTACCACCAAACTTCTGATCCTCCACTGTAATGCAAAGTCCGACTTTATGTTTAGTGTAGAAACGTGGAGATTGACCAAAGCAACCCTGCAGAAGATCCAGACATTTTTCAACACCTGTCTCAGGCGCATCTTCAACATCTAAAATCCTGGAAGCATCTTCAATGAAGAACTATGGAAGAGAGCAGGACAGGAACCAATGGACGTACAAATAGGACAGAGAAAGTCGGGCTGGAATGGACACACACTAAAGAAGTTACCATCTAGCATCACACGCCAGGCCCTGACTCGGAACCCACTGGACAAAAGAAAAATAGGACGTCTAAGAAACACCTATGGCCAGTTGCGTATATATAGTTTAGCTAAGTACAGCTCAGTGGTGGATCCACGGATCACGTAAACCGGGTTTAGATGCCAGGTAAGACAGAGTTACCTGAGTAGTAATTCAGTTGCACGCTTGAAAAGTAAACCACGCTTACCTGATCAAGACTTTCGTTTGCAAAAAACTGAAGAATGTCGAAACCCAGTAAATCTCCTAATTTTACTGCCCTGGAAAAATCTGTTTTGTTAGAACTTATTTGAATCTAGGAAGGATATCATTGAAAATAAACAAAATGACGGGAAAATGGTGTTGAAGAAGAACTCGGAATGGGAGAAAATAACGACTGAATTCAATGCAAGTCACGGTGTCAACCAAAGGACCTGTATACAGCTGAAGTCCCTTTGGAAAAATATGAAGTCACGGACAAAATCTGCAGTTGCAAAAGACCGAAGAGAGAGGACAAAAACTGGAGGAGGGCCACAATCTGAAACAGGACTGGATACCGTTTCAGCTGCAATTTCAACCATGCTTCCTCAGCAGATTAACAGCTTATCTAATGAATTCGACGACGACCTAGTTTACATGGAGATGTACAACGAACTTCTAGTACTAATGAAGCGGTGAGTAAAAAATGATGAAGAATTCAAAATATGAATTAAATATTACATTTAATGCTATTAATTTACAAGTATAGACAGCACATTATCCTATATTTGAATGTCATAAAAATTTCGCAATAAGAGTTTAAATGAAGATAAATTTACTCACATAGGCAAACCGTGTCACTGAATCCAATGAAGCTTCCTCTTCTAGTTCCTCATCATCAACAGCAGCATCGTTAGTTAAGAAGAAAAGGCCCCAGGGTAAACAAGAGCAGGTTAAAGGCAGGCTCTTGGAGATGGCAGAAGAAGAACGTGCCGCTAAGATGCGAATTTATAAACCGAAAGAAGATATTCTCAATCTGAAAAAGCGTAAGCTAGAGGAATCCATGGCCACTGCATGTACCAATGAAACAAGCAATAGACCTAGTGCAAGTAAAGTAATTGCATGGAGACCATTTTAATTTGTTTAGGCAACAAGAAATGGTATATTAAATAAGATACATAAAATACAAAAGATACATATTATCATTCTTATACTTACTTTAAGATCTTATCTGAAATTACGAATCAGAACTGAACGTAGGGCCCTGCCTCCTTGGTGGCGATTCTGTAGGACAGGTACAGGAACCTGGTCATTCTCCTGACGTTCATCTTCATGTGGTAGAGGAATTGAGAGCTCCCTCGCAATATTATATAACACACAACAGGCAGTAATCACTGTTAGATTTGTTTGAAGCTTTAATCTAAGTTGTCGCAAACAAGGAAATCGTCTTTTCATTATTCCAAACACATTTTCAATTTTTACACGAGCATTGCATAAAGCAAAATTAAATCTTCTCTCCTCTCTGGAGTTTGGAGTCAGAACTGGAGTTATAAGATAATGATGCAGGGGATAACCATTGTCACCGAGCAAAATTCCATTAATTTCTCTACGTTCAAATTTTGCACAAATGTTAAAATTATCAAAAATTCTGCTGTCATGTGTACTGCCGGGCCAACGTACTACAACATTAGTTAGATTGAGTTCGTGGTCACAGATTGCCTGTACGTTAATAGAGAAATATCCTTTTCTGTTTCTGAAAAGTTCGGCATTATCTCCTCCAGGAGAAATAATGGGGATGTGAGTACAATCTATCAATCCCACAATACCGGGAACGTTACTTTGTTGCATAAATGCTCTTTGTACATCCAAAATTCTATATGTGTGTTGTACAAAGAAGCAATTGCACACGAAACTTTCTTAATGATTCTTGAAACGGTGCATTTATGCACCCCAAACAAATCACCGCTTACTGATAGCATACTGCCAGTGGCATAGTACCTCAACGTTATAAGAAGTTGATTTAATGGGGAGATGGATGAAGTGTGCAAAATTCCACCTCCCAAGTCAACATTATTGTCATCTAGAATAGACAAAACGGCCTCTTTGCTAAGACGAAATCTATCAATAAAATCACTTCGTTGTAAAACGTGATAGGATTAAGTCTATCTCTAACAATTTGTTCTCTCCTAATCAATCTATCTACAAGATCAAACCTCTCAACTTCTTCCAAATACTCCGCCATCACTCCGAACAAAAATACGAAGCTTGGTTTAAACCACCCCTATAGCAGGTTCAGAATTTTCCTTAATTCTGAGCCGTACTCACCTGATCCTTACCTGTGTGCAACACATAAACGGTGATTTAAACCTGGAATCATTGATCCAGAGTTTAAACCATAGATACGCAACCGGCCACTAGAAGCGTGACTCAGAGTCAAAACTAAAGGCATTGAACTTTGCATGATGCAGTGAAAGCAGCCCAGAATAAAGTTCGTTGGAGGACTAGTACTGACATCACTAATCAATTAAATCATCTGATTACTTCACAATACTGGTATTTTGTGATTTCGACTACAATTCAGTTTTATAATGGATGCATAAATCATATTTTTGATTTAAAAATTGTCAACTAAGGACTCCCTAAACACTGCTCATTGATAATATCTATAAATCCAGGTTAACTCTAGTGCATTTTGAACATTAAATATCAGACTAAATATTAAGTTATTGATAACAATTTTGAAAATTTTTCCCGTAGTATTAGCAAACAATATTAATTTCCATTAACTAATAGCGCACTGTCTTTGAACAATTTCCTCAGTTTTGCATTGTTAAAAAAAACCTCAGTATGTACACCTTCATATGAAACAATAATAAGAGAAAATTCAATTTTTCCAACCCCCCTCCAAAAAAAAGAATTCCTTAACTCAAAGTGGCCGAATGAAATATAAATTTTATACAAGACATTAATGTACAAAATGGCTAAAATCAGGGATGGTATATTCAACTTTTTTTAATGCAGGTATTGATTAACTAGCAATGATAATGGTAAAGTTTGTGTTCTTTTTCATAAATGCCTGTACTTCATGAAGCAGACAAACATAACCACATAATTGATTCATGCTGGGAAATAAATGTCCCATTTGATTCTTATGCTATAAGAAATATGTATCAAAATTTGTTTTTTTTTAATTTGATTGGAATAACAGTGACACTGGATACAGGATGTCCACTCTTCTAGTATCAAACAAGTAAATGCTAGAAACATGGAAAATAAGTTCTTGCTTCAAAAAGTTATAGAAGCTAACATGCTTACTGCTACATAATTTCTTGAATAACATTAGACGTGCACGTACGTGTACCAGAGTAAGACGGAATGTCATTTTCATTATGCCTCACATTCATAACAAAGGAGAAAAGATATTATTAAAAAGATATTTGTAGATAACAAAGAGTAAATTATATAAAATCATAATCTAGTATATCATCTGATAAACCAATGTACATTCTCAAATTAAAATAATTTGTCAGCTGTGTTATAATCATGAATATACATGTATTCTCAATAAAACTAACAATAAATACTAAACGAAAAGTCTATTCCTTTTAAAAAGTATGTCTTTAATATGAAAAATCAAAATTCTGTGAGATTCTGTAATGATGTATATGTTTTACCATCTAATTTATTACATGCTTTAATTTCTGTAACATAAATAAGAAAAAGTTACTTCACTGCTTGTGGGTAGCTATCTCTAATGCTCTTTAACATTCTCAGGTAACCATAAATTTTAAAATATTCTAAAGACAAAACGATTTTAACAATTATCTTCAACAAAATATAATATATTATATAGATACATGGTGAGAGTCAACAATCCCTCCTGTCTAGCAATTCTACAATATTATGGCTTAATAAACCAGAAGTCTCTGTCGAGACTGTAGCTCTACTGGTATGTACTTATCAAAAACCATTGCACTATTTCATGTATCTTTGTGTAGTCTACTTGTGTGCCAACTTATTTTGAAATCAAACCAGAACTTTAGAAGGAGTAGCGTTTTTAAGGAATTTCACAGAAAATTCTATTTTTAGTAACCATGGTAACACCGTTCATCGAATTCAGAAACCGATGCACTATTCTATGTATCTTAGGGTAGTCTACTTGTGTGCCAAGTTATACTGAAATCAGACCAAAACTGTAGAAGGAGTAGCGTTTTTAAAGAATTTCACAGAAAATTCTATTTTTAGTAACCATGGCAACATCGTTCATCGAAATTAAAAACCGATGCACTATTCTATGTATTTTAGTGTAGTCTACTTGTGTGCCAAGTTATATTGAAATCAGACCAAAACTGTAGAAGAAGTAGCGTTTTTAAGGAATTTCACAGAAAATTCTATTTTTAGTAACCATGGCAACATCGTTCATTGAAATTAAAAACCGATGCACTATTCTATGTATCTTAGTGTAGTCTACTTGTGTGCCAAGTTATATTGAAATCAAACTAGAACTGTAGAAGGAGTAGCGTTTTTAAGGAATTTCACAGAAAATTCTATTTATAGTAACCATGGCAACACCGTTCGTCTAAATTAAAAACCGATGCACTATTCTATGTATCTTAGTGTAGTCTACTTGTGTGCCAAGTTATATTGAAATCAGACCAAAACTGCAGAAGGAGTAGCGTTTTAAAGGAATTTCACAGAAAATTCTATTTTTAGTAACCATGGCAACACCGTTCATCGAAATCAAAAACCGATGCACTATTCTATGTATCTTAGTGTAGTATACTTGTGTGCCAAAGTATATTGAAATCAGACCAAAACTGTGGAAGGAGTAGCGTTTTAAAGGAATTTCACAGAAAATTCTATTTTTAGTAACCATGGTAACACCGTTCATCGAATTCAGAAACCGATGCACTATTCTATGTATCTTAGGGTAGTCTACTTGTGTGCCAAGTTATACTGAAATCAGACCAAAACTGTAGAAGGAGTAGCGTTTTTAAAGAATTTCACAGAAAATTCTATTTTTAGTAACCATGGCAACACCGTTCATCGAAATCAAAAACCGATGCACTATTCTATGTATCTTAGTGTAGTCTACTTGTGTGCCAAAGTATATTGAAATCAGACCAAAACTGTGGAAGGAGTAGCGTTTTAAAGGAATTTCACAGAAAATTCTATTTTTAGTAACCATGGCAACACCGTTCATTGAAATTAAAAACCCATGCACTATTCTATGTATCTTAGTGTAGTCTACTTGTGTGCCAAGTTATATTGAAATCAGACTAAAATTGTAGGAGGAGTAGCGTTTTGAAAAATTGTTTACAGACAGACGGACAGACAGACGGACAGACAGACAGACAGACAGACAGACGGACGGACGCCGGACGCATTACTATCGCATAAGCTCTTCTGGTCTCTGACCAGTAGAGCTAAAAATGGGCAAAGATCCCAAATGTAACACATAAATAATATTATAACCAGTATGTCAACAACACTCTAGGGGGACGACTTGTATATGTTATATATATCTAGGTTAAGTGTTCACGTTGGTCTGGGTGTAAAACCAAACTTTTCTGGCTGGTAGAAATGAGTTATAATGCACTGGACAATGTCATCTAATTCTTTCTGAGCTTGTTGTCTATCCATTCTGGAAAAAAAAGAAATTTGTTTAATTTTTTTCTCATATTTTTATTCCTCTTTCAGTAAAACATCAATCCTGATATTTGTATGTACATCTTGATCATCAGTCATATTCCACTGAAACAGCTTCAGTTTTCATCTTTCTTTGGATCTGACTCTGCATTGTCACAGTCCTTAATTGATTTCTGTTACATGTTTTAGACCTAGCTATTATTGATCCCTTACCTGGGATCTGATTGCTCTGTACCTACCCTTACTTGGGATCTGATTGCTCTGTACCTACCCTTACCTGGGATCTGATTGCTCTGTACCTACCCTTACCTGGGATCTGATTGCTCTCTACATTCCCTTACCTGTGATAAATTGCTCTGTACCTGCCCTTTTTTTAAGATCAGATTGTTTGTTGCTTACCCTTGTTTGGGATCTGGTTTAACCTCTGTGTAGTATTTAATTTTTGGTTCCGTTCCACTGGTTCTTAATGTGGCAACACATCCATTCTCAAAAGTGAAGGTGATCATCTGACTAGATTTACTGACAGGCAAAACCTAAATATCAATGATTAGAGGATTTATAATTAAGATAAAGCATTGAAATGTTCACACTGAATCTCTTTTTGATCAAAGTATTTTCATAAATATATAGTATATTTTCAAAAAAATCCTTTTTATACTTTAATTATGTTCATAATGTATTTAAACCTGTTGAAATCTATTTTCCACTTACTGGTTTGGAGTCGGGTTTACTGTTATCGTAACCCACAGTTAAGTCTCGAATGTATTTGATTTTGTAAGGGCCACAGGACTCGGGATACTGTTAAAAGTCAATATCAAAATAGAAAGGTAAACTTCATAAAAATCCACAGACATAATCTAACAAATCATGCATACATATAAAAGCTTACCTTTCCTGTGTTGTTATAGTTTCTAATTTCCTCGAACATTTGTTTGATCTTATCAGCTTCATGACAAATAAAATAGGAGTTGTTAGAGAGGTGGTAACCATACCTGAATTATAAACAAAGAATACTATTAATCTTACTATTGTATGCTTATAGAGAATGTACATGAACATGTATCTTACAGTGAGTAACTTACGTTTTATATATTTCGTCCAGCTTCCTATGCAGTGTGTTGTTGTTGTTATACAGATAAGTGGCCATTTCTGACATTACCATGGCTGCTGAGATTCCGTCCTTGTCGAGGACATTAGTACCACACATAAACCCTGTAACACAAGTAATGTTTAAAAATGTTCAGCAATACATTTAATCAAGTCAATATGGTGTCTTAAAAGATAATTTCATCAACAGATCAATACATGTAATGTCATATAAAAAACTTTCAAAGAATTAATTATTTTCTTACCAATAGCTTCTTCAAAAGCAAATAAGACCTTTTTGCCCTGTTTAAGTAAGTCAGTTGAAAGATTTCCCATCCATTTGAAACCAGTCAAAGTTTCCTATAAAAGTAATTTTCTTCCTTTTATATTTTGCATTTTTACAATGTTAACCAAAAAACAACCATGACTGAAAATAGGTGGATTTAAAAATAAAGTAATTCAATGTACTTTTTAAAATTTTCTTGTTGATACAGAAAACTGAGAGCTTGTAGATTTTTTTAAAAATAATTAATAACCATGCTGATGTGATTCTAGAAGCAGGGATTATCTCGTCTGGATTTGAAATAGACTGCAGATGGATAGATACTGTACAAAGGGTGATAGAAAAGCTTAACTGAGCTTTCAGCTCAGATGAACTATAAAGTGATCAAAAAACTTAAAACTACAGTGTTTATCGGTACCATTCCTTATTAGCTAACATTCAAAACTTGAATGAACATACAAAATCTCCCACAGAATATTTTAGTAAATTTGGTAATGGTGAATTTTTTAATAATTGATCCAGTAAATACAGTACATATGCAGTGTCTACAAGATTATTAATTATCTGCCTTTCCATATGATGTATTAGAATAAAAACAATATACCTCGCTGCAGAACTGTAGCTCCCCGCAAAAATATATATTGACAGACCGGAGAGCTACAGTGCCATCCATTGTAAAAACTGTCAATTTATTGCGCAGAAATAAGGGGGCTTGGTTCTGGATTATTTCTTCCAAATTCTTTAAACCCTCAATTGCAACAAAGCTAGATTTCAAAAAATTCCTTACTATTCTACTAAGTATACTCTCGTAGTTGACATATGCATGAAGCACACTGGACCAAATTATCTTGCAAACCAAAATGGCAGCATAAGTAGATGAAATTTTCTATGATTTCAATTTCAGGAATAGGTGGGCTATCGACAACAATTATAAGGAATGATTTGTTGTGGAAACAGTGAAAGAATAATTATGTTAGGAACGCACAGTTAGTAATATTTTGAAATGACTCTTTTAGAAATATTTAAGAATAAATAGAGAAACAGCACACTTTTTTGTTTGCAATAAATATACAGTTTTTACAATGGGTGGAACTGTAGCTCTCCAGTCTGTCAATATTTTTCAGGGAGCTAAAGTTCTGCAGCTACAATATACCCTAACTTTCTTGAGAAATGTTGATATACTGTAGAAGTACTTTTTTCCGCGTGGTATTAATTTACGCTATGTACGCAGTCACAAATTTTCTGCGGAAATTTGTCCAAGCATACTTAATATAAATGTAAGGCAAATAGTGACAGTCTAGGAAATCCGCGTAATTTTCTACTTGTAGATTATACAGAAATTGAGATTCCGCAGAATTATGACCCTGTGGAAAAAAGTACGTCTACAGTAATTACCTCAAAGTTGAATCCCTCTCTATTTCCAATTGTTTGCAGAATCTTTGAAGATACAGTACTGGCTAACATATACAAGTCACTCACTGAAATAAATGATCTGTACTTCTTAATTCAAATGAAACAAAATTATTTTCCTTCTTCATTCTGTTAGGTTAAAATTGTTGAGTGAGCAGCATTCACAAGGTAAGAGTAATTGATATTACCTGGGTATTCAGGGTACCTCTGTACAAAGGAAAACCAGCTCCACCAGCCTAGGAGAGCACCTGTTTCATTCCCTGAGAAGATGTGCCAGTTTCCACTGTGAGAAATAAAACCTCAATATTACATTACAGCATCAAGATATCACCTTGACACCTGTTAGAAGACTCTACACAAAAATACCAACAAGAGGCCAACGGGCCTTATAGGTCACCTGAGTATCATGTAACAACTTTCCTACAATTGAATTGCTTCGTGTTTTAAACCAGAGGCCATGAAATTCGCAATTTTGAAAGAGGCACCATTGCTTATCATAACTATACACTTAGCTTGCTTACTTTGGTTACTTTATACCCAGAGGTAGATCAGAGTAACAAAGAGAAAATGCATTTCCACTTTATAACCAGCTGTGCACCCCACCCCACAGGAACCACGACCCTGGGGGTACATATTTCAAAATTCTGGAAATTTTATCATAAATTTTATTTCATCATAAATGGTTGATTAACACCAAAGAGCAGATTTCAAGGCATTAATTTATTTTCAGACTATGTAACCCCTCCCCTCCCCACCCCAATTACCCCTGACTCAGGGGCCATGAAATTAACTATTTTGGAAGAGGGACCTTTCATCATCATTAATATGTACTTAAATCATTGGCATCATACCAAGAAGGAAAGGAAAAGATTTTCAAAGAATTCATGCATTTTCACAATATAATCATAAAAGGCCCGCCCTAACACCTAAACGCCTGATCCAGGGGCCCTGAAATTCACAATTTTGGAAGAGGCAGCCTTCCTCATCATAACTATATACATAATTCACTGGTTTAATACCAAGGAGCAGAGTAGATGATTTTCAAAGAATTAATGCATTTTCATTATATAATTAGAAGAGCCCCGCCTAAACACCAGAGCCCCTGATCCTGAAGCCATGAAATTCACAATTTTGGAAGAGGCAGCCTTATTCAACATAACTATGTACTTGGTTACTTTATTTAATACCCAGGAGCAGAGAAGAAGATTTTTAATGAATTAATGTATTTTCACTGTATAATCAGTAGATTCAACATAACTAAGTACTTATTTTATTTATTACATACCTAGGAGAAGAGAAGAAGATTTTCAAAGAAATAATGTTTTTTCACTATATAATTTATATAGCCCCACCCTAGCACCTAAGAACCCCTGACCCTGGGGCCCTGAAATTCACAATTTTGGAAGAGACAGCCTTATTCAACATAACTATGTATTTAGTTAATTTATCTAATACCCAGGAGCAGAGAAGCAGATTTTCAAAGAAATAATGCATTTTCACTATGTAATTTATGAAGCCCTGCCCTAGCACTAGAACCCCTGACCCTGGGGCCAAGAATTTCATAAATTTGGTAGAGGACTCAATGCTCATTATATAATTCAGGGTTCGACACTAATGCTAGCCCGCTGGCTCGGGACAACTGAATATTGAGGTTGGGCTACCAAACATGTCTTTAAACTTGCCCTGCAGGGCTACAGTAAATTTTACCAATTACTCACTAAGAGCAAGAAAAATAATTATGATTTACACACAATATACCTGATAATTGTTAAATTTATTTTCAAATATGTTTATAATCATCAAAATTATTATTTTTGTAAGTCAAAATGTTAACTTTAAAGGTGATTCGAAATACCATAAATGATTATAAATATGGAATTTTTTGAAAAGAAAAAATGTCTTAGGTACAATCATGGAGTGACATATAATTTTTACCAAAAACACAGCCAGAATGCAGGATTTCCCATCGCTATTTTCAAAATTTCAAAATTTCACTTACCCCCCCCCCCCCTCATCGTTTCGCGACTTAGCCACCAGCCTCCGGCTACTGGACAACTAATACATGAACAGGGCTAGTAGAAATTAGAAAGGGCTAGCCCTGCTGACAACTATGGTTTCAAAGTTAGTGTCGATCCCTGACATTCATACCAACAGTTTGACTGCTTGATGTCCAGGAGTAAAGAATATTTTTAAAGACTGCATTAATTTTAGTGGTTTTGGCCCCATCCTTCAGGCCCCAGGGGGTAAGGACTATGAAATTCAAAATTTTTGTTCCCCTTCACTCATGCTTTATGCCAAAATTGGTTGAAATTGGTTGAGTGGTTGTAGAGAAGAAGCTGAAAATGTTCAAATGTTAACACAAAACACACAAAATGCACGATGACCGACGAAAACAGATACATGTAGCAATAGGTCATCTGAGTTTACTCAGGTGACCTAAAAATCTATCTACAGAGACAAAACTTTTCATATTACACTTCAGACATTCATAGATGAATATGCATAAATAAGTAATGGGTAGATGATAGAGGATACATTTATGAAATAGAGTTTAGTACTTTACTTCATGAATGAAGACAATACACTACATACTCTGGAAGTTTCTCTGCTACAGCCAGCCGGTCAGCATCAGGGTCATTGGCCAGAATCACCGAACTGTTGTTTTGGTCAGCTGTTTTCATTGCAATCAGCTAAGGGAACATATCAAAACAAAGATTTATTGATATAGATCATCTATAAAGTAGAGTGTCCGTGAAATCAGATAATTCTTCCTTGCATGCATTAACTGTTAATTTCATCATTTACATTTCTGTCATATTTAGATATCTAATGTAAGTCTGTGACATGTACTCACCAATGCCCCTTCTCCCTCTTCAGGATTGGGGTACTTCACTGTGGGGAACTCAGGATCTGGTGTAATCTGGGGGGAAAATTTCAAAAACAGCTTTAGGTAAATAACTTCAAAAAGAAATTTATACCTCAATATGATAATTCCCTTTTCTGCTTAAATGTTAAGCCTATACCAGTATTATGTTAAGTTTGATGATGAACTCACTAGGAAGTCTGACAATCTCGATACTTAAGGTCACATACCTGCTCTTGTGCTGCCACTGGTTCCTTAAATCCAAAGCTTTGACACGCTCTCTTGAAATATTCATACCCTACACCATGCATAGCAGTGTAAGTGAAATTTATTGGGCTACATTGGTTTTTCTCTCTATCAACAATAAAAACAGAACACTTTCAAAAACTCAAATCATTGATATTATGAGTGGACAATTATATACTGTATGTAATCTTCCTTTTCCTGGACTGTGTATACCATAGTTAATTTCAGCATTTCTGTTTTTTAAAGTAGTAAATAATTGTCTGAGTATATTAAACATGTTAAAAGAGATTTCATTTTTTTTTTCAAGTATAAAATATTGAAATAATACTACCCCAGTACAAGTTTTTACACAATCCCTTAAACAATATACAGATTTGACGCCTGATTCTAAATCTTGACTGTGCTCTTCTGAGGCTTCCTCAGCTCAATCACATTCTCAGAAGTAAAATCAATTGACCTTCCAAACTGTGCAAGAAATTTGTTACAACTAATTCTAACCAATTTTGTTAACCTATTTTGTTTAGCACACTTGCATTTTCCTCAAACCTCAGTCATATAGTCATGGAGAAAATGTGAAAAAGGATAATTACAGGCAATAGGTCAGAATAGCTCTTTCGTTCCAGTGAACTACTGTTGCTTTACAGATTCAACAAAAATAAGGAATGCGTATGATTCCACACACAAATCTTACTGGAAGTAACACAAGGTACACAGATCCCTGTTGTAAGCATCCAATATGGTGGCCAATGGATCCTTACACAGAGGGGAGGATCTAACAGAGGTGTAATCCCATGAAGAGTCCAGGATCGCCAGGTTCTGTTGAATGGACTCAGCTATCCCTTTGTCAATCGGTGAAATAATCTGATCAAAATTAATAAAGCATACATGTACACTGTATAGTGCTTTTCTCTTAATGTTAAAATGTACAAAATACATATAAAATTGCAAAACTAAGATATTATGAGTAGCTCTAGTATGAAATTGTTCCACAAATAATTAATATAAATGTTGATGTCCTGACCTGAGCACCATTTCCCCAGTAGACTTTATATCCGTTGTCATCCTTGGGGTTGTGTGAGGCCGTCACCATAATGCCACACTCAGTCTTATAGTGGAGTACAGAGTACGGCTAAATAAAGTATACAAACAAGATGTAAAACATAATGGTGTTTGTGAAACTTCCCTCCCCCTTTTGTGGCAACCCAACCAAATATAAAGTGATGCACATTGAAGTGGTGATATTTTTCATGTGAATGGAACATTTGGGTCTTTCTTATTGAAAAAGATTGTTATATATAAATGACACTTCTGTTTCTTTAGAAATTAGGAAGCAAAAGGTGTTGCAATGTTTAAGACACTCAACCCTCTGGGACTAACTCTGGGCTTGGACAGAGAGATGTAGTATTAGATGGACTTATCACATAGGGAGTTGGACAGATGGATGTAGTGTTAGATGGACTTATCACATAGGGAGTTGGACAGACAGCTGAGAAGAGGTAGACAGGAATTTCATCATTAATCAGAACTGTTGCAGCTAGAGATGCAAATCTATGAAAAAAAATAAATAGTTACATTAACTCAGATTTCAGTATTGTCTATTTTGTTATGCATGATTATGCATGACCTTTTTTTAAGCTTCAAATTGAAAAATAGTACTTCCTTACACACTATAAATTGTGAACCAAATACAAAGAAATAATGATCATTTTGATATTATGATTCTCAAGATTTTAAAGTAATGCTTGTCATTTACATGTAAGTGTAATTAGATTGTCAAACTTGAATCTAATTGAATTGTAATTAAGCTCTATACAATGTTTTGTACAATGTCACTCTGACCTTTGGCTGTTGTGTCTTCCATCGTATCCAATGACAACACCATTTTTCTTTACATTTGGGCAAGTCTTGAGTAAATATTTACTTAGGCCCTGCAGAATAAAAACAGTCACTATATTTGCCTGAAATACTGTATACGAGCAAAAATTTTACCACATTTATACAAAGCTCTCTCTGGGTGAAATTTCATAACTTTGGCCTGTGCAAAACTGTGAGAAAGGGTTAAAATAAGATAGGACATAATCAACCATGTACAATACTGTCTCAATCCTGTCACAAGTCAAGCAGTACATATAATTATGTCTCTGGGGCTATCACTTTCTGTGTCTTCAGGTAGTATCAATGACCTGCACTGGGTCCTTTATATTCACATATTGACTTACACATAAATCCATCACTGAATTTACAATGGTAAATGCATTACTGAAAATAATACATAATGACTGTGTGACAGACATATTAAACAACTAACCTGTGAGGTTTGTATGATTGTCACATCATTCATCTGAGAAAATCCCGTTCCCATGCGTGCTCTTAAACCTGCAACATGACAAACAAGTCCACATTGCTCATATAAGTCACCAATCTGTACCTGGCTTATATCTCTGGATGTCCATATATCAGACACATGCATTTTCACAAAAACTTAATTCCCAAAATTATTTGTCTCCAAAGCAATGTTTTTAAAAATCTTAATCCACCTTACATGAGGATGCATGATATTCAAAGGTTTACATGGGACCCGTCTTTTTAGAGACTTTCTATACATCCATATAAAATTTTGACCCACCTAGCCCTATGGGACATGATTTGAATTTTCAATTTACACTCAATACAAAATTTTTTTATAGTCCTGATAAGTTTTGTGCTCTGTAGTAGACTATACGGTATGAAAAACCTTGCCATATACTATTTTCTGTTTCTAATTAAACTCTCTTGGAAAGAGAGTGTGTGTGTGCAACTTTTAACTTGTACACATTCTAACCAGGCAACTTCACTCTTATCTCTAAAAACTGATTGAAACTGACCAAATAGTTTTGGAAAGAAGTGAAAGTGTGAAATGCTTAGAGATGATACATGTAAATGTTACACCACAAAGAGACTTGCAGTGGAATTTTTTATATGAACTACTGTATACAGGGATATTTTCGCCTCGCTTAATTTTTTCCCTTTTAATCTTGCAAACAATTTTGCCCCGTCTTAAATTCATACAATCACGTTGCTTAAGAAGTTAAACTGGAATTCTTTGAATTCACCCTGTTTTAAATTTGCCCAACCAAGGTTAGGGCAAAAGGGGCCAAAATAAAACGGGGGTGGAAATTTCCCTGTATACACTATACAGTAATCTCATTTAAATTTTGTAACATTTTTTTTGGAGCAAATGAAAATTTTACTTCAAATTTCATTTGAAAAATACATATCAAGATACTTTTCCTACCATCACACCTGACTTTTACAAAATCAAAACTGACCTGCAGTTCCAAATTCCATTCTCTGTAATAATAACTTTCTAAGTCCTTTTACATCTCCACTGTCAGCTAGCTGCTGCATCTCTGCTCTGGTGTTTTCATTCTAAAATAATAAAAAGTTTTCTCTCCATCCTTTGTATAATCAAATGCACTGAATACATTTTCTTATAAATTACTGAGGAAAACATACTCTGGCACTGTTAACTAACAAACTAAAAATTAAGTTTGACTTATGTCAGGAGCATAATTATGTGTGAATTTGCTTTGTTCAGTCACTATGTAAAATTCAAAGCTGTTTGGTTTAATTAAATCCTGGTCTTGCAGTTACATTCCACTATGCAGCTGCAGAAACTGTAGTATAATAGATATTTTATTCTTGTCCAGTGCTGAAAAGTAATGAAATATGCCACCAACCATGCACAGGAAATCATGCACCATAAATTGTAATGTACAACATTTGCTTTATGGTCCCTGTAGCATTAAGGTCAAAGTCTAAAATAAAAAAATATATAAAACCATAACGCTACAGTTCCTGCAGCTAGCCACAATGCAACATTGAATAACTTTTCCCGGTCTCAAAGAACTTTCAACCAATGCATTCCAGAAAGGCAGTTGATATAAAATGGGTGAGAGTAACAGAACCTCTAATCAAATTGAAAAGAATGCCAACATACCCGATCTAATTTCAGCCATTCCTGTAATTTACCGTCTACTTCATCATCACCTGTTGTCCTTCCTGCCATGATGGATGATTATTAAGAGCTGTAAAAAAAATAGTGACATGTATTCTACTTTTAACATGTATCCAGGGCTCTTGATCATCTATAATATTTGGGCTGTTCAAGGGTCCCATATCAAAAAAGTTACCTATTTTTCCAATTGATAGTGTTAATTTTTCCAATTAGCCATTACTCCCAAAGAAGTAAGGAAAAATATAGTTAGATATTTAACTTGCTTTTCATACCTCCCTAGGCCTGCATTGCAATTTTTTACAACAACATGTATGTTGTTAGGCGGTATGACCAGATTCTTTACTTTCCAAATCTGGTCATGACCAGATCTTCACATGTATTTTTTAGAGAATGAGATGGGTTCTGTATCGTAGATACAAATTTGGGGGTGGATACGAGTGCACAGCACAAGTCTCCACCCCCAAATTTGTATCTATGATACAGAACCTGTCGAGTTCTCTAAATGATCTGTGACACGATCAATCAAAAAATAGCTCCGCCCACTTTATAACTTTGCAGCATCCAAACTTCCGCCAGAGTTCTGTAGATGAGGCCCCGACGGGGAGTACGCATCCGCAGTATATATATTTCCACAGAAAACGTAAATTTCGGTCAGATTAGTTTTGACAATTTAATGGGGTTGACGTAATCGAGTGATAGTCAATCTTAATGGATAAATTGGAGGATTCAACCGTCATTGTTGTGATCTATTGTAGATAGAGATTTATCATAATTTATTTCAGGGGTCTTACAATCCCGGTTTAACTAGATTAACTAAAACAGGATTTACAGAAAATTCGACGATGGACTTTGATGTCACGGATTTTATTTTCAATTTGAATTGCGGCATTGAAAATGAAATGAAAGAGATGTGTGGCTGTCGTCAGCGAGAAGGATTTTAAAAAATAAAAACACAAAAATGGACTTGAATGATTTTGCATGAGGAGAGTGGATGTTTTCTGTTATTGCGAATTTTCCGTTTCCTTTGGATCAAAATTACGTGTAGATTCTGTGTGGAATAAGTTTTTAAAAAGTGATTAGAAATTTTGACATTTTACATTCTCAGGAAAATACTGGGTATTTCTCCAAAATTATAATAGGAAAACATCAGCATTTACTATTTGTACGTGTGTTTGCTAAATTGAATCAGATCTATTTTTAGACCGTGCTGTATTTTAGATACAGAATAGTTGGCAGATACAATACTGTATACAGGGCTAATCACAGGGGCTTGTCACGAAATATTTATCTTCTTTTAATAAAGTTACCCCTACGTATTATTTAGAGAACTCGACGGGTTCTGTATCGTAGATACAAATTTGGGGGTGGAGACGAGTGCTTTGCACGAGTCTCCACCCCCAAATTTGTATCTACGATACAGAACCTGTCGAGTTCTCTAAATGATTTGTGACACGATCAATCAAAAATAGCTCCGCCCACTTTATAACTTTGCAGCATCCATAACTTCCGCCAGAGTTCTGTAGACGAGGCCCCGACGGGGAGTACGCATCCGCAGTATATATATTTCCACGGAAAACGTAAAATTCGGTCAGATTAGTTTTGACAATTTAACGGGGTAGACGTAATCGAGTGATAGTCAGTCTTTATGGATAAGGTGGAGGATTTAACCGTCATTGTCAGTGATTGTTGTGATCTATTGTAGATGGAGATTGATCATAAAATATTTCAGGGGTCTTAAAATCCGGTTTAACTAGATTTACAAAAACAGGATTTACAGAAAATTCTTCGATGGACTTTGATGTCACGGATTTTTATTTTCTAATTGAATTGCAACATTTAAAACAAAGTGAAAGAGATCTGTGGCTGTCGTCAGCGAGAAGGATTTTAAAAAATAAAAACGCGGAAAAATGGACTTGAATGATTTTGCAAGAGGAGAGTGGATGTTTTCCGTTATTGCGAATTTTCCGTTTCTTTTGGATCGAAATTACGTGTAGAGGATGTTTTCCGTTATTGCGAATGTTCCTGTTAGTTTAGATCGAAATAACGTATAGATTCTGTGTGGAATAAGTTTTTAAAAAGTGATTGAGAAAGTTTGACATTTCACTTTCTCAGGAAAATATATACCGGGTATTTCTCCAAATTTTATTATAGGAAAACTTCAGCATTTACTATTTGTATGTGCTTTTGCTAAATTGAATCAGATTTATTTTTAGACCGTGCTGTATTTTAGATACAGAATAGTTGGCAAATACAATGCTGTATACAGGGCTAATACAGAACGGAAAGTAGCTCCGCCCACCATAGTCCCGTTCTGTATTGCTAATACAGAACAGTAAACTTCAAAGAAAAACACCGCTATCGTGTCAAAATATAAAAATACATAGTAGGGGTAACTTTATTAAAAGAAGATAAATATTTCGTGACAAGCCCCTGTGGGTGGCCTACCGACTGATTAACGTTAATAATGAGATAACAATCAGCAATGCAATAAAGAAAACATTCACGCTATGATATACCCTTACATTATCCTCTGAAGGTCGGTGGCAGGTGGTAATTAATGTAGGAAATCAAGGTCAGCCTCAGTGTAGCCCAAACAACACAACTCCACAAAGTTATCAATATCAACATTGGATATTCATTATGTCAACTAAATAACTAAACCCATCACGTTACTTTAGTTTTTTCCGGATTATTTTCAAGAAATTCATACTTGTGTAAAAAGATGGGTGGAAAAGGCGGACGAAGTGCCTATAGTGCGAAAGTTGGGAAGTGAAAAATTTAATCTCGATTATATCCAAATTTTAATTGATATTTCATCTAATATTAAAGTATACTTAATGTAAAATCTCTACAATTTACAAAAATCTCACCAAGACTGAAAAAAGCACACACACACTAAAAAGAACAAAAACGCTCATTTTTTTTTCATTTTTTAACAAATATTTTCAATATGAGTGGGTCTTCCCTCCATTTTTTAAGAATGATAATCCTAGCAGTTTGCAATAAAATATACCTTTAAGTTTATGGTTTACAAAAACATGGAGCGAAGACCCACTATACCTTAAAAGTACACTTTTATGACAAAACATTCGCATCTTTCCGAAAAATTCTTCAAGTCCATGTAGTCAAGGGTCATATAAAAACATGATTTAAATGCCCAAAATCATCATGATACGTCTGATTTTTTATTGCTAGGGTTCGAATCCCACGAATATAATCTTATATTTTTTTAAAAGAAAAATTTCTTAAGAGATTTTTTTTCTCTCGGAAATTTTTTTCCCTCATAACTTCATGAATGTAAATAATGAGAAGTTAATTTAAATACTCAATTCACATACTGAATATGAATTTCTTAATATCCGACGCTATATAGGCATGTTCCCTTGTTCCCCCATCTTCTTTGTTGAAAAAAAGTATAAATTGTAAAATTATAATGGCAACTTTGTAGTACAAATGAATTAGCTAATGAGGACTTTATTGAACATTGGGAGAAAAATAGCTTAGGCCTACAGTGGCGGATCCAGAACCAGAGAAGGAGGGTTACAGGGGTTGTACCACCCCCGCCCCCTGGATTTGTGTTTTTTTTTTTAATGAGAAAGAACAGAGAGTCCCAATTTTTTTTAACGAAAAAAATTTCAGTGAAAGGCTAATTTAGTTATAAGCTATATAAAGAAATTCATTTGTGCATGAAAAAAAAAACATTGAGCCCCCCCCCCCTCTTTCAAATAAGGATTCTCGGGTTCGGAGATTTATTTTTCTCTCTTTTAGACAAAATTTCTAGGTGATCAGAATTTTCCCTTTCTGTCTTTTCCCACTTTTAAAAATGATACCCCCGGTCGCTCGCGTGGCGCAGTAGTTGGAGCGTCTGCCCTAGAATCGCGGAGTAAGGGGTTGATTCGTACGTACGTCGCGGGCTCGAATCCCACTGTGGGACGTGGAGACCGGTCCTTCGGATAAGACCGTATAAAGCCAGGTCCCATGTCGCAGAAGTTGCTGGCAAAAAAAAAAGATCCATCACTGCTCAGTATATAGGTCAATTTGTAGCCCCCCCCCCCCCCCCCATCGCCAAGAAGTGGAGTCTCCACATGTGTGAAAAATTCTTGAGAGGGACGTTAATTAAATATATAACAATCAATCAGTGAATCAACACCCTTCACACCACCCAACCCCTTTCGATGAAAAAATTCTAGATCAGCGTCTGTGCTCAGCAAATTTAAGGTGCTGATATTAATCGCCTAATGCAGAAGAAAATATGACATGTGAGAGCTTACACATTTAAAAAATGTTTTAACAGTTAGCTTCCTAACATATTCCTAAAATCTAATGCTTTACTTCGATGTAATTGAATGTTTATAATATATACAGGGTGTTTCACAATATATGTCACACATCTAATTGGGTATAATCTGAATATCAAGCATGATACCAAAAATACCAAAACACTATAGTTAAGCATATTGATCTACAATTATTATATTGCAAAGTATTGGGAAAATTATAATAAACCATGAAGTAAGTATTATTTAGAGAACGAGACGGGTTCTGTATCGTAGATACAAATTTGGGGGTGGAGACGAGTGCGCGAGCACGAGTCTCCCACCCCCAAATTTGTATCTACGATACAGAACCTGTCGAGTTCTCTAAATGATTTGTGACACGATCAATCAAAAATAGCTCCGCCCACTTTATAACTTTGCAGCATCCAAACTTCCGCCAGAGTTCTGTAGATGAGGCCCCGACGGGGAGTGCGCATCCGCAGTATATATATTTCCACGGAAAACGTAAAATTCGGTCAGATTAGTTTTGACAATTTAACGGGGTAGACGTAATCGAGTGATAGTCAGTCTTAATGGATAAGGTGGAGGATTTAACCGTCATTGTTGTGATCTATTAAACTGAAGATGGAGATTTATCATAAATTTATTTCACTGAGGGGTCTTAAAATCCCGGTTTATCTAGATTAACAAAAACAGGATTTACAGAAAATTCTTCGATGGACTTTGATGTCACGGATTTTTATTTTCAAATTGAATTGCGACATTAAGAGACGCGTGGCTGTCGTCAGCGAGAAGGATTTTAAAAAATAAAAACGCGGAAAAAATGGACTTGAATGATTTTGCACGAGGAGAGTGGATGTTCTCCATTATTGCGAATTTTCCGTTTCGTTTGGAGCGAAATTACGTACAGAGGATGTTTTCCGTTATTGCGAATTTTCCTTTTACTTTGGATCGAAATTACGTGTAGATTCTGTGTGGAATAAGTTTTTAAAAAGTGATTGAGAAATTTTGACATTTTACATTCTCAGGAAAATACCGGGTATTTCTCCAAAATTTATAATAGGAAAACATCAGCATTTACTATTTGTACGTGCTTTTGCTAAATTGAATCAGATTTATTTTTAGACCGTGCTGTATTTTAGATACAGAATAGTTGGCAAATACAATGCTGTATACAGGGCTAATACAGAACGGAAAGTAGCTCCGCCCACCACAGTCCCGTTCTGTATTGCTAATACAGAACAGTAAACTTCAAAGAAAAACACCGCTATCGTGTCACAACTGATGATATAATCAGTGATGTCATAATTTCAGCTATTCTCAAAATTGCGTAAAACTTGCAGCAAGAATTTGTTGTAAACTTTTAATAAAAGAACCGTTTACGATATCTTAAATATTTTACAGGGGGTGATGATAAAAAATAGCTAGACCAGCAATTACTGTCTATTTTTGATATATTAATAATAATTAGAGGGTTTTAATTAAATTATAATGTAAAGATGTAAGACAGTTAAACCCTGCCTCCTCTTCACACCACCCTACCCCACCCCCCAAAATCAAGAAGAGATCAGAACAATATCAGAATGAAGTCAATCATTGAGAAAACCTCATAAAAGTCAGATCTTAGTTTAAGGAAATGGTTGGTAACAATGCCAGTAAGTGTATCAAGAGTATTTCGAAATCTTAAATTTGAGTTAAGTGTGTCTGCATACAAGATTTCAACGTTTAAAGTCATTCAGAGCCGGGGTTAAAGTTTGCAAGATTGAATGAAAGGAAGTCGAAAGAAGTGGACACCAATTAACACATACTGGTAGTTCTGAAACGACACATTCATTAAAATACAACTTTAAAAAATAGATTTGCACTTTGGGGGTTCTGAAAGGCCAGTTATAAAACAAGAAAAGTTTCAAAAATCTTGGAAAACTTACCAAAACAGTGATCACAAATTTATAAGCATTAGTCTCTTAAGTTATTTAGGACAATGTTGGGAAAACACTTGGAGAATAACACTTTAGGATTTGTTACCATAGTAACTGAAGTAAAGAATTTTGGATACTATTGACTCAAAAAAATAATTTTGAATATATCCTGATTAAAACGATCTATAAAACGTATATATGTAGCTTTTGTTGTCATTTATCTATCTGTCTTTAGATGTGTGACATTTATTGTGAAACACCCTGTACATATCGTTTTGTTAATTTTGGCTTCCAGCAATGTCTGTAGTAGAAACTTACTTGAAAAATAAGTTAATTAGATAGTTTTTTTTTCAAATTACTTTAAGTAAAAAAAAAAAAATTAATTTCTTGATTCTCAGGCCCTCCCTCATCTCTTCCAAGGATACCTCATTGACCATTTTAAATCAATAAAATTAAAAAAAAAAAAAACAAATCACCTCCTTCATCATTTTTTGAGGTTTTATACAATGTAAAAAAGCTGCCTCAACATGTTTTGGGTGCAATAAAAAGTGAAAAAAAATGTCTACCTCCCTCATCATATTTCTTAAAAAAAAAAAAAGGCTTGAGAACTTTGAAGAATTAACTTTGCATGGCCTAAATTGTCAACGAAATAATTTTGGAAAGTTAGTAAAATCATTTCTATAAATATAGTCTTAATATTATATTGAACATAGTATAGATCATTAAAATTCCGGTTGACCCTCGATTTTTGTTGCAGTAAAGTTAAATAAGGGTCATGTAGTATGTTTGAGTAAAACCAAAAAGGTACTTTTAAGAAATTGACCCCCATTAATTCCAGCCACCGAAAAAGGATTTTTCAGCTTGACAGGTTTCCTTCTTTCTTTTCTTATTTTTTCTTTCTTTCTCTCTCTCTCTCTCTTTTTTTTTTTTTTTTTCGCTTGAGGTAAGTGGATTTTTTTTCTGTCTGCCCCCTCCCCACTTTCACAAACGCTGCTACGTCATTGCAGTGGTTGGAAAAACTTACCATACTTTTACATTTGCTAAAAAAGGCGCGATATTTTTATAAATGGGACATTCCACTGGACACATACTTTAAGTATGATATTGTCATTATTCATATATTTTCATTGCCATTGATATATAATACGTGATATCTTCTAGCAAAACCATCTCTGCACAGCCATAAAAATGAATTTTCCTATGCTCCGTGTTAAAGTAACACCAGTATTGTGAGCGACGTCAAAATACATTTTAAGATAAATTGACAAGATCAAACTTAACTTCATATTTAAAGATGAGTCTATATTTCAAAAGATTTTTTGGGGTGATTTTTTGCCTTTTTCGAACAACTAAATAACCTTAAAGTGTTTGGGATTGAAAATTGCATAATGCTTGAAGCAGAAAAAAATGGTGCATTTGATTTTCTTTTCTTTTGTAAACTTACAATATGTGTTCATTCAAAAACCTTTTAACACATTAGAAATTAGCTGTCACTGGGTGAAAAAAGTGGTTTCCCATAAAGGGAAACTTTATGGAAACCACATGGAAACCTCAAGTTTACATCATGTTTCCCAGTGGTTTCCGTAGCGGATGCAAGGTTATTCCGCCAAGTTTCCGTGACACGGAAACCCCCTACGCTCCGATTCCATAAGGTATCCCGAACCACGGAAACCTCTGTAAACCTGAAGTTTCCCGAACATCCATGTAGTTTCCCGTAATGGGAAACCTGAAGATTCCACTGGTTTCCAGAATCAGGAAACTTGATGGAATCGGAGCGTAGGGGGTTTCCGTGGAATGGAAACTTGGTGGAATCTTTAGGTTTCCTTTTACGGGAAACTACATGGAAGATCGGGAAACCTCATGATTCCTAAAGTTTCCTTGACTCAGGAAACCATATGGAATCGGAGCGTAGGGGGTTTCCGTGGAATGGAAACTTGATGGAATCTTTAGGTTTCCTTATACGGGAAACTACATGGAAGCTCGGGAAACCTCACGATTCCTAAAGTTTCCTTGACTCAGGAAACCATATGGAATATGAGCGTAGTGGTTTCCGTGGAATGGAAACTTGATGGAATCTTACGGTTTTCTTTTATGGGAAACTACATGGAAGCTCGTGAAACCTTATGATTCCTGAAGTTTCCTTGACTCAGGAAACTATATGGAACTTGTGTAGCTCTTTCTGTGTGGCGGAAACTTGGTGGAATTATCTGGAGTCTCATTCCTGGTGGAAATTACTGGGAAACTTCAAGATTCCCTAACTTTTCTAAAGGAAGCAATGTGAAATAATGCGTATTCTTTTAAAAATCTATCAAAAAAATTTATTACATGTAAAAGAAAAAAGCATTACCATTTTATATGTTTAATAATTCATTTGATGTACAAAAACTGTAACTGAATTTTTCAATGATATCAAAATATTAAATAAGTTCATATATCTTAGATAAACAATGGAACAGTCTTTCACATTTAAGTCCATTCATAAGGGTCATTAAGTACTTCTTTCAACATCAGTTTCCTGGTTTTCTTCACATCACCTATGATCTGCAATATTAATACAAAATTATTATATGATGTCAGAATTATAATGCTTGAATATAACTTAGAAATCTGAAAGATCAGTCAATGTCCTTTAATATACCAATATCAATAATTACTTTCCATGACCATGATACATATGATTTCAGCATTTAATGTATCTCTTTAATGAATACTTTATGATAAGTGAAAAAATAACATAATATAAATAATGTTTTCAGCCTTATTATGTCATTGAGAATATATTACTACATGTATCTCATACTAAGAACCCTGCTTTAAGTTTGATTAGTTTGAGAGAAAACATACTGTATACAGGGTTATTTTCACCCCGTCTTATTTTCGCCCTTTCACACTTGCGAACAATTTTGCCCCGTTGTGAATTCGCCCAGTCATAGTTGTTAACGAAATATTACTGTATTCTTTGAACTTGCCCCGTTTTAAATTGGCCCAAATGAGGGTAGGGCGAAAGGGGCAAAAATAAAACGTGGGCGAAAATTTCCCTGTATACAGTACCCTTTATAATAACAAAAATATTAGGGAGAGATTTTTTTTAAAATTTTGATATTCGACCTAGAAATTGGTTGAAGATCATTGCAGACCCTCCACCCCATTGCACAAAAGCTAGATTACACCAGGGGAGAAATACACTTTGGACTACGATTTTAAAAAAAGATATACAGTAGATTTTGATACTGACCTTTGACCTAGAAAACTAGTCCAAGGTCACTCTTCATCCTCTATCCACAGGTTCTCTGTAGTTTAAGTTTGAGAGAGAAATATGCACAGAACAAGTGATTTCAGATGGAGTGATGGGTAGACACTGTCTAAGGGCATCCACAGAACAGGACCTAAAAATAATGCAATATATATGTTTTACAGTATATACACATATGTACTTGTATGTTAATGATTTATCATATGCTGCATTGGACACATATGATTTTATCATGGTTTAAGTATACATGTATCTTATGAGTAATTTTATACCGGTATTGCATGTACGCTCAGTTTATTTAAGAAATAAATAACAAGTTTATAAACTTCAATGGGAGAGATACCACAAATGTATATATAAACAAGTAATTCAATTTTTTTTACATATATTGACCAACATTATTTACATCCATTCATCATGTTCATGAATTTGCTGATCAAAATTCAGTCAGTTTTAGATCTATATGATATACCACAAAGGACTTTCACATTTACAAAAGTTATTCCCCTTCGCAGGGTCGATCTGGGGTCAACCTGTTTAAGACGCTGTTTTCCCTCTTTAACCGTAACAACTTTGAGGGACAATATCTTAGAAATAAAATCTGTATGAACATTATCATTATGACTTGCATGTTGCCCCCATACTCTGGCAATTCAGATATAGATTGTAATTGTCCAATATTTTTGGAGATTGAAAATATTAACAAGTAACTTACAAAGGACAAAGTGGGGAAAATGAGCGATACGCCGACAATTGGAGGAAACTCTTAGGAATGTGAAATTCGTCTATTGGTGATGACAATTCCTGTTTAAATGTCACTGAAAAATTAAGAGACATTAAAAATTTAAGCCCTATTGTCATACACGCATGCTGTTTTTTCATCCATATAACCTTTTAGTATCATAAAATTTACCAAAATTTAATACTTCAAATAATTTCATTGAATATCTATAAAATAAAGGAAACTCTAAAAACTTAGTGACTTGCAGAAATTATTCCTTGAAGAGAAAAAAAATCTATCATATTTCACATAAATATGTGCATAATGAGCCTTTTTTATTCATTTAGAACATATAGTATGTGCCTCATTTCCCCAAGAAATTTTCAAAGTCAATGGACTATGACTGTAAGCAGAAATCATTGCTGTTTACTTACTTTGGAAAATTTATGAAAATAATTAATTTCCTATTTTTTTTTTTTAAATAATGCTAAAAATAATTTAATCTATTAAAAATAATCTAGAAAAACTGACTGTAAAATAACTTTTTTTTCATAATCTTAATCTATGGGCAGATCACTTTAACTTCATAAAACTACCTGATATTAAAGTAGAACTCTTTAGTGTGCAGTTTTTAGAGCTTTCTTCAAGTAAACAAAATACTGACCAGCAAGAAATCAGTTAATAAGCATTTCCTTTTTTGCATTCAAATTTTTGTAGAGATCTCAGAGTTTTTTCCTGTTCAATTCAGGTTCAAGACGAAGAAAATAAGATTTAGGTAAAACTTCTAAGTTCTATGCTATATTTGTTTATATAAATGTGTTCAAAAATTTTTTGCAAGGTTTGAGTTGTAAGTGTTATGTTTTAAATATAAAAAAAATTATTGAGTCACGAAAGGAAATGGAAATTCAAAATTTAAATTTAATAAAAGAGAAATGAAATTGTATTTGCATTAAATTAAATTCCTTTCTGTTCTACAGTAAAGTGCAGATTTTTAAAAAAAATTAGAGGCAGTAAGTTTTAAAGAAGCACTGCATGATGCATAGCATGTACCAATAAATTCAGCATATTTTTCATGCAATGGTACATGTACATATAAGATAATATACATGTGTAAATTAGACAAAGATGACATCAAGACTGGAGACAAAAAAAATTTAGATATGACTCCCTCACTTTACTGGATATGGTTACAATATTTGGAAGAAAGTTAATGTCCGCAAGGTCATTCTCTTGACCACTAGAAAACTGCTGAATCAAAGAATTAAATGTGTGGCAAAAGAAATAGTTTCTGTTTTATGTCCTTTTGATTCATCAGAAAGTTGCAGATATTCAAGACTGTACGTAATTTATATCGTCAGCTGCGTATTTTGACACTTAAATTTGAAGAGTTGAGGCTATTAAAATGTACAGAGGTGGTCAAAGAACTATCTACTGTTCATGTCCGTCTCTCTATCGGTCAATTGTTTTGAAGACTTTCCTTGGTCTAGTTCCTTGTATCTTAAAATCTTTTGTGAAACTCATTACCATGGCTTTAAATTGACACTTTCATTTCTGACACCTGGATTCCTGTTTTTTTTTATTTTTTTGGCCGTATTTATTTAAAATATATTCCTAGTAATTAGATTTTGTCAAAATCAGTGACGGTGTGATTTGATATCGAAATCTACTTTCGTTTTCGACAAGATCTATAAGACGCGTTACGCAATCTCTTTTGTTTCATTTATTCAAACGCTTTAATGATCTTCTTGACTAACCAATCAAAAACGTTATTAGATACCATTACGGACTAAAAAATAATACAAAGCTACGTAACCACAACTGGTAGGGCCTATCGTATTTTCACGCGATTTTTTTTTTCTCCACTGAATATTTTGGCCGGTACCATGAATGAATCCAACCGAGTAAAAGTACCGGGTACCGGCAGATTTTGAAAGGCCTGTCTGTATTTTATTACCAAGTTTGTAATAAACATAATGAAACATACCCTTTTCCACATCACATCCTGTATCAGACCTTTGACCAATATCAGCCCTAGGGCCTCTGTCCCTCTGGCTGATATTGGTGTCTCGGGCTAGGATGTGATATGGAAAAGAGTATGTATTATTCGCTATACATTGTCCTACTCAGGTCAATAATTGTGAAAAAACTGATAATTCAAGCTGATGATTCATTTGCATTTCTTGACATACTATCAATATTAATTCACTATTAGGCTTTTCTTTTTTTACATCTTCATCTCAACAGGTTAGACATTACAAAAAAAAAAATCTTTGAGCAGTAAACTATTTCAATAAACAATAAAACAAACCTAATCTCTTCAGAAAAGTGGACAGGCTTTCACCTACATTCACTTTTTTATGTATATTTTTCCTCCATATCATCGTCATGCATATGATTAAACACCCAATTTTATGTTAACGCCCCCAAAATTTACCTGGTTCAAGATCAATAATTTACCGCCTGTCAATCATTGAAAAAACAATAGCTTCTGATTTGATTGACAGGGCAGCTACCCGTGCTTCCTGATAATCTGAGTTTCTGTCCTTTGAAAACGATTGCCTGGTCACGCGTCAAACACTTTCATGTAGCCGCCTTGTATACACGGGGGTTAAAAAAAGAATCTTGGTAAAATTATATTTTACAAACAGTTGAGAGTAGATAATTAAAACATGACTTCTTAAAATATTTGCTTTTAATCTCAACGGCTATATTGTATTTTAGGCGATATGTCGTCCAAGATATCTGTTGTAGAATTTAGACCTGTCCGTGCACAGAAACTCTATTTGCCGATTAAAATTGGAATATGATAAATAAGAAAAGATATTTAGCACAAACGGCACGGATTAAAAATTCATTTATCCCATATTTTATCTGCGTATATATGGATACAATCTATACCATGTTCCGTTCTAAAGTTCTGAAATGTCAGAAACAGCTGTAGGAGTTCGAGGTAACTTTTTTCGAATTTCCTAACATCTGCAGTCAATACCCAATATTCGAATTTAAAAAGTGAATATATACAGCCAAAGATCAATTCTTAAAAGAAATCTTGCAAACAATTAAAAAATTTTAAACACACGAACACCCGGAAATGGTGAATATTTTCGACACTATTGTTGATCAGAACGTAGGCAATATTCCTATCGCGGTACGGTACATTGTACATGTTCACACGACGGATAGGCCTACCTATGAATGGAATATTTTATTTTTTTTTCTTTTTTTTAATTTTGATATTTACACAAGTTTAATTAAAAAAAGATATATTTACTTTGTAGTTTTACTCTGCGTTCTTTTCTTTAATTTGTCATTTTTTTTTTAAATATAAAAACGATATTTCTTTATAATTTTTTTTCTTCATTAGATATCGCTGAAAGTATTTATAAATAAATTTCATATTGAAATATTTCAATTATTTCATGTAGTTTCACTCAAATTTAGACACGAAACATGGAATGTTGACCCTGATCACCAGACACAGACTTCCTGTGTAATGCCACGTATACACAGATTTTTGACATCTTGGGTATTGGGGGTCTCCAGGTAAATAACACCACTGTTACTTGGACCACTCCCCCTCCTCAGGTAACCGTACGGTAAAAAAATTGGGTCTTTAAGGTTATGCTATTCCCTACAATCTATTCCAACTGTTCTGATGAGGATATCCTTCATGAATAATCGGATAAGCTGAGATTGAAGACACTTTTTGTAAAATATCGATGCTTTTATCAAAGTTTTGAACCAAAAATATTTCATTTATACCTTGCCATAAGTCGTAAGTTCCAAAAAACAAGAGTTGGCTATCCGAAAAGTCAGAAAACACATGTATTCAAACCGGATGTTCCTCGGTCTGAATTTAACTACGAAACCATGCTCGGTGAAACTATTATCATCCGGATAATTTGAGCGGGGTTAAAATATTTTTTTTTTAATTCCGAAAAGTATTCATTTATATATAGAGAGAGAGAACATACATATGTAGCATACATTTTAATAAACATGATAAAAGGCGAAACGTTGCCATTTTACAACATACAGCATGCACATGCACGGTGCCTTTGGGGCATCCATAATCTAAGTTATGCTATATCATTGTCTCAAATTTCTCTCTCTCTCTCTCTCTTTCTCTCTGCAATATTTACACTTAACAATTTAGAACTTAGGTATCCAACTTTTCAAAATGGCGTCAGAGTAAAAGTTGCCTCCGATAGTGAAGATTTGTTGTTGTCAAATATTACAACTATTTACCGTAAAAAGTTAACAAAAATATACATACACTAATCCTTCATAGTTGGCCATTGCATTTATCACAGTCTTAAAGACACTGGGTGGTGAAACCATCTTTACTTTTCACATTTACCAGCTGCTTACACCTTCTTCTTCGTCCTTCTCGATCCTCCAAAAATGGCGCCTCGGGAAATTGACCAATGAAATAAAGCGCCTACAGAGCGATGCAGGATGGGAAATATAAACTGTTGAGATCTTACATTAGAATTTAATTAAGTTTTCCCCTTTTCATGGAATAAAAAGAGGGGCTCCTAAATATTTTTGCCGATATGATGTGTAGGCCTAGTATATTTAGAAGAAAAAAAAAAGCGGTTAAATACATGAGGCAAGAGCAGAAAAAAAAATTCTTGCTCGACACCTCAACTTATTTGCCTTCGGGTTATGGGTTTCGGGGCTTTGTTGTTTTTAGTTGCCGTTCTTGCTGAAAGTACCCCCCCCCCCCTCTCCCCGCTTCTTTTAACTGTTACATGTATGATTATGAATTTATAATGTCACACTAACAGATGTTAAATTTTTAAAAGCACATTTTTTTATTGTGAACTTTCCACAGGAATCCTAAAAGGCATGAAAATGAGCTACAATTATAATATGATTATCAAGAACAGTTTTTTTTATTTCAATAGTGATGATTGAAAAGTTCGGTGATTAATAATTCATTGCTAATAAATTGTTGTGATTTTTTTTAGGGGGGGGGGGTGTTAAATTACTAAATTGAACTCCCTCATTTTCGGGGTTTAATTAGATTTTGAGCCTGCTATCAATATTACTGTTGGACCTGCTAGACTTTTCTCTAATTGCTACATGTACATTGTACTTTAAACTCCTTGGTTTTTAGCTAAATAAATTTCACACATCATTTTAACACGTAAAATTGTTTTTAAAATGAATCAGAATATGTTGAAAAACTTTTTCTTAGGAGAGTTATATCTCTAGGTGGAACAAAACTAACATCTTATCAAAGGCAGGAAAATATAACAGTATTTTAATTCAGTATTTTAGTCGTGATTGGTATAAGTGAAGTCATGGGAAAGTTTATGCCGAAAGTCATCTATACTCGTTGATGTGCAGGGCTGTACCTATGCATACAGCTTTAGCTGCTGGTCCCGCCCTGTATTCTTTAATGTTTTTTTTTTTTCGTTAAGAAATCTGGTAAGGTATGCTAGTAAAAATAAAATCCCGGTTAGTTTATTACTCTAACGGAAATTACTTTCCTACAGGCCTGAAGATCAAGTCTATTAGTCACGCAAGTTTTTTTTTAAAAGAGTAGCATGTCGGCGAATAAAAATAAAGTAGTGTACAACATAGATAAAGAAATGTTTGTTGAAGTATTGACAAACTTCATACCTTTATAGAATGAAATCAACAAAAAGTGCACAAAAATACAATCGTGACAATTACTAGTATACAATGAATTAATTATACAATGAATTCTTTTAATAGATTGCCTTAGCATGCACTACTTTAAAATCCATTGTTCTTAAGGAAAACAAAATCATGCAAAATATTATAGACTTTCCTTTATCTAGAGCAATGGCCTTTGGGGAAAAAAATATCTAAAAAAATTTAAAGTTTGTTAAATATAATGTATGTGCAATAAGGACCCTACATTGTAATTTCATGCGAAAAGTGCAGGCGTTTACTACACGGGGATCTGCGTACATATTTAAACAAAAAAAGGAAAGAGAAAAAACGTTTTATGTGATGAATTATATTATAAACATTTATCTAATAAATGTCTTTGTAGTACGTTAGATTACAAATTTCACACAAAAACCCATCAACAATATTAAATACAGTTTTGATTTCACATTGATCTATTAACGTCATTCTGATTTAATATAATTATACACGACGAGAATTAAGATCTATTCAATACCTATAGAAAATTATTTAATTTCTAAAGAGGATAGTTTTATTTTAAATCAGTAATGAAAATTGAAATAAAAATACTAAATAGTTTGTTCTTTCATTGAACTTCTGAAATGTAGGTTATTTTATAAATATGTTCTCTTGTATAACTTTATTTATGGAATATACAATTTTTTAAATGATAAAAGAAACACGAAACATCATCTTAATTTAAAAGAATTTTCGGTCGGAGACTGTGTGTGTACATGCTCGACGACAGCCCATTGTTCCCTTTAGGTACAAAACCGTCTCAATTCACATAGAATATACAAAAAATACACAGTGACAGGTGTCTTCGCGGCACGTGTCTCCACCTGAAATGGCACGTGAGGACAGGTGTCCCCAATAACACAGGCCGACCATAGTGACTTTTTCAAAAGCGTTTTTATTTTGGTGGGGGGGGGGCTTCTCAAGGAAAAAATGAAAAGCAACCCACCCATCCCCAATGATAAAAATAATAATTTAATAAATAAAAAAAAATATTCACTATTTATAGTAAAATACTAGTATGATAATACTCAACCCCCAGCCAATTCGATGAATGATTCTTATCTGACCAGTTTATATTAATATATTAATTCATATTAAAACAAAATCTTTATCACTTTCTAAACTTGTATTTAAAAACTTGAAACACTAAAAATGTAATTTTGACAAACCAACTGAAGTATTTTTTTCCTGACGGATTACCCCGATATATAAGAAATGCCAACCTCTGGTATCTAACACCAATGCCTAGTAAGGTACCTTGATGTCTTGTGAATACATGTTATTATGTAAAAATAATTCTTCAATGCCAGTTGCAAAATACTGGAAAAAAATTTAATTATTTTATTGAGGAACGTCTCACCTGTCCTTAATCAGTAATCGTAATTTGACATATTTCTTTATTTACTTTTTAATCGATCTTTTTAGTAAACCTTTTCTGTAAATAATTTCATTAAATGTACCCTTCCTTAGCTCTTCCATATTTTCAAAGGAACATTCATCATAGACAGCTTCAAGAAAGTGGGATCGGAAATGATTGATTTCTACATAACTGCATGCACTTACTTTTTTCTACTCCACTTCACACATTCTATACGAGTTTACCAAAACTTATGTGATAAATCAAATTCAAAATTGAATTAAATTAAATAGAATTCAGTAAAATAAAATTAAATTAAAATTGAATTGCGTTCACGGTGCTGAAATATTAAATTAATCACACAGAAATACACATCTAGTTATTTTAAGTGTTTGAAGTTAATTATTTTGATACAGCATGTAATCATTTTTGAAATATTTCTATCATTGGTAAAAATATGGTAACATAATTAAATATTTAACTTTTTGTAAAATAAAAGGTAGGTGGGTTAGTATTGAGATTTACTTTCAAAGTGTCCCTGCCTGGGAAACATGGGGGAAACTACACATTGGTGGCTTCCATGTCGGGAATCTGTATGGAAACCACTGAGGCATGTTTACATGGTTTCCTATCTTGGGAAACTTACGGGAAACCACAGGTTGGTTGTTTCCATATCGGGAATCTACATGGAAACCACCGGGGCATGTTTCCATGGTTTCCTATCTTGGGAAACTTACGGGAAACCACAGGTTGATTGTTTCCATGTCGGGAAACTATGTGGAAACCACCGGGGTATGTTTCCATGGTTTCCTATCTTGGGAAACTTACGGGAAACCACAGGTTGATTGTTTCCATGTCTGGAATCTATGTGGAAACCACTATGTGGTTTCCATAAAATGGAAACTATATGGAAACTACTGATGTCACGATTCCCATATGTTTCCATCGGGTTTCCAAATTTGGGAAACCTGGCTTTTCATCCAGTGTGTGTCATGATTTTTTAAAAAGAAATGAATAAAGTTAAAATTAAGTGACGAACCGATCAAGTTTTGATATACTTAACGTCTGACAATTACAAGAAAACGATCCTTTCCTTCGGGGACGATTGAAAAGTCTGATAATATTGATAATATTGAGAAGTGTGCATTACACCACTGCTCTATAGAACTGACACAGTGTATTTATGAAAAAAGAAAAAGTGTCATTAAATATTGCTCACTTAACAAATGGAAGTAAAATGAGGCATTCATATCTTTGTCACGCAGTAGATTAAAGACTGAGCATTTATTTTCTGTAACAAAATACGTAACCTTTCCCTTGAGCTTTTATGAATACCATCTCGAGATTGCAAGCGCTTCTTGCGCTCAAGGTTTTGAGACTTCAGAAAAATTAATATTAAGTTTCTATTCGATAAATGTACTAGGCTTTTCAATTATACATTTATAATTTTCTGAGAGTGTACTTGACCTTCTAGATTTCACAATTTCCAAAATATATTTTTAATGTCAGCTCCAGAGATCGATAAACCGGTTTTCATATATTTGACATTTATTAAGTATAAACTAATTAATGTTTTTCCATTGTGGGCATTAAAAGATAATGGGCCTGAACTTTCCGTGACACTTTGCAATATTTTGTATTGCAACAACGAATAAAGAAACTTGTACAAAGGAATTTTCATTTGAATTAATAAATGTAATCTTTTCTATAAACATTCTTGAATTGTTCCTCTGTGCAGATGATAATTTTTATGACTGTGTTATATTACCCCGCGATCAAAGTCGTCTAGTCGGGATAAGCTTTTGAGTCAACAAACACGAAATTAAAATTTTGTATTACTTTCATTTTTGCAGCGGTTATCTTTCTTTTCGCCTTTTGGGCGAATAAAAGACTACACACCTTGATTTAATGTAATATTAATATCGATTTTTATGTAAAAAAGGATTAAAACTACGAAGACATTGCTAGATTACTTAAAAAGTTAATAAAAGAAATTGTTCCGGTGTTAGAGAAATTCTCTGAGGAGACCCACATTCGGTGTTGAATTCGTGCAAACTCAAAAAAGTCAAATTGTTTTTTACTTAAGCTCAACTAATTCACCCCCATTGCATTGATTTATTTTCTTTTTTGAAAATTTCTCCAGGGATAGCCATAATTGATCAGCAATGTATTATTTAAAATGAAAAAAAGAACGATTGTTGGGTCCAGCGTTATTTACAATGGTACACAAACAAACCGTGAGCTACCTGGCTGTATTTAATGGGGTATAATTGAGATTCCTTGGTGACTGAGTTTGTATGAATCTGACTGTCTACAGCCACCGATTGAAACTGCTGGATCAATCTATCGCGTTTTGGTTTTCTTTCTAACCACTCACAAAGACCATTTTCAACATGCTTAAAGCCTTTTGAGAAATGAATTCACCAATCATAAAGGACGGATAATTGATGAATTCAAAAGTGAATTTAAACTAACTTAAAATCTTCCGATGGATTTCAATTGAAATTCGCTCGTGTTGAAATAAACTTTTCAATCGATATGATAAATATATTCCACTTTGGAATTTAGAAGAAAAATTAAATACACATTTAGAATTTCTTTGTTATCATGAAAGACCTTATGATTTCAAAACACAAAGCGTGTGGAAATTGCGGGCATTGTGTTATGCCACTGTGTTGGGTATGCGATATTCACAAATCTCTTTGACATGTATTATGGTGCAACGATCCGGGCCAGAACCTCGGAAAGAAAGGTGCGAAAAGTCCTATCTGGCGCGCTAGTAAAGGAACGGGAGCTTTAAACAATGTTTTCACTTTTCGTTAACAACAGAAACTATGCTTCGGAATATTAGAAATTAAAAGTGGCATATAATTCAGCTCAAGTAATTTGTTGTCATTACTCAACAATCTACAAGGAAATTTAAAAATAAAAATAAAAATAAGAGTTCAGAAGTGATTGATTTGTGCTGGATTTGTGTTTCACGGTTTATTTGAGGGGACTTAATTTTTGTGATTGGGATGTAGCGGGAAGGATGACGGAGCTACGTCTCACCCCCAGGTGACAGGACATGGGAGGGACTAGTTTATACTCACTGTGTTTGCTTCTTACCCTATGTGTTCAGCACGCGGGTGAGTAATTTTAATTGTACAAATATTTTCGTATCTCTCACCATACTTTCATTGCATAAAAAATTCTTTTGAAAATAAAAACGAATATTAATTTCACAAAGATATAATATATCACTGAAATTGTAGTGTGTGTGACTGTGTGTGTGTACTTTTTATATATTGCGTAACGATCCAAAGAAAGAAGATCCAACTGAACGCTACACTTTTTGATCCAAGGAACATGCACCCATCATATTCGTTTTCTTTGGCTGACATTTTTGTGTTTCAAAGTAAATACTTTTAAGAATATACTAAATAATTAGCTAGAGATTTACTCGACTAAATGGAATTGTTTGGCAGTCCTGCACTAGTGAACCATTTGTAGGCACTTTATTGGAGACCGGACTGCTAAGTTTGGTTGCCCTCTGTCCAGACGTAATCGTTTAAGTGCCTTCCTCATCGACAGTATCTTAAATGTCAAACATTTCTTGTGAAGTCAAATCTTCCAATGTAAGCTTTATATGGGGCGTTTTGGAGGAAAGAATAGCCCCAGATTATAAAGCTTTTTAACGTTTGAGAAGTTTATCAATTTCAAAGTGGACGGGACATGAAAGCTGCACCGGTAGCCATTTTGGCACGATACCTTAAATAAGCATTTTATAAAATGTCAGACGTATGTCATAAGACTCATCAAATTCTGCTTCCCAACGAATATCAGAGAAAACATTTTTCAATAATCTAACGGTTAAACAGTTTAAAGGACAGAGATATATATTAGAGAAAAATAACATTTAATTACTCATTTCTCCTAGCTGGGTCTCAGTAGAAATGAAATGGACGTTATTTGCTTCATATATAGAATGTACTTCTCAACTTTTCCGTCTCTGATAAAATACCTTCTATTTTTGATAAGAAAACAACATTAATTTATGAGAAAAAAAATTGAGGTTAAAGTTGTATATAGCTATCTTGACGTATCCACTAAGGAGCTGAATTAATTATTTCTAATATTTTCTCTCGTAATCGATGGGACGCTTTTAATCATAAATATTTTACAAGAGCCTTACGTAATATTGAACTTCAAGGGTCCCTCTTAGTGCGCACGTATAATGTTTTGGCTTAACCAACATTTTATTTGCATGACCTACCCCTGAAATCCTATGACTGAAGTTAAACAATTGACAAAGCTCGTTCTTTATTAACATGTCTAGATAGTTTGTTGTTTTTTGTTGTATTATGTCATCCTAAAAGTGCTTTTAATTTTCCTAGCCGGGTGCAGGGAGTTGGTATTATAAGAAAAGGTAAGAGTCGGCTGTCGTCGGCAATCAGAATTTATCATTACGTCATCATATCCAGAAGGACTTGCATAATAATAAGTCAAGGATCAATTGTTCATACTTTTAAAGACCAGTGCTAGTAATTCGTTATTCCACTGGTACAGGAGGTACATATATACAAATACATACAAACACAAATAACAGCCAAAGGTGAGAAATAGACAAGCATTTAATTAAGGGAAAAGAAAGAAAAACAATCAAATAGCGGAAGGACTTTATTTATGAAAAAAAAGTACAACGATTTTTTGTATAACCTTTCTTTCCAAATATGAATTACAAGTTTGCAAACATTTCATCCGATATTAATACGTCTTGTTATAAGAAATCTTTAAAAATTGTCCCATCCAATATTGTGCTTTTGGTCGAATATATCCCAGTTATAAACCGTAAATGTTATTTAATGGACCCTTTGAATGCAACGTATATTCATTTAAACTTTATAAAGTTTTGAAAAAAAAAATGAATAACTAATTGAATATGCTTTTACAAGACAGTCTTAGAATTTCAAAATGCCTTGTATGATGAATACATATATTATAATATCATGTTTTGAGTACGCTCGTAAAATTGTCACGGAAAGGATTATTAAAGATGGTTTTTGAAATTGTAAACCCAGTTATTAATTCAGCGATATTCTTTCCTTGATTTAGATTTCTTTTTCATAGCTTACCGCAAAATGTCATTCCTCTTTAATCTAAATACACATATATGCAATTCATTCCATGCATTAAAGGCCATTTCCCCCTGTGATCGTTTTTATTGCTAATTAAATTTCAAAGGTAGTAAAAATATAAATGCCGTAAATAACATGTCGAGTCCTTTTCAGATACTTGAAAGAATTCATAAATTTATACTACACGTTTTAATGGTGACCAATATGTTCATATTTGATGAGAGGGAACAAAACATTCCTCAAACACAGACAAACAGTCACTGAGTATTAACTATAGTTTAAGTAACCTAACTATGTTTACTCTTGACTTTAAAGTAAACAAGTACTGCTTAATTAGTAGTCTCTGAAAGCTTTTTATCCTTTTATGGATTGAATAAAAAATATTGTTAATTACATCTCTCCATTAATGCAATCAAATTCATCAGTAATCATTGTTTTCTTTAAATTACCAACTCACAAATTTCTTAACGAAAAGCAAATATATTTTTAAAAACTTTTACATTTGTCAAATGTGAAGTTTTTACAGAGCTGCCAACATTCTGAAATGACAAATAGTAAGGCGGGGTCTACGGACCACCTAGGTCCCCTGCCGCTGAAGATGTTTTGTAAATGGACATGCAATCTGAGGCATGTTTCCATTTTGTTTACTTTAAAACATTGGTCACATGAATGTGATCGGCCTTCTAAAACGGAAACGATAATACAAGCAATCGTTTGAAGAATTATGAATATATTATAATAGTAGAAACTATAGACTGCCAGCTATGAAAATACCGGTATTATAAACTTTGAACGAGAAAAACTGAAATCGTAAGAGTATAGAGAGAAATCGTAAGGCGTATTTTAGATGCTGATTTCGTACGCGTTACGCTAAAATCGTAAGGGTTGGCAGTTCTGTTTTTATATACCCTTTGCAAGGAAGAAATCTCCCTTGAGTTAAGATTCTAAGTAAAATTCTTGTAAATAAAAATGTTAGAACCTTTCAAAAATAAGTTTGGACAGTAAAGATTTGTTTGTTTCTTTAAGATAAATCATCGAAGCAAAAATCTAGACATCTACTTGTATGAGGAGATAAAATATCTTTAAATGAGCACTGACTTATTCCCAAGTTCCAGAATGCAAACTCTTTTGCAAAACAATAGCTCGTCTCACGAGGGATATAGATATTTCTTGAAGTGATTTGTCATATAAAGTTACCGTTAAAATTCAACATCTATTTGACTAGAAATCTCCGTATTTTAATATACCTTTCTGCTTCAAAAGACACAACATTTAACATATTTCTTGCGGAGATATATTTCTCAGGAACAAGATGCATAGATATCTGTGAGGAATTTTTTTTTTTCTTTATTGCAAGGAATATCTCTTTTCTTTTAGGAGATAATTTATAGGTCAAGATATGCCAACAAATTGTACTGTTTTCTTGGTAACGGATGGACAGCTCGATAATTCCCCGGGATATGGCTAATCCAGATTCAAAACTCATCAACATTGTCTAATTTCCCCTAAAATATTTCAGTCCCGACTTGCACACTTCCGTTTACTGGAACTTGGGTGACTAGCAATCGTGGAACATGGACTGTGTCTTCCAGCTCCATTCAGAACTTCAAGATGACTGTAGATGTTTCGGGGTCGAGCCTGTGGACCATGGACTGCTATTCAACTGACGGTACCAACTACGTCCTCAAGTAAGTTAACTTTACTGGAAATCTCAGGTCGTCCCGCATGTTCACCAATTAACACAAACTTCTCATCATGTAACAAATGCTTGTTTTATCACATTATTTGAGAGGAGTTCCTTTAAAGAGCAATTGTTAATTCTTTGAAGAATTTATGAACACTTGTGCAAATCTTTGAAAGTACCTTTTATTGCCTTTCATCGTATTCAATTGTACACATTGACTCTCTTTGAAAATCTTTGAGATTGCAGAGGGTTATTCATTTTATGTACCTTTTATCCTGAGACATTCAATGAATAAAATGGATATAAGATCACAAAGCAAGCTCTTATCCAAAATGTAAATGCTATGTACTTAATATAACCATTTATGTCTGAAAATAAAAGACAATATCAGATCACTAGAACAGATTCCAGTTATTATAACGAGTTCATTTGTTTGTATGAATGGAAATGTTTTTTTTTTCGGAAGGAATGGAAAGTCTCGCCCCTTTTCCTTGTAATCATGTACAGCATCAACTACCAATAAGGTTTATTATTAATATAAAAATTCATTCTTGTGAAAAGAATATTTTTATTTAGGAAAAATATGATTTCAAATACCCCTCTCCATACAATAAAGACGTATAAATGAGCTAAACCAAACAGATAAATGAAAGAATCACACTCACATACACAAATTATCTGGGTCAGATAGGTTCATCTTTGTAAATTAAATTAAAAGTTAATTAAATTAATTAAAAGTGACCTATAACTATGAAATATGACTTTTCAACAATACCAAGGCACAACATCTAAACCTAAACCATTTGGTTGTGTAAGGTTTACAATGGTTCTCCTTTGAGTCACCAAACATTAAGACCTGGCAATAGATACAGTTAAATTTTTCAACTGTTTTTCAAGGCAAAATACCCCTTGAGTTATCAGATCTTTTCCCTTTGTGCATTCTTGACCTTTGCAAAAATGATCATGGAATGACATCATTTTGAACCAGCTGGATATTTGAAATGGATCTGCATTGTGGTATATTCAGACTTCTATATTAAGTTATTTATCTATAGATTAAGTCAACATGCTAGATATAACATATTAACATATCTCTGTTGACATGTCTGAAAAAATGTGATCAGAGAAGACTTTTGGGGGAAAAATCCTGAATTTTTCAAAAATTGTCTACATATAATCTGAGATGCAACTTATATTTTTACTTTGACACGCAACTCAAAAATGTATCATATACAGAGCAAAATCTTTCCTAGCGAATAAGTTGGAAGACATAAATAAATACCATAAGCAGGCGATAGTGGAATATCACTACATAATTAAGGAAAGTTGATAATGGAAAAGTTGAAGTCATTTTGCTTGCCAAGTAATTCAGTTGATAACTGACCTTTTATCGTCTATAGTCAGTATTGTATCCAAATATGAATATTATGTGGCAGACTTTGTGGTGTCTTTTATCTCAAGTTCACTGGACATATCGAGTCCACATACGAATGAAAATACTCGTAACTTTGTAAATTGGTAAAACATCGTCATTATATGAAGGCAACAGGAAGTGCTTTCCTCCTCTCTTGTACAATTTCGGAACAAAGTCTGCTTCAAAGGAATACAAAAACAGGTTAGCTAATAACCTGAGAATAATTAGTGCCTACCAGAATTCTAACAGTTTGTTGGACAGTGTGTACAGTCAGAGTGGTTTTTAATGAAGTGATTTTGCTGATGGCCAATCAAAAGATGTAAAAAAAAAATTCCGAGCTCCATTTTTATTGAAGAAGAAATTGTCTTTAATAATTATAAGAATGTTTAGAGAAATTGCTGTGTAAAGTGAAAAAAGTCGAAAGTTTTGAAGTTGTATAATTTTTTTGAGAAATTTGGTGATTTTAATGCGTTAAGGTTCTTTAAAGATGTTGAGGATCCAAGTCTGATTTACACCACTTCTAGAAAATGATGTAGCACAATTTATTTCCTATGTAGCTTGTAACACGAGCTTTGATTGGTTACAAAGTCGGGTGTAAATATCCGTGCACCCGACTTGAGCCGGGTGTAAATAAAACGTGACGTCACAATGCATACATTCTCTATGATAAAAGCCAAATAACATGACGTCACGATGCATTGTAGTAGGTAGTTATTGAGACACACTCTGATGTTTACAGAGCATTTTTATGGGTACAAAGGAAATAAATTCGTTATCCAGGTCCAATAAGGGTGATACGGGGATTATATAAAGGGTTTTATTCCATACACCCTTCGGCCTGCGGCCTCAGGGTGTATGGAATAAAACCCGGGGTAAATCCCCGTACACCCTTGATTGAACCTGGATAACTAATAATGTCTAATATTTCTTCTTTACAGCAGTTGATATTTTTGTAAGGAGTAAATATAAGGGCTTGTTAGTATGGCAAGCCCTTTTACTATTTATTCCGAAAATAAAATTTATGTTAAAATTACAGAGATATCTCTCATTTTAGGGAGATACCTCTTAAAAAATAGAGATATCTCTCAACTTAAAGAGATATCTCTTATTTTTAAGAGATATCTCTATGAGAAAGAGATATCTCTTAAACTTAGAGAGATATCTCTTATACTTAGAGAGATATCTCTTTTTATTAGAGAGATATCTCTTCCACTTGAAAAGATATCTCTTTCTCCTTTAGAGATATCTCTTTCGTGAAAAGAGATATCTATAAACGTTAAAGAGATATCTCTTTCACCTAGAGAGATATCTCTTTTACTTTTGGAGATATCTTTCCAAGTTAAAGAGATATCTCTTTAAGTAAAAGAGATATCTTTCTCAGTTTATCTTAAGAGATATCTCTGAAAGTGAAAGAGATATCTTTCAAACGTGTCTAAAAGAGATATCTCTCAAGCAAGAAGAGATATCTCTTTGTTGCAAAGAGATATCTCTCTTCATATTTTTTATTTAAATTCCATTTCAAATGACTTCTCCCTTACTGGAAGTAAGCTTTTTATTGACGGAAATACTCAAATTAGAAATAGTTGATTATTTCATAAGCTGAGAAAATTCGGTCCATTGCATTTGAGATTATATATATATGCTTACTTTCGTTTTCCTGAATATTAAACTTTTAGCATTTTTATCAACGAAGTTACCATTATTATTTGTTGTTTCAAGCAAAGGATTTATAGCATTTTTGTCTACAGTACATGTATTATTCTGTGTTATTGCTAATTGCTCAGTCTTTTTTCTTATAACATCGAAACTAAAGCTCTAGACTTTACTTCCTGTTTCGCTTTCGTTTTTAAGTGGAGAATTAATTATTCTATTTTAAGGATCGCTGAAAAAGATATATTTCTTTCATTTAAAGAGATAACTCTTTACCTTATAAAGATATCTCTTTTTGAAAATCTAAAGAGATATCTCTCTAACTAAGAAAGATATCTCTTTTAACCTTGTTAAAGAGATATCTCTCTAACGTTAGGAGATATCTCTCTCGCTTAAAGAGATATCTCTCTAGCTTATAAAGATATCTCTCTAAGTAAAAGAGATATCTCTCTCACAAAAAGAGATATCTCTTTTGTTTAAAGAGATATCTCTTTAAGGTATAAAGATATCTCTTTTAGTCAAAGAGATATCTCTATATGCTAGAGAGATATCTCTCTTATTGAGAGAAAATTTTTATTTCATGAATAAATAGTAAAAGGGCTTGCCATATGTTAGAGAATTATGTTGGACCCGGCATGCAAATAAGTGTGGATAATAAGAATGTTTGAAGTCGCATGTTGGCGATATTTGATTATTTGGTCTGTCAAAATGTACACCGGTTTCTGATGTGCATGTTTGGCAGACCTTTCAATGTTTTTCTTGGCTTTGTGCTGAAATTTTAAGACTATACCTTAATATATAAACGCTTTACCAATATTTGAAGTTTGTAACCAAATTAGAATTATCTTTTATTGTTTTTCAGAATTTTAAGTTGAGTAATATTTGTTTGCTTGGTAAATTAGCAGGACTGTTCCCTCTATATATGATTCACAGCTTTTATTGAATTGGCTTCCCTGATGAAAGTTATAGTTTTCAGCATTCAAAGCAATCTCACAGAAATTTTCTGTATTTTTTTGAGTGGAAGAAGTTTGTAATAGCTGTATCAAAATAGTGGGGGGAAAAAACCTGGAAAAAGTGAGATATTTCGGACTTAACTTCCTAATGAGTCATCCCGTAAAGAATTATTTTTCAATTCAATCATGTGTATCCTTAGGCCATTCCAAGTTTTTTCTATGTTTAGCGTCCGCGTGCGCCTTGGTTTTTGACACCCCATATAAGAAAAAACACACAACATCAGGAGTCCTGAAATTGATTAATTTAGTTGAAATTTTTGAATTTTGTCAATTTTTCCAAATAATTCTGTACAGTAAGTTATATTGGATGTATTTTAAGCTTTAAGTCCGTTGTTTTTGCTTAGGAATATATATTTTTTCTATTAAAGCAGTTTAGTTAGATCAAATCATTTGAAGGGCTTCATTTTTACGACTTTAAAGTCTGTGTTTTATGCTTTGGCTTGTGTGTTTTTTGCGAATAGGTAGGTAGGTTTTTGAAAGATGGGTGGACGCTAAACAGAGAAAAAACTTGGAATGGCCTTATGTTACAAAACGGAATACTAGTATATTGATCAATGCGCGTCTTGCTTTTTATTTTGAATTAGAAGCTGGAATCCTTAAGAAACCTTTTTATTTTATTCTTTAGAGACTTTTTTTATTTAAAGAGTTTAATTCTCTACGCATATATAAATGTGTTTGAATTCATATTAAACCTAGGTTTGTGCCTTGAAATGTATTGAAACTGGAAAGAATTTGGTTTTATTAATTTGAAATCTAAATGGTTTATTACAGCTGGGGCTTGTTTGTGTTCTTTGATACGCTCGTAAATGTAAATTCTGCTTAAAAAATCTTCAGAGAAGATTTTGGAAATGTTTGAGAAAGAATGATTGCTCTTCAGATATTCAAATGTAAAATAACATAAAAATAAATAAAATTCTGATTTTAAATATGCACTATGAAAAACGACGGCTGTACAGTCTACGCGACAGCAGATTTGCAATTAGTACTAAAAATATGGCTTTGATGAAAACATGTCATTAATTAAAAAAAAAATTAGGTGTATTTTATGACAGTCTAGTAGGGTCAAATTAAGAAGATAAATATTGGTTTACACACATAAAAATATCACAGTAAAAAGGAAAAAAAAAAACGATTTAAAAATTTATTATTATTCCGAAGTCCATTTAGGACCTATATTTGTATCAAGATATTTCGATATAACAAATTGTCGAATTTACTGAATGAAATTTTCATTGTGCTCCTTTATGATCAGACCTGCTTTTATATTCTATGAAGCAGAATTTATAAAAAATGAATTCTACACGAGCAGAAGAAAAAATTGCTGTGGCCTTTAATTCGACATTTAGATATATCAACGATGTATTACCAATTTACAATAAAATGTAGTTATTTTCATTCATAAGTCGATTAAGTATTTCACAGGCAACTCGAAATAAATTAAATTTGTCTGACGCCATAGATTCTACCCCATCTGTTCCATATTTGGATGTTTTAATGACTTTAGATGATAAGGACCAACGAAGAACTAAATTGTATTACAAAAAGTTTGACGCCAACTACTGCAAGTACTTTGCAACAATATATTCAAGAAGTGGTGTGAATCAGATGTGGATACTCAAAAATTCCAAAGAACTTTTGGACACTTTGAAATTACAAGATTTTACCAAAATCAACAGCTTAAAAACTTAAGATTTTCAACTTTATACACAACAATTCCCCACGGTAAATTAAAGTCCAGGCATTTTGATATCATTGACAGCTACTTTTTCAATAAAAATGGAACTCGTTTTACTTACTTGGTTATTGGTCATTTGCAAAATTATTTTGTTAAAACACATTCTGACTGCTCACAAAAGTACTCTGAAGTTGACATCAAAAAGATGATTGGGTTTCTGATTGACAATATCTATGTGGATTTTGAAGACCAGGTCTTCCAACAATCTATTAGAATTCCCATGGAAACCAATTGCGCAACGTTATTAGCAGACCAATTTTTGTATTCATATGAAGCAGAATTTGTGCAAAACCTTGTACATGAAAAGATGAAAACACTTGCTGTGGCCCTCAACTCAACATTTAGATATATCGACGACGTATTGTAATTCCTATGTCGATACCATAAATCCTGGTGAGCTTGAGATAAAAGATACCACAGAGTCTGACACATCTGTTTCATGCTTGGATATTTAACTTGAAAAAGACCTTAATGGTAATCTAACAACCAAGCTCTATGATAAACGTAATGATTTTAACTTTTATATCGTCAAACTCCCTTACTTATGCTGCAATATACCTTCATCACCTGCATACGGCGTTTATATATCTCAGTTGATTCGATAAATAAGAGCATGCTCTACGTACGAACAATTTCTAAAACGAAGTAAATTATTGAAAAACAAGTTGATGAAACAAGAATATCAGCAGTCTCGTTTAAAGTCATCATTTCGTAAGTTCTTTGGTCGATACATTGACCTTTCCAGCAAATACAATTTATCATTGAGTCAAATGCTGACTGACGTTTTTCATACTAATTGTTAGTCCATTATTTATATTCACTGAATATTGACGACGGATTTTTCCGTTATTTCCCGATCATGACAAGGAGCACAAGGCGGGTGTGACCGGTCAGCAGGGGATGACACCTGATTTAGATATATCTAAAGGCCACAACATGTGTTTTCTTCTTTTCACACATAAGATTTTGCACAAATTCGGCTACATATTAAGGGGGCCGAGTGGGGTTTTATTGTGTGAAAACTACAATAGCAAAGCTCTTTATTTTTAAACCATATATAACTTACATTAACTCCAGTGTACATGCCAAGTTTATGGAAAATCTACCGTCCAGGTACTTTTAAGGGACCATCTCAAAATACAGGTACATTTACTATAGGATTACGTAGGAAAATGCCATTTTTTTGCACTTCAAAGCAAATTATACAAATACTACAATAGAGTTTTTGTTCAAATTATAATATTTGATGACTAATCCTATATTGTACATTATATGCAAGAAACACAAAATTCAAACGTCTTGTTACCAGAGGGGGCATCTCAAAATGCCAAAAATTAACGAATTTTCCTGTTTTTATCGAGTACTACAAAATATGACGGGTGCAAAGGATTTATATAAAAACGTAAAACAAATTATGGAGATAATCTCAAATTTTTATTTTTTAAATTTCAATAGCGTATGTTTATTACTTTTTCTTTAATAACATTTTTATTACCACTTTCTTTGAGAGGTTCAGTTTATCATAACGTCAAAAAACACTGTAACAACGTCAACCTATCAATTGCAAAATCAATTGCAAAGTCGAAAAAAAGTTGCATTAAAACAGTAAATAATCATTTTGAAATTGTAATTACATTTTGTATTTAAAAATCAATGAAATTTTAATTCAAGAAGACAATATGATTTTGTTTAAAATTATATATTCAGGTCAAGGTCATTAGACATTTAAAATAAAGAAAAAAAAGTGATGCCTACTTCTATTTCAAAAGTTTAAAGTTCTTTTTGTAAAAAGAATACGCTTCAAATTTTCATAAATAATTTAACTAAACTGGATATGCTGTTTTTCTTAATTTTTTAGGATATAATAGTTATTTTCATATGCTTCCTATATTTAACTTTTTCTTATTATCACATATAATAAAGTAGTCTTATAGATGCACAAAATGATACAAAAACAAAAAGTTTTGATCGTTTACTAAGCGAGAAAAAATACTATTCATGGATTTTTAGCTCAAATCTGTACTTTGATTGGAAATGTTTAATAGCTAACATAGTTCTAGTTTGTTTGAAAAATCATATTTATTTTATGTATTTTGAAAGTTTTGTCCCTTATTAATAATTTAACTTATATTTGAAAATTTCTTCAAGTCTTTGATTGTATAAAAATTATTACTAAATTCAATGTATAATAACGGGGCGCAAAAATATATTGGTTTTAACCATGGGTCTTTTAAATCCCTTATATCTAAATATTTAAAACAGTGAATGATTGTTGGAAGACCTGATAATGCAGTTGGCAACCATGGGAATTCCAATGGATTGTTGGAAGACCTGGTCTCAAAAAACAACATAGATATTGTCAGTCATAAACTCACGCATCTTTTTGATGTCAACTTCAGAGTTCTTGTGTATACAATCAAAATATTTTTCTCAAAATAATTTTGCAAATGACAAGTTAAGTTAATTTACGAGTTCCATTTTTATTTAAAAAGCAGCTGTGAATGATGTCGAGAAACCTGGATTTTTATTTCATACTTTGATATTTTTCATTTTATCCTTGAGTCAAATGCTGACTGACGTTTTTCATACGAATTGTTAGTTCATTACTTATATACTGAATTGACGACGGATTTTTCCGTTATTTCCCGATCATGACAAGGAGCACACGGCGGATGTGACCGGTCGGCAGGGGATGCTCACACCTCCATGGCACTTGATCTCTCCTCCTATATTTTGGAGGTCCTTGTTTGCTCTGCTCTTATTTTGTATTGTTTTATGGACTTTGATATTGAATACTGTTCGTTATCTCCATATCCTTCATCTTGGGGGATGGTTGTGTATAAAGTTGAAAAGACGTAAGTTATTAAGCTGTTAATTTTGGTAAAATCTTGTAATTTCAAATGGTTCAAAATTCCTTGGATTTTTTTTACTATCCACATCTGATTTACACCACTTTTTGAATATATTGTTGCACAGATGAAGTTTCTCCTACACTATTGTTAATATCTTAGTGAGAAGTAAAGAAAGAGACTTGGTTGAACATTTCCTGGAACCCGCTATATATCTTTGTCTGTAAGGATTCTTATGAAGTTTCTGAATCCAATATATATATGGTAGTTCAAATTCATTTTGGTTCTTTGGAATATTAAAAATATTCAAAACTGACATGTGATTTTGAAGAATTTCTTCCTTAGAAAGGGAACCATGAGTATAAGTTGGATTACAACTAGTAGAATTAAATCCAAGTTCTTCTAAAATATAATTTATATAATAAGCCATACAAACAAAGACAATGTTGTTACCTGCTTTGTCAGCAGGGAACAGTACGTTCTGATCTTGTAGTCTATAGAATTCTTTTTTCACTTATGGATTATTGAATATAGAAGGATAGATGGTTTTCATATTTAATACGCGATTTTAACATGGATCTCATACATTTAATCCATTCTGACAAAGTGTTATAACGAATTCTAAAACTTGTTATAACGAATTTAAAGTTATTTGTTAACAAATCTATTAAATTCTTTATAACGAATTCAAGGATTTGTAATAACGAATTAAAAACGAAATATTTATTTTTTATAACGGATTAAAATCGTTACAACGAATTCGACAAATGGTTTTATCAATTTCATATAAATATTTTTTTCTACGGAAGCTCAGAATAACAATAAAATCATAAGATTTCTTTCAACCAAGAGAAACTCTATGTTATGGTTACAGCAGACAAGACCGTCTTATGTTTCCAAGACTCATGATTACAAATGTACTTTAGAACGAATTTAATTCGTTATAACAAATTCGACTATTCGTTATATCGAATTCACAAATATTTTTTGAAAGTTCTCAAATGGACTTCCGTCCTAGGTTATCAATTACGTTGTATGATAATATTAACATGTTTGTTGCAGGTCCAATGGAATTTTTAGACCATTTACCACCGTGGATACTTATATATACATCTGTATGAGTTTCACTTCGGAAAGCAGCACAAAATATTTGTTTAAAGTGCTTACCTGTAAGTACTAAACATATGACGTCTTATACGTTTTACAATACTTGCATTTACAAAAAAAGATATGTAACTTTCTTATATAAATAAATGTAACCTTTGTGTAAATACATTATAATAACACATACATGTATTGGATAGTACAGATTTATGTTAAGATAGATAATATTACACACGAACTATGATTTACTATCGTTCTCTGATGATGCATAGCCCACGACATATTTATACTAATCTGCACACATTTTCAAAGTGGCCTTGATTCAAGTTCTTGAAAGCCTCTGATTAAAACAATTTAACTGCTTACATTTTTCTAGTAGCCAAAATAAGGGTGGAAGAATTTTATTTTTAAGTCCTTTAAATTCAAGACCTAGTAAATGCCTTCAGACTGTATTTTGTCTGCTAGATCCATTTTATGCATCATTATGAGGAGTTTAGAATTATTTGAAAGAAGGGGCTAAGAACATACAAATTACAATTTTCTGAACGACTGTAAGCAAACTGGATACATTTCCTTGTCTAAAATGGAAAATGTTCAATAAATAAAATAACTGGGGTTTTTTTTCATTTTTTTTAATGGAAAATGATAGTTTAAAATGATAATTTAGTCTTGTTTTCGTACATAATATACCCAATACACCTTAATTGACTAAGTTACAGTAATCATCAATGGAAAACTATTTCTCAAATTTGATAAATCTGTAGACTACTTTCATTTACTCGATCCTGATCTTATGAAAATGCTTTTCAAGATATGCTCAAATTTTTATTTCTGATCTGAACAATTGTTATTTTTGAACATAGCTGACTTTGAAGTTAAAACAAGTGTATTTGAGAGAGTTATATTACGCCATGTGAGTGTAGTGACTGTGACGTCATCAGAAGTCTGTAATGACCTTAGCACAGAACCTCACAGGATACATGTCGCTCTACAATCCAGTAATTTAATAACTAGATAGTTTATATTGTTTGGCGGGGCTTGATTGTTTGGTATTGCTGCTTATACAATGAAAGAAATGACACGAGAATATCAAACTAATTCACTGTGTTTTGCTTTTCTGTTTCTGGGAAGGTTTGTTCAATAGCGCTTCTTACTTTACACATTAAAAATTAATTATTACATTAAAAGTTTATAAATCTTCAAAAATATTGGTAACTAGTTAGATTTAACTTAAAGGAGCCGAATGGGGTTTCATTGCGTGAAAACCACAATAGAGAAACTCTTTAATTTTATACCATATGTAGCTTATATTGACTTCAGTATACTTGCCAAGTTTAGGGAAAATCTACAGTCCATGTAGTTTTAAAGGAGTTTGTCAAAATCTCTAAATAATAATTAAATGTAAGAAACATAAAATTCTACCATCTTGTCTCCAGAGGGCGCATATCAAAATGTCAAAACTAATTGATTTTTCCTGTTTTTATAGAGTACTACAAAATATGACGGATACAAAGAATTTAAAAGTTTCTTTTTATCATAACGTCAAAACACACACTATTACGGACATCAATCTACCTATTAGTTAAAAATCGTTTTGAAAATCAGTTATTTAAAATTGTTATCATTTTTTTCAACCTGTGATTCCTTAATTTTGATCAAAAACATAAAATATGCTGAAAAAGTTGCTTTAAAACAGTAAATACACTTCATTTTACTATTATGCTAGAAGCATTCCGCAAAGGAAACTCCAGTCGGTCCCCTTAAAAAGTTTTACATTAACAGAAATATTTAAGCTAACTTGTCAATCACAGAACAACATTTTTGAAGAAATAAAACAGAGTACAAAATTTTATTTTATTTAAAAAGTTGGGGATAAAAACTAAGAACAAATTCACACAAAAGCATGCTTAAATGTACAAAGAAGCACTCTTCTGGCACAATTGCTTAAGGTGTACTCACCCTGTTTGTATTGAAGCTGAAACGGAAGTAAAGACATCACCTTCTGTGTATGAGCGTGCTATCATCAAGCACATATCAGTCACAAGTGTGAGCCAGAGTGAAGTGTGTAATGCAGTATCTGATCTTGGACAGGAAAGAAACCACGTGGCACTTCAGTCTGGTACTGTTTTAAATTTTATGTTTTAATGCTTTGAGGATGACATAATCGATAAATTAATGTCTTTAATTACAATGTTAATAGAGGTTTCTTGCAAAAAATTAATCTAATTCAAAAGTTACTCATTTGATGGGTCACTCACAATTTTAAAAAATCAGACCCTCGAAAACGAGCAATGCTAATACTTTTATCAGAATAAAATGTTGATCCATATTAGTACTGTAACATGAAAAAATATTTCTACTCTATCCTTTGTAAAATTGGTGTTTGTTTTATTAAGATCCAGAAACAACTTTATCCGTCTGTTCAATTGGGAAAATATAAAATTTCAGGTAAAGCAAATTTTCAATGAATTGAAAAATAAAAAAAAAATTAATTGAAATCTTTGATCATGCTATTATTAGGTTCTGAGACTGCGGGAGCGATCACGTGTCCGACAAGTATCCAGGGCACCTGGTCTTACACGTACACTGGACTGTCTTGCAGTGACACATATTTGGACACGTGTACAGACAAAACAAAGTTCTCATACAATGACACGGTGTGCACAGATAACCCCATGTTCTCCAGTAAGTTTATATGAAATAAAGAAATGCCAATGCATAGAAGAAGAATATATCATTGAATCAATTTGAAAGAAATATTCAGAGAATGATTTGAATACATGCAAAAATATTGTCTCTTTATTTAAATTTAGGTGATGGTACATTGTGTTGTGTATACAGCGGTACGAGCGGAAGTGATACGTACGTCACATTATACAATGCTGACTCCTCTGTAGCAAATCCTACCAGCTTTCATTTTTCTTGCATGGTGCGTGGTGTTAAGAAAATGTTTTTTTTATAATATCAAATTTAATGTTGTCATAAAAGTGTGTTTGTTTTATTACAAGAAATGACAAAAATTTGGTACATATCTCTGATAGGTTTATACAACTTCTGGAAGCATGGTATCTGCAACTGTAAATCCAGAAGAGTGCATCACAGGACAAACTTCCACATCCTTGATCTCCACTTATGGCAAGACCGTGACCTATACAGATATTTCCACAAGTATGTTCACTATGTACAACTTTATTGCTGTTTCGAAGACCGATTTTTATCTATTGTAAGTCGACTTTTTTGATAAAATATTTTTACAATCTTATGCTTACATTTCAGCTCCCTGTAGTAAGTATATATTTTTGTCTGTTAAGATCTTAGTCAGAATTGAAATGTTAGTAGTATCTCGTATTTATATTACAATATCCTTTTACTAGCATTTAAATCTGATCTAAAATAAAAATGTTCGAGTATGGGATGTAAAATTTTCACTATTAAATGTTATGATTATAATACTGTATTTCAAATCAACAAGGTATATTTAAAAGAGAAACAAGTTAATACAAGTACTCTATGCAAATATTTCATCCTATGAGTATAGCAAGTCGGCTGCAGAAATCTTTCTCTAGTTCCGTGGGTCTGGTAGGACATTAACTAGCTAACTTTCAAAGAGCTATCACAGAGAAACAAATAGAAATCGAAATCTAAGATTATCACGAAGTTTTTTAATGTATTTATTTAAAAATATGATGTTATTTTAGATGCAGATGGTAAGACATGACATTGTTTAAATCCCAACCTTTTGCATTTACATGTATTTTGTGGTTTTTATTATTTTTTGTTCCTTTAATATTTTGTGTAATCTTGCATTTATTCCTATTTTTACTTGCTTTTCTGTAATATTAGAAGCATTGTACAATAACTTGAAGTTTAATAGAAATAAAGCTACATTGAACATATTTCCATTTGTCGATTGCAGCTAGAGAATGAACATATTTCCGTTTGTCGATTGCAGCTAGAGCTACAAAACAGTTATGAGCATTATCGCATTATCCATATATAATTAATATTTTGCAAACAAAGAGTATGGATTTCGTACCACTTTTATCTGTAAATCAGACATGGATCCGGATGTCAATCGTTAGAAGAATGAATACCTTCAGTTTGTAAAGAATGATCACATGTAGACATATCGGTGTCATGATTTAACTCGTTTCCTTGACATCAATCTACAACTGTAGTAATTCTCCGCATCAAGAATTTTATTTTAAGTGAACTGTTTCTTATTTCAAATCTGATACTGTTTATACATTTGACGGTGCTGGTCCCATGTTTATCAAATGATACCAATATGCACCGATATGAACAAATCAATGCTACGCTCTTTTCAACGAATCTCAAATACTTGTAACTCTCAAAGAAATCTAAATTAGACACGATCCCCCAAAAATATAAGTATAAGGGTCTTAGACATATTGGACATCTCAGACATCTACATTTCCCAGAAAAACGAACTCGTTAATTTAGTAACCTTTTCATTGATCATTTGATAATTCAATCATTAAAATATTCTCATTATACACAAAAGTACTCCGAATTTGATATGATTTATGATGTTTTATTGTTGGAAGACTTGATCTCCATCGGATTTCCAATGGGTTCTAATTGAGCCCAGTTTTTAGCAGACGTATTTTATCTTGTGAAAAGAATTTATTAAAAAAAACTTCTACTTGGAGAAAGAAGTCTCTTAATTGTCGTGGCCTTCAATTGAACATTAAGATATATCAAAGTTATTATTTTTAGCTCACCTTAACGAAGTTGTCGGCGTCCCGGGTTAAGGTTAAGTTTTTTGGAGCAGTTTTCTTTTTAAGTACTTCTATGTCCTATATTGATTAGACATGCATGGAAGATGTTTCTAGTGTGTTTCATTGTACCAGTCAAAGTTTCAGATGCTGCAATTTCAGCAAAGGAATGACTAGGTTAACGTTTTTGGAGCAGGTTAACATTTTTGGTGCAGTTTTTGGTGTAGGTCTCATTTCCGAGTAACTATAAGCCATATGTTGACCAAACTTGCATGGATGGTACATCTTAGGATGCACACTACCAGGCTTGCTTCGGATGCTGAATCTGACCTACATTTTCCGCGTGAGTGAACAGGTTAAAGTTTTTTGTGCAGGTTTCATTTCAAAGATACTGTGAGCCCTATAATGACCAAACTTGCATGGATGGTACCTCTTAGGATGTATACTACCAGATTTGCTTCGGGTGCTGAATCTGAACTACATTTTCTGGTTGAGTGAACAGGTTAAAGTTTTTGGTGCAGGATTCATTTCCAAGTAACTTTGAGCCCTATAATCACTTAACTTGCAGGGATGATACATCTTAGGATGCATACTACCAGACTTGCTTCGGATGCTGAATCTGACCTACATTTTCTGGACGAGTGAACAGGTTAAAATTTTTGGTACAGGATTCATTTCCAAGTAACTTTGAGCCCTATAATGACCAAACTTGCATGGATGGTACATCTAAGGGTGCATTCTACCAGGCTGGCTTCGGATGCTGAATCTGACCAACATTTTCTGGATTAATGAAAAGGTCAGTTTTTTTTTATACAGGTTTCATTTCCAAGTAACTTTGAGCTCTATGTTGAGCAAACTTGCATGGATGATACATCTTAGGATGCACACTAATGGACTTGCTTCAGATGCTGAATTCTACATACATTTTCCAGATAATGGACCTCGTAAAAGTTATGGGTGCAGGTCTATTACCAAGAAACTATAAGGCTTATATAAACCAAATTTGCACAAATGATGCATCAAAGGATGAAAACTCTCAAACTTGCTTCAGATGCTGGATTTTAATTACGTTTTCATGATGAAGAACTAGTTTGAAGTTTTAATATAGGTCTATTCCAAAGTATCAAATCAAAATTGCATAAATTTTGCATTTTTGGATGTACACTCTTTGTTGGTTAATTTTGTGACTTTGCCTTACTTAAAGACAACATTCGTTGAGGTGAGCTCTGTAATCTCTGATTACCTATGTTTATATTTTATCAATAAACCATATTCATTTTCATCCTTGCATTAATTCAATTTAGCCCTAACTATTTTAACTCAACATAAAAGATACCATTAAATCTGACTATTATCACCTGTAAAGGGGGTTATGTCTAACAGTTGATTCGAAACACAAGGGCTTTTTCTACGTATGAACAATGTTTAAAACGAACTACGTATTAAAAACTGAAGATATAAAAAAAAACTCGTTTAAAGTCAACATTTCTAAAATTCTATTGTCGATTCAATTACCTTGCCAGCAGAATATACAGTCTATCATTAAGTCGAATGTTGAAATATTTTCATACCAATTGTTAGGTCATGTTCCCAATTTGTATTTTTCTGAAGGTCATTTGAGCTCCATCACTGTTTGTTATCTTTATATTTTATTCCCCTGTTGTCAATTTCACTGAAAATTAAGTATTATCAAAATGCAATACATAATTATGCTTTTGTTCCACAAAAAGTGATCTTTTGTTGAATTTTCTGATTTCATGTAAACCTATATACATGTGTTTTAACAAATTGTGTGTTGTGAATATGTATTCATATTCCCCCAACATTTATTATTCAGAGATCGTTTTCATCCCTTTTATATCCATTGTATTACCTTCATAATACATACCCATCATATCCCATGAACATTTAGATTTGAAGCCTATAAAAAATGAAGCTCAAGGAAGCGAAAGGAGAAAAATTCATCTAAGTCATAATTAAGTCCTTTCTGTGAAAAATTGAATTAATTTGAAAGTTTGTTATGATAACCATATACTAGTACGAAATTTATTTTTAAAAAAATTTATTTTCAAAAGTATATATATTTTTAAAAATATCTATACAAAATATATTGATTATTCAAATAAAAAAATGTTTAGGTATTTCTCCTGTTTATTAAATCATGCGATGCTTAGTGATTTTTCAAATATCCAAAAACTACTCATACATCTGGAGTACATTTATCAAATTAATTCAGACATGCTCATTTTCATATTAAAGACAACAAAATTTGTGGCATTATATAAAACTCCTTCTCTTACCTCACGCTATTTTGGAAAGCATATACTGTTTTTGATGCCTACACTGTTTTTGATGCCTACACATGCTTGTTTGACAAATGACAGAACCCTTGATACCTTATGTGTGTAGACTCATTTGATCTGTAAGAAACATTGCTTAATTACTTGAGCACACAATTATTAAATTCAGAACTCCAATCTATCTGTGTTTACACCAATAACGAATTATTGCAAGACCTTGAAAAATTATCTGGATAAAATCAAAACATTTTAGCATAAGAAGAAATAACTTAAATTTAACCACCTTGATACTATTAAATGTATGTACAACTGACCTTTGTTTTCTTAAATAAACTTATAAATTCACACACTTTAACCGTCTTTTGTTTAAATAATTTCCAGATCCGACCCCGACATCTGAAACCGACTTAACTTGGCTGTATATACTCCTTGGCGTTTTAATATTTATAATCATCGTTTTGATCATCATCATTCTCCTCTGCATCTTCTGTCGTCGAAAACGACCCCAAAAAGATGACGAGGAGCGCAACATTACTGAAGAGTCGGATGACGATAAAAGCACAGAAGACCAGAAGAGTTTACAGGAATCACCAAAAGAGGAAACCAAACCAGAAGAAGAAGAGGATGATAGGGCGTCCCAGGACTCGGGGTTCATCCCAGATAAAATTGACAAGGAAGAAGAACAAAAGCACGATGTTTTACCCGGGTCAGAAGAGAAGAAAGAGGAGGAGGTCCGAGTGGAAGGTGACGGACAAACAAAGGAGGACCAGGAGAGACCAGATACAGTTGTGGTGAGTAACCTTAATGGTGCTCTTGAATAATGTATAGAAGAGTTAATATCTTGGGAAGATCTTTATTACCATAGTCCCTACTGAAGAACTTCAATACAAGTTGTCCTGCTAGATGCATTGAAATAGTTTGATGGTAATGAAATGCTGCGTCTTTACTTTCTTTGCAATGCATTTGGTTTTAAAGATCTTAAAGATAGGATAGATTAATGAATTCCCTGCATTTCTTTTAACATATATCAATAATAAAACATTGGTAAATATATAAATTCAAAATGAAAGTTGATTTCACTGAGAAAATTCAAAAACATTTTCGATTCGTATTTAGATTTTCCGGTTATCTATCTACATAGCTTAGTTACATAATTTTGCTTGTCAACAAAACAGATACCGAGCACTGGCAACAGAAATTATGACTATCAATAATTCTTTCAATCAATATGACTTGTTCCATCGATTTAAAGGGAAATTTAATAGCGTTTTGAAACTCAGGACAAAATAATTTGGACCCTATAGAGAAATGCAAACAAACGAGTAAAAGGTTTAAAAGAATTATGTGTCGGTGAAAGATCGTAACGTTGGTAAAGTGTCATGGCGAATTCCACCATTGATCATGAATTTATGTGTATTTATTCTGTGGAAAAAGTTATTGTTGGTGTTTCCCACAAAATTTCATCGTTTTCAAAGGACTTGTGATAAGCTAAAATTGTGAAGGACAATAATTCTACGTTGGGAAAACATGGAACGGATCATTTTTACCATTCTTTAAGAACTCATGGAAAACTTTGATCATAATCATTGAAAATTAGACTTCATCTGAAGACGCCATTGTCTAGGTACAGGGACTGAACAATTAAGACTCTAATTTTAAGCACCCCTTTTTATGATGCACAACTGTAACGCACAACTTAATATTCACAGAGTAAAATGTCGGATCTCGGTAGCACTCTAGCACCGTCTGAACAGGTTGACGGGCCTACGCCCTTGCCACTGGAGGTAGGTAAAGCCTCGATCCTAAAATTGTGCCTCGCACGCTCAAGCTGTACGCTCTAAGAGTACCTCATACCCTAGTAAAAGGCAGTGTAGATCAAGGAAGACTTTATCTTATTATCTACAGACGTGGTAAGTGGGTATGAGGATTCCTTAGAAAAGTACTCGGGCACCTGTCCATTATTTAGCATCCTCTATAGACTTACCTGCTTCCACGCCTTCCTGTCCGCTTAATTCTTGATTGTAAACGACCAGTCTGTACTGTGACAGATGTCATCATCTGTACTTGATACCCAGTGGCCTCCATTGCCTGGCATCACCTTCAGCCTCCGCAAGCTTTGTTGTAATATACAGATTATAACTTCATATTTCACTAAATATTTTTCATGTTTTTGATATTGTAACTCTTTCCCCGTTGCTATGCTTACCTTTAATCTGATAATATGGGGTATATGTTTGCTACCTGATTCTAGTAAAGTTGTAAAAATTCTTATTTCAAACTTAACAGTGAGGTCATTTGGTGCTTTTTTGTTAATACGTGTATAATAATTATATTGTTGTTTCAAAGTGTGCAAACCCCATGTTTTTTCTCACTTTTATGGTGTGTTGTTTTACTTTCCACTCTTTCACATTGGTTTTGATTTGAAGTGTTCACGTAAATAGCTTTTGGTCATATTCAACCAGTGAAGAGCATTTTTATTTTTAAAAATAAAATCATCTTCCATTAAGGTTGATTTTCATGAGGAAGATGAATCTCCAAAAGTGGAAGAAAAGGTAGCCATGAAATGTTGTGTCCCACGCACTTGTGTTTGGGTTAAGGTGTACATGTGAAGGGACAGTTTTCTCTTGCACGGTAAAACAGCTCTTTAGGTTGAATTAAATAGAAAAGGATTTGTGTATAGGGGTGTTTGTACTGATTTATCGCATATAGATCCCACTTGCAATCTTTATAGATCCACAAAACAAATATTTCGTTCAGAAAATATAATCAGAACTTTACAACAAATCCCTTTAATACCCAGGGCAGGAATAAACATTTATAGATATCTGCTGAATTTTGTAATGTATCTGTATCCTCTCATTATATCGAACCGAAAAAAAAGAAGAAAAATCAGAAGGCATGAATAGTGTAACACTCCTAGCAAGGAATCCACATATTATCCTATACATAGATATATATACACATTGTAGGGCGAAGGTTGCACAGTTCAGTATGTTGTATGGAGATTCCTGGGTAGTATAGATGTGGACTTTTCAGCTTAGCAGAGAAATAGGTCAAAACTATCATACAATTTGATGAAACCAATGTTTTTTGTTTATATATTAAGACCATCTTGAAAAATTGATTTTTGAGTTAAAAATAAGTTTGTCGAACGTGTTTGCTTATGAGTTGATTATTTGCATATTTTTTCTGACAAGTCTAGAAAGTCGAACTATTGAGGACAAAAGTGCAGAGGGCTTTTCCCCTCTGGAAGAACAATGTTAATACAACAAAGGGGGTACTGAGAAATGAATACTTATCGTATTGACATTGCCTTGGTGTGTCTTATTATTCACCCCCTATTTTGACAGCGTTATAGATTACAGAGAACGCAGTCCTGCAGCGAGGATCAATATACGAACTTTACAGACCCTTGACTGAATAGACATTAATTTATTACTGATGGTCGACTTCTTGAAGAAAAAATTCTGACATGTTAACAAAAAGAAAATGCTTTCATTGGGTTTCAATCTGTTCAATACTTATCTAAGTGTTTTTTAATAATCGAGTTATATATTTTTCTAGCAATTTAAATCTTTAGCGTCAGTCTGGAAATCCTTTACAAATATTTTGACACACACACACACACACACACACAAGATTCTTGCATTAATTTTAGCTCTAATAAACTGTTTTATTAATTTAATAAGTATTCATAGATTTACGAAGGTATTCAAAGAAACATTGATTGCTATTTTGTTATTAGAAAGAGGACAGAGAAGCCAAAATCAAGGAAAAAATAAAAAGAGTAGAATTGAAGGTATTATTGTGTGGGTGATTTGGGGAAATCAGAATAAACTTTGTTGATGGTATTGATGGAATATACATTTGTATTTATGGTGACATTGCAAGGAATGGTCGGGTTGTGGCACTTGTCAATTTATTTCATATTTTAATGAAGAAGAAATTGCAATTCACTGGTTGCTTTTATATGTATATGCTTTATTGTTGATGCTGTGCTTCGAAAAAAACCTTTCCAGTAAAAATTCAAGAAAAAATATTACAATATTAAAATTTCTGATGAAAAGATCTTGTTATATGAAATTGGGTGTTAATTTTTTTTATGACAGGAGCCCACTCCGAGGGAAGAGGAACATAATGACGAGCAAGTATGTGGCATGTTCATCTAGAGTCAGTTTAATGTCAGTTCTATCATGACAAAATTATTTCATTTGATTAAAGAGATCTCTCCATGCCGTTGTATAGATACATAAAACTGAGACATGAATTGTTAAAACTGCATTGATTTTCTTTCATTTCAGAGACCAGAGGGACCAAGTTCTGTAAGTTACAATTTTACTTCATAAACACTACCTTCTTGTTTGAAGTTTCTTAATTGTAACACTCGCATCACTCTTTTTCTTTTTATAATGTAAAGGAAAGCGGTGAATCTACTGAGGACGAGGAGGAAGTCCAGAGGCGGATCAGGGAAATTGGGGGGAAGAAACACGGACCAGATTATGTGGTAGTATTTTATTTACATCAACCTTGATTGGCTATTTGCAGAACCTTTGGTCTTTGGCTAATACATGAGATTCATTTGCAGCCTGAAGGCCAGTTGAGCAAGGTACTGGTCACCAGGGATATGCATGAGAAAAAGAGAAACAAGAAACAGAAGAAACTAGGTCGCCATGTTGGAAAATCAAAAAAGAAACAAGACAAGCGGAAGAAAGATGGCGGTACCCCTGACCCGTTAGAAGAGGAGTCACTGAGACGGAATGGGGACGGGATCAAGGCGGAGTATATGGAGCAGTATAAGAACAAAAAACGGATTGAGACAAAACTGGATGAAGAACACTACTGGAGCGTGGATGACGGTCTGGATCAGTTCAAACTGGAAGACTATGATGACGTGAGTAAAACGTTTATCACTTAAAATCTTCTCGAACACTCACTTTATCTTTATTATAGTCAAAAATGGGTAATGCATTAAAAGTTTTTGTTAATTCTAAAGCATTTAGAATCTAGTGTAATAGGTTCAGCAAGAGCGAATGGACAACCTGAAATTGAAAGTTACGTAACACAACTTTTTTTTCAAGAATTCAGATTAAATTACATTCACACTTGCGTCAAGTGAATAATCAAAATGATGTATAGACTATCAAAATCCAGCCGTCCTCGGCGGATTACATAAGGTTAAAATTTGCAGACGTTCTAAATCTTTAACGCCTTTTCATACCATCAACATATTTAATTTAAACTTCACACAGCACCTTAAGAAGTTCATAAAATGGATACATTAAAAGTTTCCTGGTTTGATTTGTATATGAACTTTAAACTGGAAAAACAAATTTCATGATCAATTGAAGCTTTGAAAGAAGGGTTTTACAAACATGGAGAGGAATAAAAGACCACATTGTTTTCTGCACACGTTCAATATGATATAATTCTATGTGACCTTCTGGTGGTACCCAGGAAAGAAATGAATAAAATAAAAGACATTGATTTTACTCTAGTTTGTTTGAAGTTGATAATAAACCGTGCGGCTAACAGTTTAGACGTCTGTTTATTGAAAATCAAAAAATATATTGTTCATAATAAATGATGAACATTTACTCCAAGTTATAACACATGAATCTGTATTTCCACAAAAAATATCACGTTGCAGATCAATATATGTCTCAAAATATTGTCAAAATCTCAAAAATTTATTAAAATCTGACCCTGTCTGCGTTGTAATTCATTTCTTTTCAATTTATTACATAAGGAATTCGAAGAATCATTTCCAAAGGAGGACGAACTGAATAAAGATGAGGAGAAGATGGAGGTGGAAAATCTTGATAATGTCAATGACGCGACTCGTGCGAACATCGACGGCGGTGAGAAAGACCGCGAAAAGGACAGCGGAACAGACAGTCCCGGACTGAAGGGAACTGGACAAAGAGACGATGATAACGATGCTAATATCGACAGTGATCCGGATCTCCGCGACGTAGAGGATGACGAAGTTTTCGATGAAGAGTATGTCAAAGGAACAACCAACCTTCCTCCAGGATTCATCCGCGACTCAGAGGGTCGAATCATTGTAAGTACAATAATTTATTTTCGAGTGTTTAATTAAGAAAATTTGTATAAAAAGGTAATATTTTTACGTCTAAATTTTAGAGGGTGACAGATGGCCAAATTATATCTGAGGAAGAAATGGCACGATATTTCAAGAAAGCAAGAATCAGGAGATTGTTTAGAATTCAGCGACTAAAGCGGAACAAGAAAGGACGACCTACAGGGGTAAAGCAAAAACAATATCTGGAACAATTTTGAAATAAAGGGAGTTAATTTTAAAAAAAATAAATTAAAGATTAAAAATGAAAAACCTTGTATATGATTTATGGTGCAGGGTTATATAGCTGATGAGTTTGGTCCTGAAACAACACTAACTAAAGGTGAGGAAAGAAAAGAGGCGGAGGGAGAAGACGGACCCAAACCCAAACATCCTCGATCCTCAGCTGACAGACTAGGTTCTTCAGAGGTACAAGTTCCAAATTATTACAATCTTAACAATACATGTGTATTGGAAATCGAAATCATTGATGGAAAACAAATGTTGTAGGAGAACGTATTAGTTAGTGGTTCAAATAATTGATCAGATTCGATAAAATAAAAAAAAATGGAAAAACAGTTTGGGGGAGAAGAAAAATGAAACTCGATCGTCAGTTTAGGGATAAGACTTAATTGTTTCAGTGGCAAAATTCTTTGTGTGGAATTGACTTTTTGTTGTAATTTCTAGCGAAAACAAAGAACCTCTTTAACCAAAGTAGATAATACCGGTGGAAAGTCAGTGGCTTTTAATGTCGGCAAGGAGGACGAAGAGGACATTGTATTGTTCGGCGAAGACGACGATGACGTCAAACGGAAGGTCTGGTATTCATTTAACTTCTGCTTGTCATGATTCATCCATTATGTTTGTTGAAAATCAATCATAAACTTATTCTTTGGTAAAAACAGGGTCGGCGTGATGTTGCAACGCCAAGCCGGGAACTTCTAAAGAAGCGCTTGTTTAAATCTCGGAAAAAACGTGACCCTCATGTAAGTGGAACAAAAATGGATGCCACCTAAAATTGAATTAAAACTGTAACCTACTAAGAACATGATTTATAATCCTATACAAAACTATAACTTGATTCCAGTTAATACATGTGTCGGAGTCAGAGAAACCAAGGGAACTGAATGACTTGGTGAAGGTTTACGGTCGAGGTGTAGGAGTGGGATCGTCTATCGGAGGACCAGGGATAAGCGGACGGCCACCTCTTCCTCCATCCTCTCTGCAAAGGAACGACAGCACGCGGGGCTCCCTTAATCCAGAACAGCTCAGACAGTTCAGACAAGGACTTGCTAATGATAGGAAGTTTCTGGAACAAAGGAAAGGTAAAACAGGCCTTTCAGCGTAAACTGTTTACTTGTGTTAAACATTGTATAACTTATTTTTATTTATTTGATGTGCTTTTCAGGTGAAAGAGACGCCCTTTACGTTAGGGAAGCATTCACAACTCCGAATGATCTTGAAATTGAAGAAATTAAAATGGATAATGAGGTACATTTACAGGAGTATGTTGACTAAGAAATTACAGTAAATTATGAATTCTTAGTGTGCATTTGTAAGGTTCCAAATGGATTCTTTTTTATTTAGGATGGTAAATCAATTGATATTGGCGATGAGGATGAGTTTGTACTGGTAGGTGATAGAACACAGTCTAGACCAGATGGATACGTAAGTACTTTTCAGATCAATTTGCAGATCAACAGAATCCGAGATTTAATTGTAAATATGGTGTGAAAACTTTTTATTTTCTTACAGCAATATTCACCTGAACCATTTTTCACGATTGTGCGACGCAGTGGAGAAAAGCTCAACAATGAACAAGGAACGCCATGGTGTACACGTCACGAACTACGTCACACTATTCCATGGTCGCTCAGAGAACCTACGTCTATGACGAGAGCCAATACAACACTTAACGAATCTGGTGAAAGCATGCGCTTAAATGGTGCTTCAAAATCTGCAGACGCCAGGAAACGAGATATGGACGAATGGCGCCTTAAAATACTTTTAGAAGAATTATATAAAGACAAAAAGTATTTCGATCACGTGATTGACTCAACAGGTATTTTAAATCTTCATAGAAAACGTTCAAACAAAATAAATTTTTACTTGCAGCATCCATGGAACCAGGTGTGATATTTCTTGTTTGTTTTTTTTTATAGAACGAGATAAGGATCCGATATTAGATGAGCGGGACCTTGCAGAACATGGACGTGGATACTTGCTGGACAGAGCTGAATTCTGGGATCAACAGATGAGGGACCACCCTATTCCCCTCCCCCCGTGGTGTGTTCCATCTCGTGTAAATACAACATTGAAGTTAGAATCTGGGCGTGGATCTCAGACCTCCACAGTGACTCCCCCTATATATAGATCCACGCCCCCGCCCAATAACGTGCCAAACAATAGCAAAGACTCAATCTAAACCTCTGTTTGCAATACCCTTTGTTCTTCACCAGAGATTACCTCCTTGGAAACAGCAGCCTAATTCTTCCATTTGATTCGGGAATCAATTTTTTTTTTTCAGATTTTTTCTTGACAGGTTGGTTTTAGCCTTGTATTTCCGTGAATTTCTGTGATATGCTGAAAATAGTCTGCAAACTAGTGTTAGATATTATGTTCATTTATCAATTATGTACGTTGAGAATGATTCAATGATTTTTCTAGATTTTTCTAGATAGATTGAACTGTAGCCGACCTTGCTTGCTTATAAGGCATAAATAGTTATCTCATGGATTTCCTGAATGAAATTTGAGAGAGTCTAAATGTTGAGCTGTGATACAAGACTGTGATGAATGTTGTTAAAGTAATCTATCAGTATTATTTTAGATATTTATTTGTTTGCGATTTTCGTGTGTCCCTTGTGTAACCACATCGCTCAAGTTCTGTAAGCTCTCCAATTTGTTTGGATCTTGTATTCTACGCAAGTCTCACTCTGGTGAAAGTTCTTTATAAATGTATGTACTTTGCATTTCATACGCATTATGAAATTGGCGAAGGAAAAGCAATGACTCTTTTCAAATAAAATTTGTCTTATTATTTATTTTGACATTCAAATTCTAATACTGAATAAAATATTGTCTAAATTCAGGTTTGGTGTTTATTGATTGTGCCAGACAATAATAATATTCATAAGTTTGGTCTTCATAACCTCCCTAACCCAGGTATAATTCCAAGGAATTCCTCATGAAATACAGTAAAGTGAATCAAAAGTCTTTATTTATAACCCCTGGTAAGGATTGGGTTCAATTGTAAAGAGAATTAAAAGTAACTTCATCAGAATTATCGTCCTACTAATAAAAAATCAGTAGTTGTACAATTGATTCACTCTACTTTTGAGCCATTTATTAGCTTAGACGATGCAAACCATGATAATTCGTTGGTTACTCGTTTTCCCCCAATGAATCAGTCTTAACAAATTTAGTAGGGAGGTGAATCTGACTGTGAGGCCTAGGTTCGTCCTCCAAGAACAATGAAGATTCCACAGTATTTGGTGAATGAACACCATTAACATAGAAATGCTTAAAGGAAAGCTATTAGATGAAAAATGGAGATAACGAACAGTATTCAAGCTCAAAGTCGATTTAAACAATAGAAATAGTGAGCAGAGCAAACATGGACCTCTAAAACATCAATGGTGCGATCAAGTGACACGGAGGAGTAAGCATCCCTTTCTGACTGTCACACCCTCTGGGTGTTCCCTGTCATGATCGGGAAATAAAGGGGAATCCCTGGGCAATTCAGTGTGTAAATAATGGCAAAATAATTCGTATGAAAACATTGTTTCAAATTAATTTTTTTATCGGTAACAAAATACGCTTTTCAAATTAATATGAGGTTATACATGTATGTACATGTACAAGTAGAACAATTTTTCTGATAATCATATTGTTTATGGAAAAATTATTTCCATTTGTAATATTTCAGTAAGTTAATACTTTAACTCTTGCATTCATTGAATGATATTTATTTCTATATTTTTTCATCGATTATTATTGATTATATCAAAAATACATTAAAATATACAACCCATGCGTTTTAAATTCAACAGTATTCATTTTTTAGAAGGTTAACTTGACTTGAATTTTAAAAAAAAAAAGTGACATAAGTTTTTCCTTTATTTATCAATGTACATAAAACATATTAAAATTTCTATTGAATTTTTTTTATCCAGGTATTAACACGTACCTTTCAGATCGCAACAAGATATTAAAATTTTAATATTTCACCGACGACAAAGTATCGTCAAAATGTAGTTAATGATTACTTAGATAAAATGAAAATTTGAATTAGAGACCTTTCTTGATCTTTGATACGTCAACATAGCGACGCGCTCTTCTAACAATAGAGGAATGATATAGATTTCAATAGTTGATCTGAATTTAAATCGTCTTATCGTCAAGACCAAAACATGGAATATCTGTGTCTGGGTTCGTGTCGAGAAAATAATACGATCTTTTGAAAGTCTAAATGTTGTTGACGTCATATTATGTAAACTTTTACATGGCAAATACCCCATTTGCAAGATTATGAAAATATACATAAAGTTTTCTCGCTTACTCATATTTACACATGTTCATTAAAAACTTGGCAGTGGTTCCTGTCAAGTTCATTTTTTTTCAAAATATGGATGGCTTTCCTGAGCTGAAAGATCAAGTGAGCTTTTCTGACCAAATGTTGTATCCCGTCTTTCTGCCTGTTAAGTTTTTACATTTTCAACTTCTTCTGAAGAATCTTTAGATCAGATTTAACCAAAAAGGGTTAAGGGGAGTTTGAATTGATAAATGAAGTCCCTTTGCAAGGGAAGGTACTTTATTTCAAAATATTCCTCTCCAGAACTGCTGGGCCAGAAAAAACCCCTGAAACTTAAGTGGAAGCCTCTTGAGGTAGTGTAGAATCTAAATTGTTCAAATCAAGACCCTGGGGGAAGGTGGGGCCACAAAAGAGAATAGGACTTTTACATTGAAGTAAATTGAGAGTATTTTTCAAACATTTTCTTCTCAACTACTTGGCCAGAAAAGTTGGACCTAGTGTGAAGGCATGCAGAGGTAGTGTAGATTCTAAATTGTTTAATTATTGACCCCACAGGAATAGTGGGATCACAATATTGGACGTTTTAGATTGAAACACAAAGGAATGATGTTTAAAATCTTCTCCAAGAATAACTTAAACTTTGTGGAAGCCTCCCCAGGTAGTATAGATTCTAAATTGTTCAGATCATGACAGCCGATGGAAGACGTGGTCACAATACGGAATAAAGTTATTAAAAGCTTTACATTGAAATATATAGGACCACTTTTTACAAATCTCAAAAAACACGAGGCAGAAAAGCTGAAATTTATGCGGAAGATTCTTGATGTAGTGTTGATTCTATATTGTTCAAATTATGGTCCCATCGGTTAGGAAGGGGTACAATAGAGAATCATTAACAAAGTTATACATTGAAATATGTTGGGAAATCTTTTAAAAACCTCTTCCCGAGAAATACTGGGCCAGATAAGCTGAAAATTAAAAGGAAGTATCGAGGTGGTGTTCAAACTATGATATCCGATACACTGTAAAAAATAACTAGTTAATGTCACGAAGAAAACTAGTAGATTCACTGTCCATACAATCACTACCTTAACAGTAGTTTTACCAGATATTGGTATATTTACTAGAAAAGATTAGTAAATTTAGAATTGATGAGTAACTTTCACTAAGTATTTAAGTATCTATACGACCCCCGCTCCACAACTCACTATCTTAACCAGTAAACTGAAAGTTTACTAATCACGACCAACGCTTTACGAAACACACTAGTTAAATTCACTAGATTTTTCTTTCAGTGTAGAAGGGTGGGGGCACAAAAGGGAATCAAATATTTAAATTGAAATACGTTGGGATTTTTTTTTTTAAATCTTTAAAATCTTAAAGTAGTGTAAAGTATATTATTTTAATCATGGTCTCGGGTGTGGTGAGGCCACAATAAATACGTCAGGGTGGAAAATGTGGTGAAAACTAGCAGGACCAAAGTTATTAAAGTGAGCATTATTGTACTTCGGCATCTTGTTTTAAATTATTTTCTGTATACAAAATGACCTTGTTAGCAAATATTACCTAACACGGAGTTGTATTTTGGATGACTTGTTTTATACCATTTGTTCGGCACTTGATTTTATACTGAATTGGCCACGAAAATGTCCGACTACTTTATCTATACATGAATATAGGGCTCATGGCGGTATAACCTGTCAAAAGGAGATGCTCTCTTTTCCCATGCACCTGATTCTACCTCTAAAACATCCAGGGATCCGTTTTGCCCTCTTTAAAATAATCTATTTTGTCCTCTTTCTTTACTCCTCACTAAGATATTAACAGCAGTGATGGAGAAACTTCAAGAGTACTGTGCAACAAAATATTCAAGAAGTGGTGTTGATCAGACGTGGATGCTGAAAAATTCAAAGGAACATTTGGACAATTTGAAATCACAAGACTTTACCAAAATCAATACCTTAAAATTTTACGACTTAACAATTTTACACACAACTATTCCCCACGATAAATTTAAGTCCAGCATTTTTGATATCATTGACAGCGGCTTTTTCAATAAAAGTGGAACTCGTAAATTTACTTACTTGGTCATTGGTCATTTGCAAAATGATTAATTTAATAAAAACATTTTGTTTTTACACACAAGTACACTGAAGTTGACGTCAAAAAGATGCTTGAGATTCTGATTGACAACGCCTATGTTGTTTTTGGAGACCAGGTTTTCCATCAATCTATTAGAATTCCCATGAATACCAATTGCATCCCGTTATTTGCAGACCTATTTCTGTACTCATACGAAGCAGAATTTGTGAAAATAAAAAAGCACTTGTTGTGGCCTTCAACTCGACATGTAGATATATCGACGACGTATTGTCAATTAACCAATGGTAACTTCTATTATTATGTCTAAATGATATATCCTGGTGAGTTTGAGATAAAAGATATCACAGAATCTGACACATCTGCTTTATATTTGGATATTTTACTTGAAAAAGTCGTTAATGGTAGTAATCTAACAATCAAACTCTATGATAAACGTGATGATTTATACTTTTTCTTACGTTATCTTCCCTTACCCATGCAGCAATATACTTTCATCACCTGCATACGAAGTTTATATATCTCAGTTGAATAAATATGCAAGAGCATACTCTACGTATGAATTTTTTCCTGGTAAATTTTTGACAAATTAGTTGATGAAACAAGAATATCAAGAGTCTCGTTTAAAGTCATCATTTCGTAAGTTCTATGGTCGATACAATGACCTTTTCAGCAATCACAATTTATCATTGTGTCAAATGCTGACTGACGTTTTTCATACAAATTGTTAATCCATAATGTATACAATGAATTGACGTCGGATTTTTTTCGTTATTTCCCGATCATGACAAGGAGCGAACAGCGAGTGTGACTGGTCGGCAGGGGATGCTCACTCCTCCATGGCACCTGATCCCACCTCTGATGTTTTGGACGTCCGTGTTTGCTCTGCTCCTGTTTTGTATTGTTTTATGGAATTTTGATCTTAAATACTGTTTGTTACCTCCATATGTTTCATTCTAGACTTTTTTTCAGATCGAACATTGTTTCACGTCTTCATCCTTTACATTTATCATTTTCAGTATCGCCTTGACTTATTCTAACCTTCCCTAGAAATGACTTATACTCTGCACTGTTTGTGTGAAGATTTTTTTTATTTCTGTAATTTTTAAAAGGAGTTCCATCTATTTCCACTATTTTGAAAACAAAATAAATGAAGGTACATGTAAATTCAACAACTTTATTTGAAGATCATTAACAAGAAAATATATGAAGTCTTCTCTATCAAGCATTCCTTAATATTCATATATAATGGCGTGCTTAGAGCACATACAAACAAAAGATGATAATAATGGTCTTCTTCAAGTGCAATGAATAGCATTGATCGTTTTATGTTGAATAACAGTATGGAGATCAATCATAGTGTAAATAATCGTTTCTACGTTGTGAAAAAACGTGGATCAGTTAATCTCATTACTTTAATCTCTTCTAATTTCGTGCATTCTTACATTATACATAATTATACATTGATCTTTGGAGATCATAGCTAATGATGGGGGCAGGGAACTAATTTTAAAAACAGTCTTCATTTATATGTATTGATTTAATAAAAACTTTCAAAAATTTTCTCTCATTCAATCAACAACATACATTAACAAAATAGTCAATAAATAGCAATAATAGGTGAGTAGTCTTAGTCACGTGTCGTGATGGCACCCACAAAGAGGGAAATCATATATAAGTATGATCGTACATCCCATTCTAAACTTGCAATGCCACTGGGGTGTGATCTGGATTATTTCATGGTCTGGGTAATTGGTGGTAGGGGCACTGCGCCTGTTGACGGCTTTGTCTCTACGCCATTTGGAATATATTCTCCGATTGGATCTAACTGCTTCTTCTCCGGTATATCAATTGCCGTAGCATCATGTGGATTAAGTTCTTCAATGCTGATTTTTTCTGTTAAAAAAAAGTTTTACCTTTCTAACAACGTAATCTCTGCATTGATCATTTTAAAAAATATACATTTTTTGGTTTTTCTGTTTTCCTAAATATTCTTCATGAAATTAAAACAAATTGTAGAAGAAGATACACACGAATTAAGTTATTGTTATGAATATGCAAGTTATATAAATGGTTTGAAATAGATTCAAACGGTGATATGCTGTGTTCACTGATCACAAGGTAATCACTGAATTGAATTAGTAAAGCGCACACTGACTATAGATATCCTGAAATTTAGTCGTGATTTGAATGTTATGCGTTTTAACTCAATGAACGTCTCGTTAGTAAACAAAACCACGCTTTATGTATCTTACAGGTTATATTGATTATAAAAAGTTAGACGTCTTCGTACTGATCGGAGGAAGGGAAGATGGGAGGGTTGTTGCCTCCACAGCCTCGTTTTGGGGAAGATTAGAGCGGTGTGTAATAGGAGGTAAGCGGCCTTCGTCCGTGGGGCCTATACTTAAAGCATCTCTGTATGTCTCTAAGTCCATGTCAGCTGTGTCGAAAAAATAAAACCCAAATTGACAAAAGAATGGATAATATAAAAATGAAAAGATCAAAAGGAAGACAAAAATAGGGATGGGCCTGTACAACATGCTTTGAAAGAGGGGATCGAAAAGAATATGTTCAGGCATATAGGGAAATCATTTGGCTGGATAGCACGACTTTTATAAGAAGCGTTTCCTGGAGTATCTTAACTTACTTGACGGGAAAACTAAAGAGAAAAAATCAATTAAAATTCTTATCTGTATGTGGTAGTTTTTTGTACATATTAAAATCTAAAACGTGAAATGTGACTTGATGTGAAGACCTTGCATGATATCTAAAAAATGAAAAAAAAAAATGTTACCTTGGTTTTCTCTGAGCGTCTGGTGCACTGTTTTCTGCTTTTGTTTGTTCTTCTTGTACAAGATGATACCCACTATTAAAGCAATGAGTAATAACAAAATTGCAACCACTATTCCTATGATTATTCCCAAGCTGGATCCCGCTGACGCTGTTCAAAAACAAAAAAAGGTGGTTAACATAGCAAATAATAAAAATACGTTCTCTTTGCTTTTAATTCTTTTATTTCTAATAAAATGATCACCTGTGTCATTGGCGTCTGTAAAGGGGCAGGTAACTACAAAAGTAATGCAGTAAAGGTTAATATAACACATTCCAGGTAAAACAAAGATATGCGAAAACTTTAGCGTGAAGCGGTTGCAAAAGGGATTTTTTTTTTGAGTGCATTGTTGCATTTGTTTCTTCAATTAGCATTCCTCAAAACGATTATCTTTTTTATTCCATAAGTGGTTACAGTCTAAGCTATAGTTTACATAATCAATATTATCTCGTTATTGCTGACAAAGTGAGTACTGTGACAATAAAGTAGACTTGTAATTAAAATTGCATTACAAAAAACTTGGCTTTTATTCTACAAGTGGTAATCGAATTTTAACTCAATGCCCCTTTTCTAAGAAAGAGATTCTTTAAAATTACGTGTCAGTTCCACTTCACGTTTTAGAGGCCTGTGTTTGCTCTGCTCCTTTTTTGTAATGTTAAAAGAATTTTAAGCTTGAATACTTTTTGTTTTCTCCACATTTTTCATTTAATTTCTTTCAATATTTTTAGCAACCCAATTGATTTTGAATTACAATACCACACCTTTATTGGATTCTAATGTTTCATAAAAATCGTTACAGACAAAGATACATTGCAGAATCTACCGATGTTCTCCCCAAGGACTTTCTTTACTCCTCACAAAAAATATTAACAGCAGTGAAGGAAAAACTTCGATCAGTTGGTCCATGAAGCAACATTTTTAACAGCAGTGAAGGAAAAACTTCGATCAGTTGGTCCATGAAGCAACATTTTTTAGAAGTGGTTTTAATCCATTGTGGTAACTTTAAATTTCCAAAGAACTTTTATAAAATTTGAAATTATTTTTTTTACCAAAATCAGTAGCATCATTATAAAGTGTGACTTTTCAACGCTTGATACATATATTTTGCCATAAATTAAAGAAAGGCTATTTAACTATATGACACCTGCTTCTTTCATAAGAATGTTATTATCTTGTCAATGGTCATTTGTATAATGAAAACATCAATTAACAACCCTGAGGCTGATATTAAAAGATGCTTGAGTACCTCAATGATAATATCTACATAAAGTCTTTGGAGAAAAGGTTTTTCAACGGTATTTTGGAACTGCCATAAGTTAGAGTGCATATTTCGTAAACAACTTCTAATACAAGGCAGACTCCTGATCTTTAACTTTATACAAAGCTATGCACAATCTATTTAAAGTCAAAATTTAAAAATACTAATGTTCCATACAAAACTTCTTTTGCAAATACAGTCTGTCGTTAGGTCGAACATTCGGGTTAGCCGAATGCTGATCAAGGTTTTTAAAATTAAAATTTGCAAGGTCATTAATTTCAAACTGAATTGACTTCAGATTTATCTGTTTACCAGAACACCACAAACATAGCATGTATAATCTATCAAGAGGGGAAATTTTCTCCTCAAAGACATCTGATGAACCTCTGAAGTTTTCAGAGGTCCATGTTTGCTCTGTTTAGAGTATTGATATTTTTTTCGTTAATTCTTTATAGCATCGAGAATAAACCAGACAAAACATAGGAATAGACCATACTAAAACTTGCATTTCCAATCTATCCCTTGAAGATTACACAACTGAGCTATTTCTCCATTGCAAATTTATGCCGTATGCACCAGGAAAGCCCATTGCTTTTTTCAATCCTTGTTTAACAACCTTTGTATATTGAAAATATCAAGAAAGAATGGTTTTTTTGACGGCACTTGATCCCACCTCTGATGTTTGGGCGGGCCGCGTTTGCTCTGCTCCTGTTTTGTATTGTTTTATGGACTTTGAGGTTGAATACTGTTTGTTATATCTGTATCCTTCATTATGAAAAAGCAAGTGGTCTTTAGCTATGTTTGGGTCCTGCTTGGAATATTTCTTGTAAGTTTGTGTCGTGCTCCAGAAGAATAAAGATGATTAAATGACACATGCAAAAATAATCTGCTTCATGAAATCTTCAATTCCGGGAGGTAAAAATGCTCATTAAAAATGGATTTAATACTGATATAACTTACTGTATGGGGTAAACACCAGTGTACCCGTCCCGTCTGTCTGTTTGACTGTGGGAGACTGTGATCTCTCACACGTACCCTTGCTGTCACTAGCGTAAATTGTGGACCCTGATGACGTCACGGCCTGGAAATTCATTCATAAGACAGTTGTATATTTTGTAATAATAAAATTAGTTAGATTACAATACGTAATGCACGGTACCTCTCAACAAAAAATGGTAATGGAGTATAATTCTTACATAGCAGGTAAACCGGTAGGTGGTGGAAAAATCCACTGTGGTATCCGTATTGACGATAGTCGTATAGTAAGTACTTCCACTGGAGGTATAATAAACGCAGTAACCCTCGCCTCCGGCTGCAGATGAAAAGAACATGTTCATTAAAATTGGGGGATTATCAAATGTGATCGAAATTGGTACTACTAATTTTTTTTACTCAAAATTGTTTCACCGCAGACGAGGTATGGGACTATGGCACAACCACAGTAATAGAATCTGATCAGGAGAAAACGAACTAAAACTTACTTGAGTAGAACTGTTTTGTTGCACATTGCGTGTAGTTCACAGTTGCAATTTTCCTGTCGGTACATATATCCCAGACAGACCCCGTCCCACAAGTTGTAGAGCTTCCGTCATTGTGGGTGTAAGCAGCGGTAAACAGAAAAGGAGTGGGAAAATACTGCTTTATGTCAGTAAGTTGACCTGGAAGAAACATTAAAATATAATTTATTATAATTTGAACAAAAATGTTCACTATGGCACATTTATTATGAGTCTTTGATCAATTTTACATAGGTCAAATAATCTACTCAGGTACCGGTACTTTGTTCAGCGGAAACCTGCCTTTTTTGCATTCTAATTATTCTGAATCTTCTTATTATTTGTCAACCTGAGATTAAACAGATAATAAAGTTGAATGTCACAAACCAATAATCTTTCTTTATTTCTGCAATACAAATGAATCTCACCGTCCTTGACCAAGACAGCATACTCTTCTGTTCCAAGGTCAGATGGGTTGCAATATGTGGATGACGTGGGCCATGTCGTCACAGAAGGGTCATTGCTCTCAATATATACTCGTGCATTATTTGCGTTTACTTGTATATCTAAACAGAGTAAAAATGAGTATAATTTGTCGTTTCCAACGAATGATCTTATTTCATTTAAACAGCAAAATTCTACTTACCAGCATATATATAGTACATATAGGAATAATCTGTTATTTTGGTGTATTTTAGGCATCTAAAGGCATTTTGTAGTGAGCTGAACAGGTTAATGAACTGATCACCTCTGCAATTTGAAAAAAAAGTATATATTAATTACAATATAGATTCTCACGTTCACTTCATTACAAACGTATAATCATAACTTACACTGAACATTATTCACTAGTGTGTGATATGTAGATTATGTAGTTATTAATGTTTGTCACATTGAGAAATCTCTTTTCAAAGTAAGGTCAATACACAAAATACAAGTTCTTATTTTCCCCCAGTAACATGTATGTATGAATCGAAAATGTACAAAGTATTGAAGCGCCTGTGAAAAATATTATAAATTATTAATAAGACTTATACGATTGCTATAGATCACAAGGATTCCGAGAAAACTTGGTTGATGTGAGATTAATATTTGTCATCTTAATGCAATCTTTTTAAAAGTTTTTACATGAATACATTTTTTTATATAATCCATTACACATACAAAAGAAAAATGCAGTTTTATGTCTTATTCACTAACTTAAAGAGTATCAAATTATTGGTGGTGTCGTGGTTCACGCATGTCCATGAAGTTACGGTTGACGCATATGCAGTGACGGTCCAACCGGAAGTGACTTTAAGATTTGCCCTATCCAACACAATATTTGAAGACGTCATGCTGCTGTCATACCACGTGCCATCCCACGTGGTTGGAAATGTACACGTCCCATCTAAAAATAATAAAACATTAAAATGTAACAGTGTTAAAGCATATATGAATACAACTTTCGTGTAAATTACATTTCAAATTACTGGACATATTTCCTTTATTTCCACTGTCCAATAATTTACAAGACTCTGAAATGTTACCTTTGAACATTTATTAGTTTCAAGAAGAATGGTTCTTACATGTATCTTACAACAATCTGACAGTTTCTGGCCTATCTGGAAGCTCATTCTGATTTTTCCTTCATGTAAAGAAACTTTTTAAAAGAAATTGTCCGAATTTTTTCATGCAATCTCTGTAAATTTTGACCTAATTTTGTGTACAAAATATAGAGACGATGCAATGGAAGAGTGGACCCAATTAAATGTATGAAGTCATACAGATTATGACATTTTTTATTATAAAAACTTTTGAACAATTGAAAGAATAAATAGGATGTTGCTAAAATTCGCAGATGTGTACTGATCTTGAATCAAGGTCATTTTTCAAAAGTGTATAGGTTTTCTGAGCAAATGCTTAAAAATGGTGGCTAACTGAAATTTTAGATTGACATAAATTCAATATTGAGAATACTCCATGTATGATTTCTGACCTTGAAAAAAGCTAGATAATTTGTTTTAACTTCTTTGAATGTTTAAACATTGTTATAAGATATAAATAAAGGATTAAAATTACTTGGCAATACTTTGGATAGAATAATTGTCAGAACCGTTCGATTGGAATGAATTCAAACTTACGTATGTTGTTGCTGATGACCTAAAAGATTGTTAAATGACCTTGAGGCCAGGAGTTTTCAAGGTTTGGATGTCCAAGTTATAATACAAACCTTGTTAAATCAAAATCTGGAACCATTGTTTAAAATTCACTTCTTATATTTATTTCATTAACCAAAGCCATGTATATAATGTTAAATCATGAAATGCTTGCACATGGTTCTAACGTGGAAAGCAGGCAACCTATTCTGTCCAGAAAAAAAATTCGGCTTGTTTCATTATTAAGTACAATCATTCTTCTAATATTCAATTTTCTGATAATACAGTTTTGCTGATACACAATTTTAAAGGATTAAAGGCCATATGGAGATTTGAATTTGCAAATGAGTTTTCAACAGGGCTATCTAAAAGGTAAAAATGTTATTCAAACAGTTAAGCTGATTAAATTGGGATTAAACTTCTTATAACGGGGTGTAAGGTGTAAATACACATTATGCTATACACATTTATCTACAGAGCCTTTCTAAAGAGAGTAATTGGAGTATTACCATTTAGAAATTGTTTCATTTTAAGAAAACAAATGGGTAAATTAAAAAAAAGTAACATTTGAACATTTTATCGTGCTGAATTTATAAACAGGCATGAAAGAAAGCTTAACTTGGTCTATTCCTCTAAGTTGTACTTTTGAACTCAAAGATACGCTTCTCTTTCATTTCAGGATAGAGAAAAATATCATTTCATAAATATTAACATGTTAAATTCTTGATTTTGTTTTGTGTGAAGAAAACTGCATATACATGTTTTACAATAGTTTTCGGCAAACAAGAGTCAATTAAGAGTTTGTGTTCTATTATTATTATACATGTATGTAAGAAATATTTAAGATGTGCAAAGAACTAATGTCCATTTTTTGTTGGAAACCTTTGATGCTTACATGAACTACAATTTTTGTTAATTGATCAAAACATTTATTTTGATCAATAAAATACAATTTCAATATACATTTGTCTTTTGTCCTTTTTCAAAGCAGTTGGAAAGAGGGGGCATAAAAGCTTCTACCCACACATACACCCTGTTACACGAATCTGAATATTTGGAATGTTATTTTTTGATCCATTTTATGTATGCAAATTTCAATTTATTTCAATGTATTGAGGATTCATCCCCTTCTATATATTTCATTTTATATTTACATTTTTCTAGGTGTATTATGGAGGTTTTCATTTTTTTTCGGTTGTAACATATAATCAACTCCTTACATGAAAGGAAACACATTTTTTAAGATTCACAGTGTATGTACAAGTAATAGGACATCTGAATCAATAATCAACAGATGATGGTACATTGTATTTTCCTTCGAAAGTTTAAATGTTTTTCTCTTTTTTCTCTCATATAAACAATTTTTTCTTTTAACATGAGGATCTGAAGCAAGGCATAAATAGGCATTCTAATGTGCTTTTCTTTAAAAGCATCCCCATTTCCACCCCCTTTTAAAGACTAAGTAAAAAATAGATACGATTTGAAACTGACATTTAAAAAATTGCAATTTACAAAATTAACAAGAGGGGGTACTATACAAAAATATTTCTACATATGGTATCGAATTTAAATTTACACGTTAGGTTATTTCTTGTAAAAGACAAATATGAGGCAAAATAAAAAAGCACTAAAAACACAGTAAAATCTTCATCAAAATCATTTAGTTTTTGACACCCTTATATATTCCATCGTCTGCTTCTGAAGATTCATTATATAATACCTTTAATATAACTATGAAACGAAGGGATTTATGATTTTGTTTCAAAGACGATTGATTTAAAACTTGAAAATCAATTCTTTTTAAAAACTTTACTCACCAACATTGTCAAATCCAACCCAGACTATGAAAGGGATGAGAACGAATCGCATATTGTCACGCATCGCTGGAAAAGATGTAGATATCACAATATTTCGTTAAATGTAACTAGATTTATCTTTTCTGCATGATTATATGTGTTGTTTAAAAACCATGATTCATTGTAAGGTATAAATTAAGAAGTCGTTGTGCATGGAAACTTGCATACATTTTATATCCGATCAGAGATGATTAATATTACAAATAAACTCCCATTAATCCCGCTCTGAACGTTAATTGTTTCCACTCTTTAAAGTAAGGTGAAGTTTATCCTCTCACGAACCCTCTGTTGTTACGTAGATGAGACCTTAATCTCTTTGTCCAGTCTACGGGGAAAATATTCTAATAATTTCTTTGTTTATAAGTTACATGTAGATGCATTTTACACCCTATCCCTCGATAAACACCTTCAAGAATACCTTTGCACTTTTTATTAAGGTGTGATTGTTGTTTCGGGTAATTCACTTAGATTTCTAGGATTCTAATTTTTAAATATTACCAAAATAAGAAGTGAACAATGCTGATGATAAATAATGGAAAATATTTAAGATATAACAGTACTGTATCGCAAGAGTCCGCACATTTAATATCCAATAGTAAATACGACAAAAAAGTCGCGGACAAAAAAAAAACCCAAATAGTCTTGTCATCTGCTGTCGTTATTTTGGTAATTAGGAATGTGACTCTTGGTCTCTGGGAACTACTCCTAAAATGATAATGTAAAATTTAATCATTAAGTCAAGTGCTGACTGAAGTTCATACATATAATAATTTATAGGCCATTTTTAACACACTGATTTGTGTGCAGATTTTTTCCTCTATCTCCCAATCATGACAAGGAGGTTACGGGGGGCGTGACCGGTTGGCAGGGAATGATCAATTCTTCTTGGCATCTGTTCCAACCTCTGAAGATTAAGAGATCCGTGTTTAGTCTGATCCTTATGTGTATTGTTTTTAAATGGACGTTTGAGGTGGGATATCGTTTGTTATCTCCATATACTATATGAAATATATGGAGATAACGAAAAGTATTTAAGCTCAAAGGTCCATAAAACAATATATAGGAGCAGAGCAAATACAGTCCTCCAAACATCAGAGGTGGGATCAGGTTCCATGAAGGAGTCAGCATCCCCTGCCGACCGGTCACACCAGCCGTTTTCTCCTTGTCATGATTGGGAAATAACGGGAAAATCCATCGAAAATTTAGTGTGTGTATATATAAGGGCCTACAAATAGTTATGAAAAACGTCATTCAGCATTAGACTTGATGATAAATTGTATTTGCTGACAAGGTCATTGTATCGACCATAGAACTTACGAAATGAGACTGCTGATAATCTTGTTTCAGCAACTTGTTTGTCAAAAACTTACCCCGTTTTAAGAATTGTTCCTACGTAGAGCATGCTCTGGAGTCTCGAATCGAATAAGAGATGTAAACTTCGTATGCAGACGATGAAGGCATCTTACTGCATAAGTAAAGGAAGCTGACAATTGAAAAGTCTAATCAACAGACCATTTTACAAAGCGAATAAATACGAAGCAACCCAATGATTGTCATAAAGAAAAAATATATGGATAGACCGGTCTATATATATTACCATTAACGTAAAGGTTTTTTTCGATGTATAGAAATACAACAAACCGTTAAATACAACATAAAAATGATTATAATGCACAATTACCAATCTAATTTGCAAAATAAACGAAGGTTAAATCAATATTAACGGTTTTCACTAAATAAAGTATATTTAGTGATTATATAGTCATTACCATACCCATTGGACTACATACGTTTTCAATTATAACAAGGGGATTGCTTAGTATAGGTCTGTATTTAGTCAAGGATAAAACCACTAAAAATGAGCCACATATACATTAAAAATACCATGTATCATATACTAAGTAAATTTTATTTGAAGCGTAGCTTTTCTTGTCTGGTATATAGATTTTGATAACTCCTTAACTTGCTTGCATAAAAGAAAACTGTTTTAAACTGTTTTTCTGTTACAGATACATATGTAGTTCCTTTTGTAATATAAGGTATAATTTGTCAACAATAAATTTACATGTATATGGTGTCGAAATATCATACTATTCATAAAAAGGACCCTCTCAAATAAATACATGTAGTTTACTTTTATTTAGCATACAGCTTATGTATGTAACCTTTTTTAAAATTGAAACCTGTAAATCATTGCACAGGGGGGGGGGGGGGGGGGAGAATCGTGAACTTGATAAGATTTTCAAGAAAAGGAGGGTTGGTCATGACATTCCAAAGAAATTGAAATACAATTCTCAACAACATAGACAACTCTGCTAATCACGGTCTGGGACCAGGTTCCTGGTATTTGCGCTGGCCTTACTTGAGTCAATCAATCAGTTTTGCTGTATGAATGTATCTAACCATGGATAAGTTATATTGATTTCTTCTCTTAACAGTTTGAGGCCATCTTTGAACTGACAACTTCTTTAACGTCCTTCTAGAGAGCATGCTGTATGAATACTAAAACTTTCCAGTTTACCAAGTAGTGTTTGGAATGTCACAATACCATTTAACTTTTAATAAATAACTTTTTAAAAACAAAAACTGAATTGAATTTTGAGTACGTATCAATGGAAAATGTTTTACATGTACACGTAAAACACTAATAAACAAGAGGCCCAGGGGCCACAGCGCTCACCTGAGCACATCGGGCTTGAATTTACTCCCCCCCCCTTTCCAGGCGTTCATCATTTGAACAAACTAGAATCTACACTACCTGAGGATGATTCCATATAAATACCCCGGGTGTCACTAATCATAGCTTTGAAGTACTTGAAAAGAAGATTTTAAAAGGTTTCCCTATATATCCCTATATGTAAAACTTGGGTCGGCCATTTTGGCCCCACCCTATCCCCAGGGCCGGGGGTCATGATTTGAAAAAAACTTGAGTCTACACTACCTGAGGATGGCTTCCCTATCAGTTTCATCTTTCCTGGCCCAATGGTAATTGAGAAGGATTTTTAAAGATATTTCCTATATATTCCTATGTAAAACTTGGGTCGGCCATTTTGGCCCCATCCTTGCCCCGGGGGTCATGATTTGAACAAACTTGAATCTACACTACCTGAGGATGATTCCACATGAGTTTCATCTTTCCTGTCCTAGTGGTTCTGGAGAAGAAGATTTTTAAAGATTTTTCCTATATATTCCTATGTAAAACTTGGGTCGGCCAACCCTTGCCCCGGGGGTCATGATGAACAAACTTGAATCTACACTACCTGAGGATGCTTCCACATGAGTTTCATCTTTCCTGGCCCAGCGGTTCTGGAGAAGAAGATTTTTTAAAAATGCCATTAATTTTTAACAAATTCATGATTATCTTCCCCTTGGAAAAGGGCGTGGCCCTTCATTTGAACAAACTTGAATCCCCTTTACCCAAGGATACTTTGTGCCAAGTTTGGTTGAAATTGGCCCAGTGGTTCTTGAGAAGAAGATGAAAATGTGAAAAGTTAACGACAACAACGACAACGACGACGACGACAGACAACGGACAAATTTTGATCAGAAAAGCTCACTTGAGCCTTCAGCTCAGGTGAGCTAAAAAGACAGGGAAAAAGAACCACTGGAACTAAGAATAAACAATAAAAATATGTTTCTTTGAGCATTTTGAAAATACAGCACTTTATCCGTTTTATCCTTTTTTAATTACAAAATCACAGTGTCTTAAACTTTATTCATCGCATTTTGTCAGATCTTAAACACCCAATTTTATGTTAACGCCCCCAAAATCTACCTGATTCAAGATCAATAATTTACCGCCTGTCAATCATTAAAAAAACAATAGCTTCTGATTTGATTGACAGGCCAGCTTCCCGTGTTACCTGATAGTCTGAGTTTGTGTCCTTTGAAAACGATTGCCTGGTCACGCGTCAAACACTTTCATGTAGCCGCCTTGTAAACACGGGGGTTAAAAAAAGAATCTCGGTAAAATTTTATTTTAAAAACAACTGAGAGTAGATAATTAAAGCATGACTAGTTCATAAAATATTTGCTTTTAATCTCAACGGCTATATTGTTTTTTAGGCGATATGTCGTCCAAGAAATCTGCTGTAGAATTAAGACCAGTTCTGGCACAGAAACGCAATTTGCCAATTAAAATTGGAATATGATAAATAAGAAAAGATATTTAGCACAAACGGCACGGATAAAAAAATTCATTTATCCCATGTTTTATCTACGTATATATGAATCTATACCATGTTCCGTTGTAAAGTTCTGAAATGTCAGAAACAGGAGTTTCGAGTTTGTAACTTTTAGTTCGAATTTCCTTACATTTGTCAATACCCAATATTCGAAATTAAAAAGTGAATAAATACAGCCAAAGATCAATTCTTAAAAGTATAAAAGAAATCTTGCACACAATAAAAAAATTTTAAACACACGAACACCCGGAAATGGTGAATATTTTCGACACTATTGTTGATCAGAACGTCAGTAGGCAATATTCCTACATGTATCGCGGTACGGTACATTGTGTTCACATGACGGATAGGCCTACCTGATTCCTATGAATGTAATATTTTATATATATCTTTTTTTTTTTTTTATTTTGATATTTACACAAGTTTAATTAAAAAAAGATATGTTTACTCTGTAGTTTTACTCTATGTTCTTTTCTTTAATTTGTCATTTTTTTTAAATATATTAAAACGATATTCTTTATAATTTTTTTTATTCATTAGATATCGCTGAAAGTATTTATAAATAAATTTATATTAAAATATTTCAATTTTTTCAAGTAGTTTCACTCAAATTTAGATACGAAACACGGAATGTTGACCCTGATCACCAGACTTCCTGTGTAATGCTACGTGTGTATAGATTTTTGACATCTTGGGTATTGGGGGTCTCCAGGTAAATAACACCACTTTTACCTAGACCACTCCCCCTCCTCAGGTAACCGTACGGTAAAAAAAATTGGGTCTTTAAGTAAATGCAATATTGTTAGTACATCCATGTTTCTGCAAGATTCCAATAGTAAACAAATAAGCTCTTTTCATTCGATAATTATATAACAATCAGACATACGATTTCAAAAATGGCATCAATCAAATGAAATAATTTCATGTTTATACGTGGAAATACTGGGTACTAGTATATCCGTATCATCTTATTTGATGTTGGTAATATTTTGACAGGCATTTTTTTTAACATTAAGGAAAAGCAAGAAAGAATATATCAAAAAAGCTCATCATATTATATAGGCCTAATATTACGATTAAATATTTTTGGACAACTCTGAAAAAAGGTATTTTTATATATGGTCTCCTTAAAGAGATCTGCATCCCACCTATATCTGGAATTTAAAAAAACCAAATACGTCAACTGATCTGATATAATATTTTGATGCATAAAGTGTATTTTGGTGAAATATGTATTAAACCAAGATAATTAAATGTTCCTACCTTTATCAAACATCTACTAATGTATTTGGTATATTATTAGGTTTACATGCATGTTTAACATGGTCAAGTCAGGATATCCTGAAGGCTGTCTAAAGAGGCTACTTCTGTTTAGAGATCACTAACACTGCATTGCACAGGTTCACTAAATAAAACTACACTCTAAAAAGAATAACCAGGGGACTGCTTCATACGGGTTTAACTTTACAAAACTAAAGACATCTTCAAAATAATCAATATTTTAGGGTTTTTTTTCTTTATTAAATATAAAAGATTTGAATTTTTTTCATTTATCTTGGACAGATAATGTTTTCAAAATTTAATTGTTTCGAATTTGAAGAGAGTCTTAAAATGACAATTTAAATTCCTTATTCAAGAGGTAAATGTTAAGAAACCATTCTAGTGAATATCTACCCTCGTTCGGTATGCAGAATTCAATAAATTTTAAAATTACTTGCATAAAAGAAAACTGTGTACTTCTCATATGGTATTTCTTTTTTATATTTACCAGGTGCTAGTAAATACCAAAAAATTAATACCTGATATCTGTTTGCTACCAACTGGTATATTCAAAAAATAAAATATGTTTTTAACTGTTTTTGTAGGACTATTTCATTCTAAACAGGTTTTTTTTTCTCATCTTGGTTTTCGAATATTAAGTAATATTTTTGAAAATAAATATTGGCTCATTTATTGAAGGGGAGACATAAATATATGGTTGACTTTTTATTGCCTTTTTTAAATAGCATATAGCATGTGTATATCAATACCAAAGAAATAATTTAATTCTTTCCAACAAAGACAATCTACAGTTCTCATCAAATGTATTAAAATCATGAACAATTGTTGGTACTTTGAGCTTAGCAACACAATCGTCTAATGTGAATTTTGAGCAAATATATCAGAATACAATTCATGTTGTGGTTTCTAAGGACACAGTAACCGGACTCTGCCAATCACGGTCTACGAACAAGTTCCTGGTATTTCTGCTGGCCTCACTTGAGTCAATCAGTGTCGCTGTATGAATGTATCTAACCATGGATAAGTTATATTGATTTCTTCTCTTAACAGTTTGAAGTTATCTTTGAACTGACAACTTCTTGAAGGTCCTTCTAAGGAGCATGCTCTATTTGCCAGTTTATCAATTTTTTTTCTTCGAATGTCACAATACCGTCTAACTTTTAATAAAAGTTTGCCCATTAATCCTTATAAGTTACGTTGATTACACTTTTTGTGTGTAGTGAAAGAAAAATAAATATTTTTTTATTCATGTAAAGCACAAATAAATGAAAGACATTGGAAAAAAACCCACTCATATCATGAACAAACAATAAAGATATGTGTTTTTTTTAGATTGTAGCACAATTTCATCTTTTTGACTATAAAATCAGGAGTCTTAAAAATTTCTTCATTGCATAATATAACAAGAAAAGGCAATAAATCTTTAATAAATACAATAAAGTTAGCACTTGTCTTGCACATAAACATGTTTCAGCAAGATTTAATAAGAAAACAAGCTCTTCTCATTCACGTTTCATAACAAGCAAACATACAATTTATAAACTCTCGGAGTCTGTATGCCTTATTACTTTTTAAAGTAAAATAGCATCATTAAATGTCATACAACACCAATATATCACATAAATTAGTAAACATAAATCATTAATTAAATACTGGTTTAAATGATGGATCACAGTTTCAGAAACAGTTGATGTCCAACACCAAATTAATACTTCTGTTTTTGGCAATGTGCGGCCCGGATTTCCTCTGCTTCATTAGAGGGATGACCTCCTGGTTGGATAGTTGAGAACTATTTTTGTAAAGGAGGGAGAGTGTTTGGTTTATCTGATGGGGGTTCTATTACAGTGGCATCCCTAGGGGTCACAGCTGGGTCTACGGAGAAATAAACGTTACAGGTAAATATATCATCATTAAAAATGATTTCACTCTTAGTGTCTGTATTATACAGTTCCTAAATAATGCACTGATATGATATGTGACGTGTCTTTACTCGGGAAAACATCAATGTAAAGGATCTTTTCCTCATACAGTCTCCTTGACCTTTTCAGCATATATAACATCAAATTAATATCTACTACCGTATTTGTTCATGCAACATTATTAAATTTGTAGGCTACGTATTTCTTGACAATTTCTTTTCACACAGGCGGCTAATATGGCATTTACGCTTGATATCTCCAATAAAAAAACCGATTTAAGATAGCAAGTCTTATGTAATGGATGTTTGCCGAATACATTTCTTTATGAAAAAATATCAGACAGTTTGAAGCCCATAAGTGTCGAAAACTATCTGGCTTTATTTCATACAAAATTGTATGAAGTATATATCGTACTTAAAGCATTGCTTTTTGATTCACTTGGGACAGTCCGATATAAGACAGGCGCGGATCCAGGAATTGAAGTTAGAGGGGGCGCCAAAAGTGGGCAAGGGGTCTGGGGGCCGCCTTTGAGGCCCCCAGTGGGTCCAGGGCAAAGCCCTGGTTTATAAGCCCCCGGAAGCTCCTGGATTCTAGAGATTTTGTAGGGTAAAAATGAGGTCTACCAAGTATACATATTTACATTTTCTAGACGAAACTGTGATTTACGTTAATTTTGACAATTTTAGGGGGCGGCGGGGGCGCCCCCCTTAAATCCGCCACTGTAATAACAAAATATAAAAGTGTTGATGACTACTGAAGCAATTGGCTACGATAAAAAAGGCATTTAAATTATCTGATAAGTTTGATACGAACAATGGAGACAAAATCTTTCCTCTTTAAAACTTACAAGCAGCAACGGATTATCATGCACTCTAGGGAACAGTTTATTTGGTTAAAGTGGTAGGTTTTTCTTTCAAAGTCATCATGGTAGATATAAAATTTAACTATTTTGCTGTTTGCAAATAATCAAAAAAAAATATATTTTGTGCAGTAACAGTCTAATTTTGAAGGATATCATTTCTGAGACTGATATTACATTTAATTTTAGACTGCTTACTAATATCGGACTGTCCCAGGTAAATTTTCTGACTGCAAGAACAAACGAATGAAACCACAGCAATTTTTTAAAATTGCATAACATTCATAGATTGAACGTGATATTTTAAATTGATTGCATTCACGTTACTTGTTATATGCAATCTATAAGGACCTTAAACTCTCATTTTATTCAGTAAAAGAAAAAACCGTTAATCTAAGATTTTATTAGCATTCAAGCGCATATATATATATAAAGTTTTCTTAAATGGTACTTCAACTTCCTGTTTATAAGTTATGAAATACATAAATTTTAAATATCAAATTTATAAAGGAACACGATCTATATCCTGGATCACAGGGTTAACCTTTAATTTTTTTCAGCATTATCTATAGGAAAGTTAACAAAAGAAGGTAGTCCTTAATGATTTGTTCAACTATTTAGATCTAAATCAGAATACATGGAATAATTAGATATATTAGCAGTTTATGTAAATTTCGCTGATGAGTAAATTGTTGTTATTGAACTCTTTGAGTGCAATATCTTGCATTTTTAGAATTGTGCTAAATGAATGTTACAAAGATTCTCATTTAATGACAAAAATTAATGTACATGAATATAAATGAAGAATTATTTTTCTTAACCAATGTAATAATGAGCAATATCCGTGAGCTTTGTTATATACACATGTACAAAAAAGGTTGAGTCATAAATGCATCATAGTTATATTAACAGTTTTGTTGTTAGAGATAAATAACCGATGGAAGCCATATATCTCATTAATTCACAGTTACCTTCAATGGAAGGCTATGCCTCCTCGTTTCTGTTTTGAATATATATAGAAATGTTAAATTGTCTTCATCAATAAACATTTGCACAGATCATGAAATATCAAATTAAGCATAGCAGTAATGTAAAATATAATTTTTAAACGCAATAATGATTTAAAAATCATATTAAATTTCATAGTTTATATTCTCTAATGTGCTCTCTAAAGCGTCCATTTAATTGTACTCATAAAAAGAATATGATTTAAAAATCAATGCATCATATTAAATTTCATAGTTTATATTCTCTAATTAATGTGTTTTCTATAGGTCCATTTAATTGTACTCCTAAAAAGAATAATTGAGTGCAGCTGTGGACGTACACAAGATATTTATCACCGGCAGATTTTATTATGATAAGACAGCCTATATTAACTCCTACCTGGTGGCTGTACTTTCTCTTCGTCACTTTGTTCTCTGGGGTTTATTTTGGGTTTAAATTTTTTATATATGACGATCCCCACTGCGGCTATTATAGCAATACCTAGAACCGCCCCCACGGCCCCGGCAATAATACCTATATTGCTAGAGCTCTCTGAGGAGGTAGGAGAGGTGAAGGCTGTAGAAGACAAGATACTTATGTTGAACCATAGATAATTAGTACACAGAGTCCGTATACTATAGTATTGATTTGATAACTAATTAGAAAAGTATAATAATATATACTTAATATGTACAATCACCACAAGTATTGTATATCCAAATAAAGTGTTGATTTGATAACTTATTCATAAGGTATTTGATACTTAAAATGTACAGTCACCATAAGTATTGTGTATCCAAATACAGTGTAGATGTGATAACTTATTCATAAAGTATTATACTTACGTTCTTCATAGAAAGCATGGTAAAATATAGAAATAATCAGGAAAGACAGCATATTACAGAACTAATATAAAGGACTTACTAGTATTTTTATGAATGAGCGCATTTAGTATATTTGTAGCAAATAGGGTTTTTTAAATAATGATACGAGGTATGATAATTATTATGTTGTATTGTGTCTTGTTCTACTTGCACAATCTCATAAACAAAATGTCTTTTATCTTAGACTTTACTGCATGGATTATGTGCATATCAGTAAAACCGATTAAACAGAAGACATACTTACGACATGTTTCTGAAAAATTAAGAGAATTAGTGTATAAGTAAATAACTAAATATAATTATAAGTGCTATATTTACTACGATTGAGTCTATATTCTGAAAGGATGTTAAAACTTTTGTTTAGTTTACCATAAGAAACGAATTCTAATGTTCCCGCGCCTGTAGACATTTTGGTTGTGGGTGATTGACTTTGTCCGCACGCCCCTTTGTTGTCACTTGCGACTACTTTCCCACCGGAAGTTGTAACAGCCTTAAAAAAAACATCAAATTTCAATATCGTTAAATACCAAGAATTTTTATTTTAAAAAAATTAACGTTTATTTAAAAATCTTACTTACATAGCATGTAAATCGGTATGTTGATGAGAAATCCACACTTGTATCGGCATTTATTACTGTGACGTAATAAGTACTTCCAACGGAAGTAGAATAGGCACAGTACCCCACACCACCGCCTAAAATAGAAATTTTCTATCAACGTCTTTAAGAAATCTTCCTTCTCAACTTTTTTATATTTTAATTGAGATGAAAGACGTAAAAACAAACTTGAGTAAAATTGTTGTGTTGAGCACAGAGTGTAATTGACCACCATCTGAGTTCTATCTGAGCAAACATCCCAGACACTTGTGCCATCACAATATGTTGTCGAGCCGTCATTGAAAGTATAGTTAAAGCTTCCCAAGAATGGTGTTGGGCAATTCTGTGTTGCATTTTGGATGTAATCTTAAGAAATGAAAAAGGAATATTTCAAAAATAACAAATCTATTTCATTAAACAATGAGGTATAGATTTTGTTTCAATTACCTTTTTTAACTATAACAACTGTTTCTACTGTTGTGGGCAGACCCTGGGAAGGGTTACATGCGTAGCTTATATTAACAGTGTCTGTTGTTGCTTGAACAAGTACACGCGCATCGCCAGCGTTAGTCTCAATATCTGTAATCGATATCAAAAAGATATACCTGTATAAAGACCTGAGATTGGTATTCAAAAGTGCAACATTTATAACATATCATTGAAAACTTTATTCTCACTAGGTTTCCAAGATGTAATTTTGAAGATGAAAAAAGTAGTAGTAGTATCTTTATTGGCTTATATATAACATATATTGAAAAAAGATAAGATGGCTTGGTAAGAGAAAAATCCGTTTTTTTTTTCAATTTGATTATAAATGGGTTTTTTTACACTTACTTGCATGGATAAGATACGTATAAGAGTAGTCTGTTAACTTTTGCCATTTTATACACCGATATTATATGATTTATGAAAAAACAAAAACTATTGTTTGATTATTGCTGATTTTGAAGAAATTGAAGAAGAAAATGGCATTAAAAGTCTTTATCTTAAAAATGTAAACAAAATTATATACTGGAAAAAAAATTTTGAGCAGGTCCCATTTTTTTTTAAAAACATTTTAATTAAAGATGTTACTGTATGATTGGAAACGCAATCTATATGTACATATACATAAACCACAGGCCTTTGGATCGCTTAAAAATTGTGTGTATGAAAAAGATAAAGGTATGGAACTCTTAAACTAAAATGTTTTTTAATCAAATGCTCTAAAATTTTACTTTCTATTTAAATCTATTTATAGATCAACAATCTTCATTTCTACCAAAGCTCATTCCGAAATTCCGTAACTTCTCGTAATATTCTTATATCAATTTCAAAAATGACCTACTTTTTTTTTTACTCGAAATTAGCTTTCGAGGTGTGTTATAGGACCGACGACATCCAAAATTTGAATTCAATGCTTATATTTACGTTCTCTTATTTTCCTTTTTCATAATTGTTTATATCTTTCATGTTTAATGTGAATTTAGCGCCCTTCAATATTGGTATGCTGAATAGCCGTAGTAGCCGTTGGTGACGTTGGAATGCCATTTGAGACATTGGAAAGTTAAATGAACATTGCGAGGGAAAAAATGACAAATTAATTTTTTTAACGCAAATTTGTTGTATTTTACGCAAAAGATTTAACATAAATTCTGCTTTATATAATATAAACAAAGTCAAAGCAATATAGTGATATACATTAAGGGAATTCCTAAATATTGAAAATGCGTGCAGTACCTATACTGTGTATTCTATTTTAACAAAGTAATTTTGCAAATGGCCAATGACGAGGTAAGTAAATTTACATTTTTATTGAAGAAGCAGCTGGGTTTCAAAAAAAGAAAATTTCACTGAATGTTGTGTATAAAGTTAAGATACACATTTTTACAGCTGTTGATTTATATAAAGTAAAACTGTGATTGCAAATGTTAAAATTTGTATATATTTTTAGCTTTTCACATCTGATTCAAGACTTATATATACATACATCTCGTATGTATATGGAAAGCATAAAGACATTCACTTTTTTTGGTGAGGTATTAGCAGTATAGGAACAGCGCGCGACTACCGATCGGCTACCTAGGCAAGTTATCTAAAAACTTACTACCACTCTTTTGCGGGGGAGTCGCAGCGCTGCCCTACACTATTTGGGCAAAAAATAATTGAAGAGAAATACAGTTATTTGAACATTAAGATTTTCAAGTTTTTTTTAGTTTATCCTGAATTTAAACATGTTCTATTAGAAATTAGCTCTTCTTTAAAAAAAAAAAGAACACATTTTCAGTTCTCCCAAATGCACTTTAAAAATTATTTAAAAAGCTAGTAAAACATACCAAATCAATAGTTCATAATCATGTTGTTATTTGTACGATAGCAAAAGTTGGAAAAGTCAGAAATAAAGTTGGAAATAAAAATACCGTTAAAAATGTGACAATTTTGGTTTTGTATATATTAAGGCTGGTATATAAACCTTATTTAGAGTTATAAATTACTTATGATTTATAAAGTGGTTTCTAATTGTCTTTAAAAACTTTACAACGGTAACATTTTTTTATTTTGCAGTTGTATTGAAAAGCACATTGCCCCCAGGCAACATCATCCTCTGGTATCTTACACAAATGCCTGGTTAGGTACCTGGATTTTTTTGTGAGATAACTTGTAAAAGTAGCATTGCTTCAATGACAAATTCTTGAAAAAATTATACATCATGTATATAATTTAGGAACGTATCGTTTGTCCTTAAGTTGAAATACCCACTTTAATTTTATCGACAAAGATTTATAAAACTTACTTGAACCTAATCATTGCACACTTACAATTTCTGTTTTGAAAATTCAAATTAAGAATTACTTGAACAACAATAAATTCTCGGACGCTTTATCGGCTACGCATGTCCATGACGTAATGCTGTATGTGTATATCTGGTGTTTCCATCCAACAACGTAATTGTCAGACCGGGTGAATGTTATGTCTTGTGTTGTGTCACTGCTATCGTGCCATTCTCCGTCCCAATCAGTAGGAAGTGTACAGCCTTGTACGCCTACAACTAGAAATTCAACTATTGTCTTATTTTCACATTTTTTTTTTTACAAATTAGAGGATTTTCATAACATGAATACCGCGATAGTCTGACAAAGGTACATTATTTTGTTCTGGACATGTCAATTTAACAGTCAGACAGACTGACAAATAACCAGTTATGACCGAGGAGAAACGACCATTTCTAGATCTGCAGCAACATTTTCTTTTATTCAAAAACATTTTTGAATCATTTCTCTGTGATTTGCCACGGACATGAACCTTTTCTTTAATAAAACTCTATTACATGTAATTGTTAACCCTCTACAAATCAATGTATCTGCAGACTAAATCGGTATTTACTTATCAAATAGTACAGTACCTCCCTGTCATTTCCCTTCGGCAAAATCAGGAATTAAGAACCTGAATAGAATTTATAGATTTTGCGTTTTGTCTTTTGTTTGACAAACCCGATACAAAGCAGACAAAAAAAAGAGACGGAACAATGTCCCTAACCATGCAAATGAAAGACAGTAATTTCAAACCTAAACGGTATAAATACATTTCACACCATTGACCTCACCAAGTAAATAGTTTGTTGATATCAGTGGCAAAACTTGGAGAAAACAGAAACATTGGAGTATAATGAAACTTTGTTGACTTAGAGACCCGTTATGCAGAGTTACAGTGATGACATATAAGGTTTAGTCACCATGAAAGTGTGTCCATTTGACACTGGTAAAGGAACAATTGATACATTAGTCTCTGGGATTCATGCTTGTCTTTATTTTTCTGAGTTTAACTCTTAAAAGCGTCCTTAAACCTAAGATAACAGAACACTAATACTTAAAATGGTGTTATTGTATGTTTGGACAATGTTGTCATAATCGGTTTGTTCATTTCGGCTGATAAAATTAATGCATTATTTATTGGAATATCTTACTTATAGATATCGACGTAAATACGGTTTAAATTAAAATGTGTAATACAGAAAAGGTTCTAATGACAGGTGCCCTTTCCAACATGTCGATAAACTCCCTGAGATTAGATTTAAGATTTCAATAATGAATAGTTTTATTTGTAGCTTATATAAAGTGTGATATCATTACTGAAATAAGAAAGAAATATAAATTATTCTAAAAGGACATGTTGTTGATTTAAAAGATTATCATAAGACATTGTCTGCAGTTGAGAAGCCGTGTAGCACAAAGTATCCCCTTTCGTAATTTAGTATATTGTAAAGGACGGAGAGATACCACTACTTTTGTTTAATATGCTCTGTACAGTCATGGATCCAATCAAGCATTTATAATTTGTAGACAAATTTCATCACATTAACTGCCTGAAATTCTTTTTGAAGAACATACTATATGTGTATATTAAATGCAATTACCAGTGTCCTCTACAAAAAATAATTTTTCAATTAAAATTTGTAATTAAAAGATTAAATTTTTGTAGAGGACAACAGTATACATTCTACCGGTATTATAAAGAATTGCGTGACTTAACACTTAATTTCCATTGAAAACGTTAACGCCTTCATTATGATTCGTTATTGGGTAAGGGTTAAGATTGTCAAAGTTGTTTTACGCTCTTTAATACTATGATTGTATTTTAAACTTAATTTTTATGGGGGAAAACTTAAGCGATATTGTATATTACTGCCAAAATCTTGGAATTTTAACAGAAATGTTAATGAGAGATTCAAGATCGTAGAAAGTTGGCATCGAAAAATATCATTTAGCTATGTATCTTTCAATTTTTAATATATATTTAAGATACAACCTCATAATTCACAAGTGTTTTCATCATCATCATTTTGAAATTGCCACAAGGACATCTGATATTTTGTCACCATAGATTAACCTACAGACAGACAAAGCGACAGGACCTAAACTTATTTAGCGTTTTCTCTTATTGTTAACTATTTCTGTCAAAAAATCAATAATGATATGGTGAAAACTGGCTGAGATTTGTAATAAATTAAATATTTAAAAAACTATTTTTAAAAAGAATTATGTTGACGGACAGACTGCGTCACAATTGCTGATGTAGGAGACAGACAGACAAAAGAAAACAACAAGTATTGTTAACTCTTTAATTAAGCATTGAAAACTGCTTATACTTATTGCTTCTCAAAGAGAAGTGTTGAAGGACTGGCAAACATAAGAACAGAGAGATATGAACGCTTTTTGTCTTTCTTACGTGGTCAATATCTCTTGTACACATTTGAAATAGTTACAATGATAAACATGAGTTGTCGTGTTTAAATAAATATTCCTTTATGCATAGTCTGACGCACGGACAGACATATGGACAGTATGATTCCTCCTCAGAGCTCTTACATTTCTGAAACTATTTTCGAAATTACAAAAAAGAGATCTCTGATTTTTTTGTACACATATCTCTTGTGTAGCCAGTGTTGCCAGCTAGATGAAATCTACAATAACGTTTGGTACAAAACACCGTACCAACTTCTTGTACTTCAAACACATGATAAACAAAATTTTATACACCAGGAATACTACTAATCATTTGAACTGAGTTAATAATTCACATTTTTACATATTATGCAATTGGGGAACAAAACATTTAGTATTATGACACATTGTCAAGTTTTTTTTAAAAAAATTATAAACAGCATCTCTAAACAATATGAAGAAACATAGTTGTCGTGTTTAAATTCACTTAGTGATTGTTAAATCAAAGAGCAAAATATAACAAAGCTTGTACTGAAAACAAAACTGACCAATCAGAAAACAAAATTCACAGGGAAAAAAGAATGACTTACGTATTATGATTGTTGATATCCATAGAAACACACATATTATTTCCTCTTTCATATCTGACAGACTTTAGCGTACGCTTGATTTTACTTCAAAGTACTCT